GGCAGTCCAAGAATAGCGCAAAAACGCGACAGCTGTTCATGCCCAATGCCTATTGCACGCGCAGCCACAACTACCTTCACATTGACAGCGAAGCTGTCACGCGAGCTGCCGCTTCGGTAGCTCCAGTCATCACCGGCATCGGTGGGCTGTCTTTCCGGCAGAACACGCCGCGAACTATGCGCGGCAGAAACCACTGACTCAGGACACTCACTGTTATCACAGTGCAGCTCGAGGAACGAAGAGAGGCCCTTACGTTTACTTGCGGTGTCGCGAACGACGAGTCCAGCGGTGTGGCATGTTGGACAAACAGCACGGCTTACCATCGATGTCAGTGCGCCGATGTCACAAAATACTCCGCTCACAGAGCCACAAACACTTTTCGTTCTTTCGCTTTCGAACTGTTCAATCTTTTTTTCTGATGCGCTGATGAACTTGATCGCGGCGTCGATTTCGTCAAAGTTCCCGCAAGCCGCCGTATCCCCGCTGCCTTGATTAGGCCTAGTGGCCCGCGGCTCGCATTCTTCTACCGCTGCTTTGCGCTTCGGTTTACGTCGACGCCCTTGGTACTTGTTCTTGCTTGCAAACTTTCGTGCTCGGAAGTCTCGCTTCTTCGAGTTATCCATGGTGAACTCGGAAAAACGTAGAAACGCACGGCAAGTGCCGATCGTCGCAAGCGCTCAGCGAGCGAGGCCGATCAGATGTAGCCAATGGCGGCCTCGGTAGCGTACCATGTGACCGGTAGAGATGCGCGAAGCGGCTGCAGCTTGGCTGCAAACCGACTTGGAAACGACTGTTTTGTGAAATTCCTCACTAAAATACGAAACTAGGGGGACGCCTGTACACTAGAAGGAGCCTTGATCTACACCACCGAACAAACCCCGATGGCGGACGTCATCGTGTTGCCGAGTGGCGGATTTTCAAAAATAGCCGTCGGATGCGTGAATTCGCGACTTCGGCAGCTACCTTCACTAGCGCAGATCGACTTTTTACCACTTTCTCGTTTGAATTCAGCTATGACCTTTGGGGAAATGATAGTTGAATGATCAAAAGTGATTTTAGAAGCAATATCTCAAAAGTGGAAATTTTCGCAAAAAACGCGATTTTTCGACCCGCATCTCCCCTTAAGGGGGTACGTGCCTTTGTCAATGAACTTTCTTGTTTCTGGTCGGATGATGATGAAAATTGGCACAGACACTAAGAATGGCCTCGCTATGCATCCATAAAAATTTCGAGGCAATAGCACAAATACTCAATAAGAGACAAGTTATTTTTCAATTGAACCTCGTGGAGGGACTGGAGGAGTTATAAAATGACAAAAATGGTTGGCAATTACTGTATGCACAGCCAAATGTATGTTGAAGAAAGCTGCGTTCTCAAAATAATTTTTTTGCAACTGTAAAACTTGTAGTTAACGTTTTCTCTAGCGACACTGCAATGAGCACACTTGCACTACAAACAAGAAACCCCATAAAAAATTGTTTAAAGAGTAAAATGAAAAAATAAGATCACAGCCCCCTGAAGCACAGTTCAAGGAGCATTATTTACAAAATAAACGCAATCAAAATCTGTAAAGTGGTTGCCCAGATATCTGCTCCACGAGCTGAGTATAATGACAAAACAACAGTATTGAGAAAACTGCGTTTGAAGTTTCAACTTTTTTTTTTACGTCTCTAAAACACCTAAAGATTGTGATCTTAGGTTTGTCTTGTGATATTTGACTTCTCAGGTACCTGGTCTCTGATCAGTGTGCCTTGGTTGCGCTTCCCCCCCCCCCCCCCAACCTCCTTTTCATGCTTTACAAAGAATAAGTATGAATTTGAAACCAAGTTCTTTTTATGCAGGAGTGGTGTTATAGGCATGACAAAAAAGATTGTAATTGAATAAGACCATATACTGAATTGATTACACATATTTCTTGTGCTGAAGTTGTCATTAACATAATTAAGTACTTGATTGCAAATATTCACTGCCATTTCTTTATCTGGAGAGAGGTTTACTGCATCAGAAAAATGAATCTCACCATGACGACCTATGCATTCTTTCCAAATAACAAATTTATGGGCAGAAGACTGGTGGCACAGGAATTTTTAGCAGTATATTTAATGACGCGAAACGGGCATACAAAAATTCGCGCCACTGATTCATACATGCTCTTTTGCCACTCTAGCCGTGAAACGCATCATCATGCAGCCGGTCGCGGAAACGCTAATCAACGAGGCTTCCATTGCCTCACAACATTCATAGACGTTCATGGCGATACCAAGCACGGCTCCAAGCACGTATAAATTGGATCACACACATCTAAATCGCATCACAAAAGCTTATTGACAGCACTCCATACGACCGTGGAGTGCGCGGCCGCGTACCGTATTTACTCGATTCTACCGCGCCCTCGATTGTAACGCGCACCCGATTTCCACTGCGAAAAAAAAAAAAAAAAAACCCCCGTAAGACATCGAATGCAACGCGCACCCATTTTTCTCGCTGGCCCGCACGATCACACCACTTGAAAAAACGACTCCTTTCGGGAGCGTCTTCCATTTAAATATGAGGTACGGGCGAAGCTTGTGCCCATCTGACGTGTAACAGAGCATTGCCGTCACTGTAGTTTTACCGTGGACCGATGTCAGCACGCGAACTTGCTTCGCCCCCTTCTTTTCGACGGTTGTGGTGCCAGATATGTCGAAGTAAAGAGGCGTCTGATTGGCATTCCCGATTTGTCAAGCAGGTAGCCGTTGTTGCACCGCAAATTTAGGACGAACCTCTGAGAACTGTGAAGCTTTTCATCGTACTCCTCCGCAGAACTTTTCGCATATGCATGTTCCCCTTCGGAGGGAAAAGCCTTTGCTCTTCATAAAGTTAGTTAGCCAGCACCTTCTCGCTTTAAACTGGCTCTGCATTAGACCTTTTTCTAAGACTAATTGCATAGCCCGGACTTGGAGCAGTTCTGTCGTCACGGGCCGCTGTGCCGCTCGTTGCTCAAGCACATACTCGCCGAGCAGCTCTTTAATTTGCGGAAACATACCCTGCTGTGGTCCACTGAAGCATTTGCGTGAAGCTTTGCTGTCGACAATCCTCTGCTTTTGTTTCCGCCGGTCCCGCACGCACGTTTCAGGAACTCCGAACGACCGCGATGCAGCCCGATTTCCATCCGTTTCTGCACACGCGATGACTTTCCTTTTAAAGGCGGCATCGTGGTGCACTCGAATTTTCGGAGTCGGCCCTTCCACGCCGTCGATGCTAATGCACTACTAGATGATGAACTCCTCAGCACACGCACGAAGTGCCGCACATGAGAAACACAGGCAGAAATGGCTGACGCGCCATGCTATGGTGGCTAGCTGACGCACGTAGGGGGCGGCCATTTTGAATTTGCTGATGGCAATAGATTGACCGTAATTTTTTTGTTCGTACTCGATTCTAACGCGCATGCGATTTATGAACTCACTTAACCGGAAAAAAGGTGCGCGTTAGATTCGAGTAATTACGGTAATGCACTTGCTGGCGGCGTTCGGTGACGATGAGCGAAATGCGTAATTACGATGACAAAAAGTGGGCAAGCGCTACGCTTGGCATCACATTTTCGAGTGACGACTTGTGAAACTGCTAGCCGCTGTTCCGAACAATCCTTGGCAGTGAAGGGGGGGGTGCCGAGCTTGACTGTGTGGTGCGCTGCCAATGCGTAAAATGCTCGTAAGTGGTTCAGAGCAGCTAGCGATTGATGTGCTTCATTCCTTGCGAAGAGGCACGTCACCAAGAGTGCGCTAGCGCGTCGTTCCTGCCCGCAGTCTCGCTGTCAGCAGAGTTAGGGCTAAAGACAACTCCAATGACGCGCCACACTCGTAAAGCGCGTAAAGCCCACTCGTAGTAATCTGATCGTGCATCCGGTGCGGCCGCTCTTAGTAAACTGGTTGTGCCGCCGCTTACAGCTTTATTTCTTGCGAAGAAGCACGTCACCAAGAGTGCGCTAGCGCGTCGTTCTTGCCCGCAGTCTCGCTGTCGGCGGAGCTAGGGCTAAAGATGACTCCGATGACGCGCCGCGCTCATATACCGCGCGCCCGCTCGTAGTAACTTGATCGTGCATCCGCTTACAGCTCCCAACTAACGCGTAATTATATCTTAAGTGATCATCGAGCCGTGAAACCGTAACGAAGTAGCGATTTTCGAGAGTCATGTCCTCATGACGCACAAGCAGCAGACGACGATCTCCCGGAGTGAGCATCGGGCCAATGGTGAGGCGAGCTGAGGCAACATGGCGGTCACAGCCAATCAAGGGCCTCCAAACAACCTTCATACATTTGCTTTTTGTGGGCTTGTTTTTAAAGAAAGGAGCCAGCTGAGGCGAGAAAGTTAAACACGGAGAAATGCTCTTTCCGATGAGCCCAAGAAGCGGGCTCCCGGCCCCGTCATCGCGAAGCTATAATTTTTCGAAAATCGCTGTTTTCTCGCGATTTCCAGAAATATTTTCGCTACCTAGGTGGGTGAAACGAACTTTCCAAAGCACTTCTGCGCGGTTTTCAGTGTAGATATTTTGGAATCAGATAGAAAAGGGGTTCCAGAAACTCAGAACTTGATTTTCGAAAAATCGATTTTTTTGCCATTTTTGTGATCCCAAAGCCGCGTCCCCCCTTAGAAAAGCTTCATTGAACTAATATGGCCAGAATATAAAAAAAGACTGGAATTCCTGATGTTGTGCTAGCGTTCGCGAGCGTTATGGCTCAAAGCTGAAAAATTAGCTCTTGAGCTTCATTTCCTCTTCTAATCTCAGCTATGTAGGCAGAAACAATAGCAATAGGGTTCTGAAAGTATAACTTGTATGACTAAGCTGATTTGATGTTTCAGATAAGTGCGTCTTTAGTGTCTTGTTGCACGGCAACCTTGAGCAAAACATAGTAGATGAGACAAACACCCTTAATTATCTCTCATAACGCGTTCTCCGGCTTCTCGATTGCTTCTTGTGGCTACGAGTGTGAGAGATACCGATAAGAGAGGCCAAGTACCTGAGAGAGCACACAAAGGGCATCGTGCAGCGACCGCTCGGCCTCGTCCAGGATCTGCTGGGTGGCGCCGCGCAGCACTATGGTGCAGGCCTCGCCCAGAGGCACACCCGAGAACTTCAGCAGCTTGTCCTCGCCAATCATCACCTCCTCGATGAGGTCGCACGTGCCCAGGCGCACCAGCTCAGGAGTGTTGAACGTGGACACAATCTCGCCGCCTACGCGCAAGTGGCAGCAAGGATGTCATTGTGATGACCAGTGGGCACAGAAATAGCAAATATAGTATTCCCTTGCAAAATAGCCCCATTACTTTTTTTGAGTTCTTGGTACGATTACTATGTGTTGCACAATTTTGGAAAATATTTCAACTTGAATTCTTGCACTATAAATTTGAACATGTGTCAAGTCTATGGTAATTTTCACACTGATTAGTTCAGTATAAAAGAGTGAACTTTATTTACGGGTACCTTTTAATGACAGTCGAAAACATGAACTGCACATACAATAGACTCTCAGTGAACGGAACCTCAAGGCACCAGGAAAAATATGTTCCATTTAAAACAGGAGTTCAGTTTACTGAGAGGTGAACATGGGTGCAGAATACAAGCTCGAAACCAAGCATTACTGAGGCAATAGTTCCATTTAGGCAGTAGTTCTGTTTAACCAATTTCCGTTTACTGAGAGTCTACTGTATATGTAATATTAATTTACACACAAGTCGCAGGTGCTCTTCCACATTTAGCGTTGTTGAGGAGGCTAGATTTCTCTGCTTCCAAAGACTGCACTATCAATGTGAGACCACCTGGAATCACTGTCTGTGCGCAGCTCTTTTACCTTCCCAGGCACTCAGGAAAAATGTCCAGAACAAGCATGGGTAAGTACAACAGACCTCCCGGCTGCCGAGCCCAGACTGACAATTTTACGTCACTTCCACGGACATCTAGCTTTCTGCCTGGAACCTGACTTGGATGTATCAAGAAAAATTTGTTTGAGATGGTTTTATGCTTAGAAATGATGTAAAGTGGCAGTCTGTGTTGCCCTATATCACCGCCAACGTTACGGTGCATCTTTGCTTTTCAGCGTCAGATGCTCTGATGACACTCTGTGTACCTTATTCCTCTCCTGCGGCGTTGCATGGCATGTCGAAGCAGAGGGGAATCTGATCAGTGTATGAATCAGTGACAGAATAAACTTTTTCTGCTGCAGGAGCTGTTTAAGGGGGAACATGTTTTTCACAATGAACTTTCTTATTTCTGGTTAGATATTGATGAAAATTGGCAACATTAAAAATGGCCTCACAGTGCTTTCATAAAAATTTCGTGGCAATACCACAAAAACCTAATGACAGACAAATTATTTCTTCATTGAAGCTCGTGGAGGGACTGCAGAATTTATAAAATGACAAAAATAGTACGTAATTACTGTACGCACAACCAAACGTATGTTGAAAAGGGCTAAGTTATCAAAATAAATTTTTGGCAACAGATATTTTTGCTAAAGGATTGAAGTGGCTTCTATAACCATATTACAGCATAAAAAAAAAAAGCATTCTATGAGACTGAAATCGAGTAGACTCGTGACGATTCAAACAAAATTCAATTTTTTGGTTGGCCCTCAATTGTTTTAATGTATTTAAAAGCCTCTTACTTCAAACTCAGTCATTCAGTTAATTCATACTTTTTGCAGATCCATGCCAGAAAATATCTGCTGCTTTCCCACTCCTATTTAAAAATTTGTGAGCTTATATAATCCTAACAGTCTAAAAATGAAACATAAGCTCCCAAACCTTCACAAAAAAAGATTTTCAAGTAGACCAATGTTTGAAACGAAGCACACACATGGTAAACCGTGATGCTTCTCAACTGGTATAGAGAGCATTGTGCTGAAGGCACACATAGCAATGAAGCAGTTGGCAATTCACGATTGCTTTAAGAAGTTTGATAAGCAGTAAATGGCCAAGAAAGTTGTGGACTTTACAACTCTGATTTCTGTTCACTGCATGCAGTTAGGACTTTAAAACACTTACAAAATTTTTTAAATGTGAAAAAATCAATGCCTAATAATAACATGTGGTGTCGCCTCACCCAGAGTAACCTATCTGAGAACTTCCGATAGTTCAAACAAAATTGAGATGTCCCTTCGAGTTTGAATCAACGAGAGTCGACTGTAATTCCATGCTTTACGCTAGTCGTGAATTTTCCCCCATCTCGCACTCACCTGTTACGAGAGCAAGGCGCTCGATGCCATCGAAGTCGGCGTGCTCGATGGCCATCACTCCAGCGTCTGCAAACAGCTGCTCCGGGTAGTTGTAGATGAGCTGGCGGTTGATGAACACATTGATGTTGTGCTTCAGAATTTGCTCCACCTGTCGATGATAAAACAAGCAGCCTTTCACCAAGGATTGATGAAAACAGAGTTTATGGGCTTCAAGCAATGACTCTTCCAAAGGTCTTGCTCAAAGACTGGACGTGTGTGAATACTTGAGCACTTCGAATACAGTCGCCGACCGATTTTCCGGACTCCAAAAATTCGGACTTGTTGGATATTCCGGACTTCATAAATGCACCGTCAGGGATCCCATAGAGCTAATGCATTGTTTCGACCGATTTTTCGGGCGAATTTGCCCCTGAAAGTTCGATTTTTCGGACTAAATCGCTTGTTTTGTGCCACGCCCCAAGCCATTGTGAACGCCGCCATGTTGGATTTTCCGTCGGCTTGGCTAAGCTTGGTCTTCAGATGCTTTTCCTGCCTCCGAGACTGGAATGCGCACGCCATATTTTAAGTTTCGGAGGCCGTGTTTGCTTTTTAAAAGACGCGGTGATGGATGCCGTTTTTTTCGTCTTCGGTCAGCACTATCGTCATCACATCGCACGGGGAGGAGGCGAAAAAAGGATTCTTTTATTGTCGTTGCAGCGTTTTTCAGTCGCCATTCTGCACGTGTTGTGTCGCGTAGCGTCGAGACGTTGTGTGCTTCGCAGCGGCTATCTGCGGCATTGAATTTTGTGTTCTCAGTGCCATGGCTCCGCTATCTGTGCCATCGCGGGAGCCAGGTGGTGTGAAGAAGCGTGGGAAGTATACGACCCTGACGATGGAGAAGAAAGCTGCCATAATCAAGCTAATAGAGAGTGGACGTTCGCAGCTAGATGTCGCTGGATGATGGTCGACGCCGGATGGCGGTCGTCGTTGTCGTCGGATGACAACGACGACCGCCCGCAGCCGTCGGAGATCGCCAACGCGGTGACAATTTTGTCGAGCGTTTACAGCGACGATGTCACCTTGGCGCAAATACGGGCAAACCAAATTGCCTCCAAGCGTAGTTTGAGACAAGGCAGCATCAAGGACTTTTTTAAACCTGCCTGATGCAATAAACTTCAGATTTTTGGCAAAAACGAATTTTTCGGACTGTTCGATTTTTCGTACTTTTTTTCGGTCCCCGCCAGGTCCGAAAAATCGGTCGGCGACTGTATTTCAAGAAATATTACAACATTTATATCGGCTTCTAGATCAATTTTAAATTTCAGAAATTTTGAGGCACTTGAAAGAAACGAACACATTCATAAAACCACATGGAACCCGATTGAATGCATGGTTTCACTGTAGATTTTAGCTGCTATGCTGTGCAACCACCTACTGTGGGGAAGGGCACACTGTCTCAAAGCCACACCAGATTAATGGACACATCACCTGCAATCTCATTAATATTTTTTGAAAATTTCAAAGCATGTTAATGACAAGGTCTGCAACGTGCAAACACGGATGCACGAAAGTCGAGACACCTCAAACGCTGACTGGCAACTGCAAAGGTACACAACAGTGGAAAAGCAGGATGGCACAAAAACTTGTTCGCGCATGCTCGTGCAATAGGCGAGTCGATCAATCTGGCACGGGGGGATGGTCTACGTGAAAGGTAACTGTTCCGGAAACACTGGATTTCTTTCCGCAGGTAAATCTATGGTTGCCTCACGCATGCGTGACAACTATTATCTATATGGCAGGCCTTAGCGCATCTAGTCCGAACAACATTATTTTGAACTTAAAAAAAAAAAAAAACTAATATAAATGCAGGCAGCTTATACTTTTTAACGTTTAATTGTGGCTTTGCGGCAGTGCCCCATTCCCTCGGAGAGTAAATTTTGTGACATAGCAGCCTCACAATGAAACGAAACCACCTCTTTAGAGGAGATGGCATAGGGCAAAATATACATCTACACTCAAATCTCAATATACCAAATTTTTATATAAAGGATTAATGTTTATAACAAAGTAAAGAATAACTTTGTAATGAATGCAGTTACAGATAATCGTTTATAATAAGTTTTCTGATATAACAAAGTATTCCAAGTGTAGATGTGACTGTTGTAATGTGCTTTGAGTGTGTTCGCTTGAAATCGCAGAAACTTCCAATTTGTGCCGAAGCGAACTTGAATATTACAATATTTCCTCTACAATGTTTGCCGATGGCTACAGTTCGTGCAACAGCAAGTTTATCGAGGCGCTCCCATTGTTTAAAGAGGTCGATGTGTAAGCCCTCACCTTTTCCTTCATCTTGACCTTCTCGGCTAGCTCCATGTCGGCGATCGCTGCGAGCGACTCAACCCGCACGCGGCTGCCAAAGACCTTCACCTTGTCGGCATCCATGGGGGTGTTGGCGATGAGGATGCGTGCCTTCTCCACCCTCTTCGGCTGGTGCACGCCGGGCTTCTTGTCCAGCAAAAAGCCTGTGTCAAAAAGCAAAGATAACTTCTATGTGGTCACTCACTGTCCATTAGACCCTTGTGATTGCATATATATATTTTTTGCGAAATGCCTCCCAAGAACGTGGAGTTTTTTTGGTTCAAAGATATTGCCCAGAGAAATCTATTTCGGCAAAAAAATTTTAAATTTTTTGGATACCATCAAGTGACGAAAAAATCTAAAAATTTCTAAAGTTCTAAAATTTTTTAATTTCTAAAAATTTTTAAATTTCTTTCTCAATCTTAACCAAACTTCACTACCTAAGCTAGTTTTTCATGCTGATTTCAAATCTCTAATTTGTTTCTTAATATTTCAAGTGGTTTAGAAAATATGAAGGTCTGAATATTAATTGCATACTTCTTAAGGGACACTTCTTGGCAATTTATTCTTGCTAAATCCAAAAAGTGAATGCATAATCCCAATGCTGGAGACTTGCTGTAGGAGGTGATGCTATTTTTATCCATTTGAAGGCATTTTATAAGCAAGAAAACAAACGAACACTTATGGTCATTACATTACAATAAATTTTTCTCACTTAAATCTTCAATGGTAATTTTTGAAGTGATGCTAGAGAAATAGAAATAGCATCACCCCCTAGATAATGTCAAGACCAATAAAATGATACCAACTTTGTCGCATTCACTCAAGTTTAACATAGGAAAAACCACCATAAGGCCGAGTGCAATGTGCAAAAACATCGAACTAAGAAAAAGGCGTTTGAAGTTTCTAGCCCCTTTAACTTTTGCTAAAGTGAAGCTACAGCGATATTAATGACATAATTCTGTAGCTCTATGTTATAGGATAAATGGCCATGCTAAATTTCACTCTACCAACCAAGAATACTGCTCACAGCTTTTTCTAGAACTATAAAATTGTCATTGACTCGGCATGAGAATTATTATATTTTTACTTTGTGGTCGTTCCTGTGCCTTACAAGTGAAAGGAACACAAAAAAATTATGTAATAATGTTGTCCTTGGATAGACAATAGATTTACACAATGTTTAGGTCTAAAACCAAGAATATTTATTTTTGCAAAATTCTCACTATTTGCCATCATGAATGTTTATAGCAGACCAGGGCTGTAAGCAGAGTCCCCTGCTGGCTTGTGACACTTTGAAAGTCTTTCCTTTATTGAACTGCTGTCGAGATGCTCTCTTCGCGATTTTTGCAGCCTGCCCTTGTCCTTCTCAAGGCTGCAACGCACCAAGTTATTGCCAGCGCTGTAGCCCAGCTTCTCGGCAATTTGGTTGAAGCGGCTGATGGCTTCGGCAACTGCCCTTTCAATGCTCCGCAAGGATGCATGCTGAGTTTTGGGGGCCTGCTGCCAAATCATAGCATGCAGGCTCTCACTTGGGTTCTGGGTGATCCCATCGCTGCACCTTTCCAAGAGGGCATTGTCGCTCAGCCGCCTAAACACAGGCTCCAATGCCTCAGTTATGAAATCAGGCAGGCTGTCCTTGTGTGGTGGCGGCTTCTCATCTTTCGCAAGAGCTCTCTGAAATTTGCACCAGGATTCAGGGCCTTCAGGGCAAAGGTCATGCTTTGGGGCCTCGTCAGTTGAAGACATGTGGTTCAAAGTTGCTAGAACAGCCTTCTGCATACCTGGAACATAGTATGAGGTGATCTTCTTTATCTTTTGTTGCGTAAGTCTGCCCTTTCCACCAAGTGAGCCACCTTGAGCTTTTTTTTTCTCTACAAGGGTACGCAAGGCAGCTCCCATACGCTTGTGTACATAATTTATGCAGTTCTTTTTGGCCACCTTTATGAAGCCGTACACCTCTTCTTCTGTGAGTGCATGGAATGTCCTGCTGTCACCGTCCGACAGCACGTATAACGAAGCTTGTGCTTTTCAAGTGACCGCTCAAACAAGCGTAGTGCTGCCTCCACTTCCATCTGGCCAGCATTACAATCAACGTTCTTCTGGCACAGAGGGGCATGCTGAATGAGCCAGGCAGAATGTTCTGCTTCTCCTTCCTTGGGTCCTGTGGTGCAAGCCAGGCAAAAGTTCGATAGCAGGATATGGTCTATCACGAGGCCACTATACATCTCAACAATGCAGCCAACACATATATGCGAGCTATGTCCATGCGTAAGCCAGGTGCCGTCATAAATGACGTCGACGTTTCCGGACGCGTTGCTGAACTCCGCATAGAGCCCCTTGACGCGAGCAACGCTCGCCGCTTCGCATTCGGCAGCAAACGCTGATGCTAGAGAAATAGAAATAGCATCACCCCTAGATAATGTCAAGACGAATAAAATGATACCGACTTTGTCGCATTCACTCAAGTTTAACATAGGAAAAACCACCATAAGGCCGAGTGCAATGTGCAAAAACATCGAACTGAGAAAAACGCGTTTGAAGTTTCTAGCCACTTTAACTTTTGCTAAAGTGAAGCTACAGCGATATTAATGACATAATTCTGTAGCTCTATATTATAGGATAAATGGCCATGCTAAATTTCACTCTACCAACCCAGAATACTGCTCACAGCTTGTTCTTGAACTATAAAATTGTCATCGACTCCGCATGAGAATTATTATATTTTTACTTTGTGGTCGTTCCTGTGCCTTACAAGTGAAAGGAACACAAAAAAATCATGTAATAATGTTGTCCTTGGATAGACAATAGATTTACACAATGTTTAGATCTAAAACCAAGAATATTTATTTTTGCTAAATTCTCACTACTTGCTATCATGACTGTTTACAGCAGACCAGGGCTGTAAGCAGAGTCCCCTGTTGGCTTGTGACGCTTTGAAAGTCTTTCCTTTATTGAACTGCTGTCGAGACGCTCTCTTCGCGATTTTTGCAGCCTGCTCTTGTCCTTCTCAAGGCTGCGACGCACCAAGTTATTGCCAGCGCTGTAGCCCAGCTTCTCGGAAATTTCCACGTTGCTCTTGGTTGTGCCTTGGTTGAAGCGGCTGATGGCTTTGGCAACTGCCCTTTCAATGCTCCACAAGGATGCATACTGAGTTTTGGGGGCTTGCTGCCAAATCATAGCGTGCAGGCTCTCACTTGGGTTTTGGGTGATCCCATTGCTGCACCTTTCCAAGAGGGCACTGTGGCTCAGCCGCCTAAACACAGGCTCCAATGCCTCAGTTACGAAATCAGACAGGCTGTCCTTGTGTGGTGGCGGCTTCTCATTTTTCGCAAGAGCTCTCTGAAATTTGCACCAGGATTCAGGGCCTTCAGGGCAAAGGTCATGCTTTGGTGCCTCGTCAGTTGAAGACATGTGGCTCAAAGTTGCTAGAACAGCCTTCTGCATACCTGGAAAATCGTTCCTGTGGCTTCCCAATGCGTAGCCATAGTATGAGGTGATCTTCTTTATCTTTTGTTGCATAAGTCTGCCCTTTCCACCAAGTGAGCCACCTTGAGCTTTTTTTTTTCTCTACAAGTGTACATAAGGCAGCTCCCATACACTTGTGTACTGATTTATGCAGTCCTTTTTGGCCACCTTTATGAAGCCGTACACCTCTTTTTTTGTGAGTGCATGGAATGTCCTGCTGTCGCCGTCCGACAGCATTGTCGTATAACGAAGCTTGTGCTTTTCAAGTGACCGCTCAAAGAAGCGTAGTGCTGCCTGCACTTTCATCTGGCCAGTATTACAGTCAACATTCTTCTGGCACAGAGGGGCATGCTGAATGATCCAGGCAGAATGTCCTGCTTCTCCTTCCTTGGGTCCTGTGATGCAAGCCAGGCAAAAGTTCTATCACGAACTTTTGCCTGGCTACGCATTGGTCTATCACGAGGCCACTATACATCTCAACAATGCAGCCAACACATATATGCGAGCTATGTCCACGCGTAAGCCAGGTGCCGTCATAAACGACGTCGACGTTTCCGGGCGCGTTGCCGAACTCCGCATTGAGCTCCTTGACGCAAGCAACGCTCGCCGCTTCGCAATCGGGCAGCTGTCACACAGCAGGCTTCTTTCATTATATTCATCCCGGCGAAGAAGTCCGACAGAGCCGTTGCCCCCTTGCCAAAACTGTAGATGGCCTTCATGGCGTGAATATTAACTTCAAACGGCCTTATTTTGGCGTCGGTCTCGTCGGCTATACGTGAGGATGAAAAACGCTTTTCGTGAAAGTCACAACTGCCGGACCTGACTATGAGCTTCGAACACAGCCCGTACTCTTTCTTGGCCTTTGAAATAGTGACGCTTCTTCCACCGCATTCTGGGCACGCGACAAGTCCAAATATCGTATCGCTGCCAGATCAACAATAACATATTCTGTCCCGTTTTCTTTGCCACCATCCTCCAGATCATCTAGTAACTCGAACTTACGTTCCGTCGCGCACTGCGATGCGAGTGATGCCTTCAAGCCTGCTGCATTTCTCGCGCACTCAGCAAACTCGTCTGCCAAATAAAACGCGGTGTTAACGCGGTCTAGGATGCTGCTGGAAGTGCAAGATGATCCGACGACGACACAATCCGATGAGGCGCTGCTGCAAGGCACAGGAGAGTGCACCGCTTCGGACACAAGTGGCCGCGGCTGCGCGCTGTCGTTTGAACGAATTCGACCTGCCGTGGGTTGTTTTGCGGCTCCCGTGGCGACTTCATAATCAATTTTAATCCATTCACTGATCGAATTCAGCGTTTACAATTTGAGGACACATGCTTATAGGTCTAAAAATTTCAAATATCACATTTTCTCAAAATCGACTTTCTGGCCATTTTTCACCATTCTAAGAACCGCGTTCCCCCTTAAGTGTTTTCACTAAAGCACATAGTTTTTTCACCAGTAACAGAAAAATAAATTCGAATAAAAAAACAAGCCTATACAAAGATTGAAAACTTATGCGACGCAACAACATCAACATACAGTCGAGCCCGCTTATAACGAACCTAAGCGTGATGCGGCATCCGTTCGCTGCATCCCGAAGTTCGTAGTAAATAAAACAGCTTTTAAAAAAGTTGCGAGCGAAAACACAAACTTTTTTTGCCCCGAAAATTCCATGATGAACGTGTTTCGAAGAGCAGAAGCGAGAAGGGTGGTCTCGAATTCATTTAAAACGGCAGGGTGCTCATTCGCCGAGGTCCATGGCATAAGCTGCATTAGGCACTGGCTCCAAATTTTCGTCGTTCTCGCAATCCGATTCCTCCAAATCGCTCTCACCAAATACTTCATTCACAATGCCCCGATTCTTGCACGGCTCCGCAGTGTTGGCATCATCATCGGCCATAATTCAACCATCGCAACAGATGTCCCACCCGCTCTCCCAGGTCGGAGTTGACGACATGCTGCCACAAATCGCCGCCGTAGTTCGGAACCTTCAGGCTCAGCATCGGGCCCGATGTCAACGAAGTCGGCCTCGTGAAAACAGTCTCGCGCGCATGTAGTCGTCACCGCCGTCCACGAAACATTCATTATCTCTCCAGATGAATACCGGGACGCCCAAAGCGGCAAGTTGGCTGCCAGGTGGTCAACAGCTATGAGCAAGCGCTCCACAACGCGGCACCTAACGCGCGGATTACGCTCAAGCCAAGCGGTCACACTTTCGACGTTTTGTTGGGCGGCAGGAATAAGCGTGCTAGTTCTCCCGTCGCCCATCATGACCACAAACGCACACCAAGAGCGAGCGAGGCGCGCACACGCGACACGCATGCCAGAACGCGTGGAACAGCTCTGGGCCAGTTTTCAGTCAGAAAACAAAACCAATTCGAGCCAGGGTGGCGGGCGTCACAGAGCGGTGGAGACGGGTAAAGGGGCTGTGATCAAGAGAGGGGAGGATGCTGCGTGAGGGCGACCTTGAAAACCGTAACACACGGGAAGGAGGCAGGTTGGGTAGCGTGCTTGAAAGGTCTGCGAAACTCGCACGTAGAAAAACTTGGAAAGAGTGCCTGCGCGTACAAAACTGAAAGCACGACTACCTGGATCGGTGCGCGCGGCGATGTTCGAAGAATCGGCGGCTGTGGTGAAAAAATCGTTTTGTTGCGCCGGCGGTGCGCGTGGCGTCACGAACTTCGATATTTCGCGATTCGTTCCGCGCAAATTAACAACCATCTTCGCGCTTCTGCACACGTTCGGAAGGCATGCTGCTGAGTTGACTGCGAAGTGAGCGAGAACAAGTCCTAATCACGAAACGAATCACAGATAATCAGAGTCGGAGGGGTAGCGAACGCGCGTGCACTAGACGCAGACTATCGGGCACAGTCGGTGGCCGACGATGTTGGCAAATGGTCTGGTCACTCCAGATCGGCGGCGCCAAGGACAGTACCAGCAATCAAAAACAGGGTGTTTCCGCTTTGCATCACTACTTTTTCACCGCGATCGATATGCCTGGAGACTTTTGTCTGAAACCACCGACGCGACGAGCTTCCGGAAGCCGTAAAAACGGCCTTGAAACAAGGTGCCGGCCACAAGTGCCCTTTGGCAGTTAGTTGCAGTCGCTGCCGGACCCGTTGGATTCGTTGGAAACTTTAACGACGCTGTCTACTGAGGACAACACAGTGGCACCCTGTTTGACAAGCGATACACTTCGGATTGATGCTCGAATCTAACGCGTAATTACTCGAATCTAACGGTTCTCGAATCTAACGAATCTAACGGTTACGGTTCGAGTAATTACTCGAACCGTAATTACTCGAATCTAACGCGCACCCTTTGTCCGGTTAAGCGAGTTCATAAATCGCATGCGCGTTAGAATCAAGTACGAAAGAAAAAAAAAAGAGAAGAGGATACGGTCATTCTATTGTCATCGGCATTTCCAAAATGGCCGCCCCCTATGTGCGTCGGCCACGGAGTCGGCCATTTCTGCCTATGTGTTTCCCATGTGTGGCACTTTGTACGTGTGCTGAGGAGTTCGTCATATTGTAGTGCATTAGCATCGACAGCATGGACGGGCCGACTCCAAAAGTTTTAGTGCACCACGATGCCGCTTTTAAAAGAAAAGTCATCGCGTGTGCAGAAACGAACGGAAATCGGGCCGCATCGCGGTCGTTCGGAGTTCCCGAAACGTGCGTGCGGGACTGGTGGAAACAAAAGCAGAAGATCGTCGACAGCAAAGCTTCACGCAAAGGTTTTAGTGGACCACAGCAGGGTTTGTTTCCGCAAATTGAAGAGCTGCTCGGCGAGTATGCGCTTGAGCAGCGAGCGGCACAGCAGCCCGTGATGACAGAACTGCTCCAAGGGCAGGCTATGCAGTTAGCCTTAGAAAAAGGTCTAATGCGGAGCCAGTTTAAAGCGAGCAGGTGCTGGCTAACTAACTTTATGAAGAGGAAAGGCTTTTCCCTCCGAAGGCGAACGGGCATACGCCAAAAGTTTCAGGAGGAGTACGATGAAAAGCTTCACAGTTTTCAAAGGTTCGTCCTAAACTTGCGGCGCAACAACAGCTACCTGCTTGGGCAAATCGGGAATGCCGATCAGACGCCTCTTTACTTCGACATGCCTGGCACCACAACCGTTGAGAAGAAGGGGGCGAAGCAAGTTCGCGTGCTGACATCGGTTCACGGTAAAACTACAGTGACGGCAATGCTCTGTTACACGTCAGATGGGCACAAGCTTCCCCCTTACCTCATATTTAAGTGGAAGACGCCCCCGAAAGTAGTCGTTTTTTAGAGTGGTGTGATCGTGTGCGCCTTGAGAAAAAGGGTGCGCGTTGCAATCGATATCTTACTTCCTTTTTTTTTTCCGTCGTGGAAACCGGGTGCGCGTTACAATCGAGGGTGCGGTAGAATCGAGTAAATACGGTACTCAACGACGGAGCAGGCACAACACAACGAAGCGCAAACGAAGACCGTTTCGTCGGGAGAGTTGGCTACCCGAAAGTTCGACCTCCTTGGAGTCAGCGCTTATAGCCTTCGCCATCCGATTTTCGGCAGCGCCTACACAGCCAACGAGCTCGGAGTTGACGGAAGCACTGTCAATCGGTGAACAGCGACAGCATGACCTGTAGCTAAAATTGAGGCAGACATTATCCCGGGCAAGGGGAATGCCGTGCACAAGAAAATAGAAGACTTTTTTTTTGGGCCGACGTGTTGTCCACTGAGGTACCACCGGCCACATCAATTTTTTTAAAATATATACGCCTCTCTTCAGAGCCGCCTGAACAATGCATTTACAAGATTGCAACAAGAATTTTGTACTACAGCCGTGACCCTCTGCGTCAGTAAAAATACCTATCAAAAGGGCATTTTCGCGCACATTCGTTTTTCCGGATGGATGGATGGATGGATATAAAAGTAATCACCAGTGTCATAGTTGAAGACATTTTTTTCATAGTTGGTGAAAACATGCCCGATTTTCCATACATTTTCACGGTCCCTTGAGAATTCGGAACACAGCAGCTTATTACCCAGGGCAGCATGCTCCCTAACAGCTAGTCGTTTGAGCCTCATACCTTATAGCTTTTCCAGAACTCCTCAACAGCTTGCCATGATGGAGTTCTGATAATGCTTTCCATATTGAAAAAATTTTTTAGAAATGATTCCAAGCGTGGAATAAGGCACATTTTGTTTTGTTTTGCAGGGGAATAGATGGGGAACATGTGTATAAAACTTGTGGTAAAAGTTTCTTATAGAAAATTTTGCAGTGCATGTCAAAACTTCAAATGCGATTTTCTGAGCTTCACATTTTTTTGCAAACCTGACCGGCCTTACCTTCATCATGTTTTTGTGAAGCAATTTTTAAAACTTTTATACCGTTGAACTCGTAAAAAACAGGACTGCAGAGCCAAGCTCTTTCTTGTGACTAAGAGGGACATACGAAATGTTATGAACAATAATCTGAGCTAATTAAATTTCAAAATTGTCAAGCATCAATGCAAATGAGAGTTTTCATATGATAATGTATCTCAGTGACAATATAAATAGCATAGCTCCACATGGCAGGTCTTTGGCTACAGCTGCATCCTAAACGGAACCTAAGAATATTGAGAGAAAGTACCTTAACAACCCGTAAGAAATTACACAATTAGACTTCACTCTTGCTCTCACAATTTGACAACTAGTTGGTGTACATTAAAAATAATTATATATTTGGATAGAGGAGGAAGAAATACATATATACACATAATTTGATTACAGTATCTCTAATAAAAATTTTCATTTCAAGACCAGCCTCTCCCTTTAAAGGAAGTTACATGGTATAGAATGACTTGCATAGGTTAATTTCGGTTTCTCGCTCATCTTTCTCACACGTCTCAAGCGCAACAATAAATACAGATTTTGAAAATGTTAGCTTCAAAAATGACTTTTTCCCCGTGATTTTTTTTTTACCTTTCAAGACCCGCGTCCCCCCTTAACCCTTCTGCGACCTTGCGAGATTCTGCAGTAGTGATTCGCGAAAACCAAATTCTGTCACTCACCCTCGGCCAGGAAAGAGTCGGTGAGACTACTGCCCAGCTTCTTGATGATCTGAATGGCATCCAGATTGCCAGAGCCCTTCAGCCGCATGACAGCGTCCATGGCCAGCTTGGCAAAGAACTCCTTGTGCTGCGCCAGGATCTTGGAGCCCAGCGTCGTGCGTGCAATGTTCAACACGTCCTCCCGGAAACGTGCCTCATCCGCACTGCAAACAATAATAAAAGATCACAAGGGTTCACATCAAAGCATTGCAAAAACAGGACTTTTGTATTTATGTGGCTGTGAGTAGAAACCCCAACCCCCAATAGATCAGACATAAAAACAACAAAAGTGACGCTTACTATGGCACTTCATTGCTGTCAGACTGACTTTTCATGCGCAGTAGCAGGAAAATTGATAGAACGCTGCTCAAAGTGATATAATAATAATAAAAAAATGCAAGAGTGAGTCCAACATGCGTTTTCAGTGCAGTCAAAGCTATGACGATGCACTCAGCCAACACAATGTGTCTCACAGGTAATGCATTAAATCTACAAGGAGGCGTCGCGAAGCACTCGCTTACCAAGATGATGTAATGCTTTCTTTCAGTTCATTTGTTCCTCTGTGGTGTCAAACACACGCTAGGTCTATACACAAACTGTACTGTACACAAGTGACCTGGATTTACATTCAGCTTTGGCTAGCTAGCTTGCTCAGCTACTTGCGGCCTGGATTTAAATTCGACTTCGGCTAGTTAGCTTGCTCAGCTACCTGTAGCTTCACTGCAGGACTGGAAGTGGTTTTGTTTCTTTCACTCAAAATTGGGTTCAGGTAGTTCACTTGCACATTGATGGCCGCCACAATACAATCGGGAAGACAAGGGATTTGATGATTGATATGTAAGGTTTAACATCACAAAACCACCATATGATTATGAGAGGCGCCGTAGTGGAGGGCTTTGGAAATTTCGACCACCTGGGGTTCTTTAACATGCACCAAAATCTGAGCCCACGAGCCTACAGCATTTCCCCCTCCATCGGAAATGCAGCCGCCACAGCCGGGATTCAATCTGGCGACCTGCAAGTCAGCAGCCACTAGACTACCGTGGCGGGGCGGGAAGACTAGGGAGCTATCTCAGAGTTTCTATTTCAGATTGATGAGAGCTTGATGAGCCACAGCATGTCGTTTGTTTCTGGCTTCTTTTTTACAGGGTCATTTTGACATGACAGAGCTCTCACACTTTTGACACAAACAACGAGCAATCAACACACTTCATAGCAGCAAAAACAACCATGGAGATCCACTTTTGGTCACAGAAAATCTCGAGGGCTGCGCATTAGCTCTCATTCAGCGATCACGCTAGCCCTTGAATTAGGTCCAATGCAGGATCTTGTTCAATGCATTTGTGACCATTTGTACCTGTTCCCTGCATTGTTAGCTGGCATCTCAGACACACTCACATGCAATAACAGTCTTGTCAAGTTTGTTTAAGTTTTAGTGCAACTGATCTTTTCGTCCACTTCGTTTCTTCTAATGCTTGGTGTGTCGGTGTGGTTGAGAGAGCGGTGATGTCACAGCTAGCCGCTTTCTAAAGTAACCAAATGCTCTCTGCCAAAATGACCTCATCTACCAGACAGACAGTTCCAGAATGGCTCCCCAGGGCCGAAATTGGACAGGTCAAATTAGGAGCGATGGCAACTACGCGTAAGCGCATTTAGACTGTCGCATCTAGACTCCTTTACACCGTTGCTCCTGCAGTTAAGAGTGGACTCTGCAAGTAACTGCTTGGCCATACCATGCCATAGACACCCAGCCGCCACGGCAGGACACATAATGAAATGAGTACAGCTAACTTGTCACACCCACATACCTGTGGTCCTCGGCAAAGGACTCGAGGGCTTGTCGGGCTGCAGTGGTGGCCTGGCGCCAGCCCGCGATGATGGTCTGCGGGTGGATCTTCATGCCGACCAGCTGTTCGGCCTCCTTGAGCAGCTCGGCTGCCAGCACCGTCACAGAGGTCGTCCCGTCACCCACCTCGTCGTCTTGCACCTTGGAGATGTCTGTAAGAAGCAAGCGTCGAGGAGGCGAAATGAAAAAAAAAGTGTGGCGAGCCATTCTATCCCGCTCGTGACCCACTGGTATAACAGATAAATAGTCATAAGGGACACCACTGTGCCTACATTAAAATAGGAGTTGATAAAGAAATGCATAAGTGATACCCTGCTTATAAGAGACTTGTAGTACAGTGTACAGTCGACGTCTGATTTCTCGAACGCCCGAAATTCCGAACATGCCTGATTTCCCGGACTCATCTGTGGCACCGTCAACTTCCCGATAGATGATTAAAAAGTCCGAAATTACGGCAGTCTATAGCTTTTGCCATCCGATTTTCCAGACTGTTTACCACTAACCACAGACTCGAAGTAACTATCAACGCTACCATTTTGGTTGTTTTCGGACCATCGAATCCACCGCGCAGCGGCCAATGCCGCGACTGCCGTATCCTCAAAACTGAAAATGCCTCAATCCAGCGCACGCCAATCCGTTGCCAGCCGTGGTTTAGGCCGCATGGTGCTGTGCAGCCTGTGCTCCGACAGTGGCAAAAGCTACACTGTTGACCTTTGGTCTGCTGTCGGCATGCTTGCAGACTCGTGGAAGGCGGTTATGCAACAAATCCTCGGGAACTGTTTTCGTTATGGGAGTTTCATACTGGACGCCGAGACAGCCGTCTTGCCCAGAGTGGACAGCACGTGCGACGTACTTCGACTCGCGGACGTTGCCTTCGATGATCTGTGCATTGCTGGTGTTCAACTCCAGCCGAGATAACTTTCGAGGTCTTCGCCGACGCTGACAAAGACCTTAAGCTGTGTGCGGAATTGACGGATGATGAAATCATTCCTCAAGTTACGGACGATTCTGATAACTCTGACACCGAAATAGAGGCAGCGCCTACATAGCCAACGAGTTCAGTGTTAACGTGAGCACTGACACTGTCATTGGTGTACAGCATGACGTTGACGAAATTGAGACAGACATCATCATGGTTCAGGTTTTAAAAAAAAATATTCAATTTGAAGGTAATGCCTAACAAAGTAGTTAACTAAAAATGAGCAAGACGAATGCAATGTTTTGTCGAATGCAAGAATGCTCAAAACTGAAAGCTTCGCATAATGCGACACATGCTGATCCTCTTTAAGTCCTTGTTTTTTTGTGCCACTAGTACAATTATGCCGTGTTTTTTAACTAAAATGTGCAAGGATTGGCAACACCTTCTTCCACCCCTGGATCGTGGTGGCAGTGGGTGAGCCTCCGCATTGTTTTCAATATGGTAGCCATGGTTCTTGCACCCCTTCTCCATTCTAATGCTAACCCTCTTTACATAAGGTATAGAACATGGTATAGTATAAGGCAATAAAGGGATAAAAAATGCCAGTGAGGATATGATCTGGTGAAGATGTTGCGAGTGCAAGCTAAACTAACTTGGGCCCACATGTCGACACTTCACCATTATTTAACTTCCTGTGCTCCCCACCTACCGGCACGCACTACTACTTAAAGGGCCACTCACCAGGTTTGACAATTTTTAGCTGACAAGCGCAATGTGTAGATGAGGCGTTCATGATCACGTCTGCCAAAATTTGCAGCGCTACGCGCCGCGGAAATGGGTCAAATTTCAAGGTGAAAGCTGCTCGCCCTCCCCTCTACCTGCGCACGCGTAGAGAATGAGGGCATGACGTGGGCGTTGGAATGGCCCTACGTACACAGCACTGCGGTCACGTTGGTCCTCTACGTAGACGACTCTGCTCTGACGTTGTCAACAGTATACCACGTGACATGGCAAAAGTTATTTAACACAACATGCGTAGTTTATATAATTGTTGCTTTAAGAGATGAGTAAAACTTGAAATAAATAACCAGACGCAATAAAAAATTGTGCATATTTTTCTTACATTTTTTCCCGTGAAATGCTACCAGATGCAGGGCTAATGTGCCAGCGTTTCACATGCGTTCGGGTTCCCACGGTCTGCGCATTGAGCAGACGACCGCCGTGGAACGCTCCTACGCGTTCGCGCACTCATCGTGCTCATTTACTCTACTGCGTCTAAGCCAGCGTTTCCAAACAATGCCGCAGAAACAGGCAGAAGATCACAAAATAACGCTGGTCAACAAAGCAACGCCGCTCGCGTGCACGGGAGCTGGGCTTGTTCGGGCACGTTATGCGAATGTCACCTCTTGGTCGGATGCTGGAAAGGGTGGGGAAGAGGCTTGGCTTGCGAAGGCTACGCGGAGGAGCGGTAAGGGTTTCGAATTCCTCTCCTTTCACCCTCGTTTCGCGCCGCTTCAAAAAACCTGTTTTCTCCGCTCGTAATGAACAGATTCGAGAAATTTTTGTGGCAAAACGTTCTTCATCGAACACCCAACAACTTCCACTGTCTAACTGAAATTCGGTATGGGGCCTGGTGAGTGGCCCTTTAAAAGAAGTTTAGGACTTACCAACGAGGATCTTGGCAGCAGGGTTGTCAACGCCCACAGCCTTGAGGATGGTGGCACCGTCGTTGGTCACCTCGACCTTTCCCTCCTGGCGACCCTGGCACATCAAGATCTTGTCCTGGACAAGGCAGAAAGAACACAATAAGCGCACACTACGCAAAAAATTTTCCCCGAAACTCCTAAAAATTCTTAAATTTAGGCTTTCAGAGGAAGAAAGAAAACTGCGTCAAATTCTGAAACCCCTTCAAATGAGTAGTGCATAAAAAAAAATGATGGCAAAAGAAAGGCAAACAGGACAAGCACTGCTCAGCTGAAGTCGTGCATGTTTCCAAACGTGCCGAGCTTGTAGAAATCCCACTAATTAGTTACTGATTAGTCAACGAATTCCCCTCAAACAGTGAATGGCACATATTGAAATTACAAGTTTCAGCCAATTAGATGGCGGGACATATGGACATGCAATGAAACCAGACAGTGGCTTGAATATTGATTGATAATGACCCATCGAAGTCATGGTAAGAGTGCAATACCGTTGCAGTCACGTTTTGTAGCAAAATAGTGCTTTGTGCAACAAAGCACTAAAGTGATCAGAGAGCTCATGTATGCCATAGCATGTACTGGGAAAGAATATCTCCGAAACCGAACAAACATGCAAAGAAAATTCTCATCAGCCGTGTATGACTTGATTACTTGTCAACTACAGTTCACCAATCGTAATATCTTCTGCAATACAATTGAATAATAAGTTAATTAGAGAATCTCAGTTGAATTCAACCTTTAATTCACGCTAATTCAACAGTTAAGGAAAAAAACTCACTATTACAGAAGTAAGGCAAACAAAAAAATGTTCAACATATAAGTTGCAAAATTGAGCTGCTTGCAAGCCCTTTGCATGATTGACGATCGTAATCAGTTACGGCAAATGTAACACGTGTTCTCGCAGACATGCTCTTACTCTTCTCACAAGACACGAGCTTCAGTTGATGTACAGCTGATAACATTGTCCTGATTAAATGTTCTTTTACTCCCTACGATTCGTACCCCTCCAAGAATGCCCAAAAGCCAATGCACAGTTACCTACCAAAGTAATTTAAGATAAAACAAGAGAAACCTTTCATCAACTGTGATCACATGTATTAAATGCGTTCACCCGACTTGGAAGTCCTACCATGGAAGAGCTGCTGGAAAGTAATATCTACAGCTCATCACCAACATGAAACAGTTCCACTCATTCCTTAAGGCGGCAGACTGCTCTTTGGGACCAAAAAGTGACCAAAAAAAAAAAAAATCATTTTTTTAAAACTGACATATATGGTATCTGCAAGTATTTTGCTATCTCTCTGCAAATTTTTACACGCCAGGAAGTGGTAATTATTTTGTAATGTCATTCTAACTGTGCATATTCTTGGTGCTGTTAGCATGAAGAACCTGCAAAAAAATGGGGAACCAACTTCGAGGCCTCTTTATAATTTGCCAGCACCTGTGTTAGAAGCTCTGCTACGAATTTATGAGCACTTTTATGAGGATTGCAAAACATGCACACCATGATTGTTGCTTTTTGAAGAAGCTGTGTGTTTTCAGTTTTTTCCATTTTTCTCAAAAAAGTAAATTTACAACTGTTCAATTTTGGGGCCTCAATATCTCGCAGCTAGGGTAGGTACAACAATAATTCTTTTTGCAATGGAAACCTGTATGTATGTAGGGTGCAAGTATGGGAGCAGAATTCAGAGAACAAGCCTTTTTAATTAATTACTCATCAAAATTTTAACACAGTTCCAACTGCTTTTGAAAATGGATAGTTCATTTTGCTGTAAAATAATAAGAAAGGCTTAAAAACAAAAAAACTCTTCCATTATTTCAATCTACAGTCATTAGTCTATGTTAGGATATTTTAAATATAACTTTTAATTAAGCAGCTTTTTTTCTATGGTGGCTTTAACAATAGGGGGTAACTTAAGTTATCTCAGGAATAAGATGAATTACAGAAAAACTAATTAAACATTTGAAATCAGCACAAAAAACTGCATAATTCCGTGCAGTTTGATCAAGATCACTGAAGAAATAAACAAAAAATGTCTAAAAGCAGTCTGCCCCCTTAAAAGCACACTAAAGTGAAAAAATGATTTGGTTTGACAGATTAATTCCACTCTGAAAACTATTATGTCGTAAGTTTCCCCATCATAAATTAAATATTAAGGAGGAAATCAAGGTTGAACTTTCATTTTAAATTTCATGCTGAAATCTCTACACATCGCGCCCCGAATTTCAGTAGAATTTTTCATGTTTCCAGGCCATTGGTTCAATTCAACTTTTTGAAACTTCGTGTGTCAGGTCTAGGGCACCCCAAGATAACAATGTACTTCAATTTCACAAATTAGGAACTAAAGTGAAATCTCAATACAACGACAATGAATCCCATAGGAGAGCTGAAATCATTTGTTACTCGGGAAAGTCGTCGTAGTAAAAGAATAAAAAATTTGCGCAAAAATAATAAACGCAAGCACAGTGATAGAAATTATTTCCAGCATTTTTGGAGCAGCCATTGGAGCATGCACAGGCTTTCATAGCATACACAGAACAAGAAAACTTAGATTAAATTTAGTTTAATGTAGCTTAGTAGCAGAGCATCGGACGCATTATTTAAAGCTCGCAGGTTCGAATCTTGCCGGTGGCAAGTTATCTTTTTATCCACTTTTCTTCCTTTGCATTTGCATTGCGATTACCTCTAATACCGGTCCTTGTGCTTTCCCTGGAATTATTGTCTTAAGTTCTCAATAATAATGTGTCTAACAACGAAAACGAGCCTTACATTTACACTTTCCTTAACTCAGTTTACATAATCACTTACACAGAAGCAGCAAACCCACAAAATAGGCACAAAAAGATAACACAAGGAGGATTATGGGCAGAAGCAGTGACATAAAATAGCGAAGGATATTGCACCAACAAGCTGGCTGCAGCATAAAGTTGATAGCAGCCTGCACACACACGCGTGAACACACAAACGTATTCAAAGCTCATTACAGTAAAACCTCGTTCACACAAACATACATGCCGAGAACCTGCCGGGATTGCGGCTAACTGCGCACTAAACGTAGTATGCATGCTAAGTCTATTAGCATATGCAGGGTTCCCCCTGCGTACAGGGGCAAAGGTTCGTCGCAGTGCCCCCCCCCCCCCCCCCCTCTCCCGCTGTACGCCTATGTAAGGAATACGGGGACTGGCATTGCGCCCATTTGCCTTCTCCCCCCTCCAGATTATTTTTTTTTTTCAGATTTTTTATTCATACAAATACAAGAATGTTACATGTGTTTAGTATACAAAAGGAGGTTCCACATGCCTATGACAAAGTATAGATTTGCGTTTCTTTACGTGTGCCATCACCCCTTAAGATGAAATATACTGCCACAAGCCCACAGCAAATATTGCCTAATGTGCCCACCCCGAAGCATTTTTTTTGTTTTTGCCAATGTTCAGAAATGATTGGCAATCTCGCACGACGGTCTGATGGCACGTGGTGGCGACACAAAAGAGCCTTCCGAAACCACTGAAACCTAGTCGCTTCTTTTCACTAATCACCTGCACACCATTCTCGATAAACAATCTCGAATCGACTGTATTTTCCTGTATTTTGCAAAAGCAGTTGAAAAAGTCAATCATGCTTTACTAATGTATAAGCTCTCCTCTCTCAACCTAGGCTCTAATGCATTGCAATGGCTCGACTACTTTCTAATAAATCGTCTTCAGTATGTCACCATTAACGGTCGTGACTCGCCGGAAATAAGCGTTACATCAGGTGTACCACAGGGCTCAGTTTTGGGACTTCTGTTTTTTGATATATATTAATGACCTACCTAACTACATCTCTTCATCCATTCGCTTCTACGCTGACTGTGTGCTTTACAGGGAAATACGTACCGATGATGATGAGAACATCTAGCAGACAGACCTTAATAACATTATGAATTGGTGCACGAAATGGCTTATGGAATTAAATCTTAACAAATACAAGCTAATGACAATCTCCCGCCAGCTCAATAGTTCCTCAACATACAAACTGGGTCATGTTTCTCTTGAACAAGTATCGTCATACCGGTACTTAGACGTAACCATTTCTTTCAATCTAACACGGAATGCTCATATTAACATTATCACGAACAATGCTAACTAACCGTACATTGGGATACATACGTTGTAATTTTAGCAAAGCCCCACTTTCACTCATGATGCTTATTGATAAAACCCTTGTGTGCTTGAAATTGGAGTGCGCTGCTACAATACGAAACCCTCACCACGAAAACCTGTGCAGGTATCTTGAGCTAATTCAAAATAACGCTGCAGGTTTTATTCTATCAGACTATCATCGGAAATCAAGCGTAACAGCAATAAAACACCATTTGTCACTGCCACCTTTATCACTACGTCGGAAGTACTTCCGCCTTTGACTTTTCCATAAGACCCACCATCATCCAGTACTACATAGTGAGTTCATTATGCCTCTTACATATCATTCATCTCGCTTTTAACACAAAGATAAAGTTAAAAGAACTTTCTGCTACACTGACACATTTTCTTGCTCCTTGATACCGGTTACATTTAACAATGGGAATCACCTACCAGGTGACATCGTTTCCATCTCTGATCACTCATTCTTTCGTCATTTTTTTTATCAGCTCACCTACTTCCCGATAGCCCTCCCTAGTCGTCCCATCTATTTCCCCTCCCATGACTTTCTGTCTACACGTGTCAAGAGGCTGCCATTTTCCAGCAGGTTCTTGATTTTTTGAATTTTTTGTGTCACTTCTTTCAATTGTACATTTTTTTGCTAGTATTGTATAACTTTACCACATTCAGTATTTTCTCTTTGTGATTCTCTTATTTCTATTCCTTTGTTTTACATTTCATTTCTATTCCATTTCACTGAATAAAGATGTTATTTTGCTTTAGTATTGTTCATTTAGAGCCCGTTTTGTTTTGTTGTTTTGTATTTTTCATTTTATAACCCATTCCCCTATGCAATGCTTCAGCGATTGAGTGTAACAAAAATAAATAAAAATAAACAAATAAATACTGTGGGGTCCGGGATACGCAGCCAATGCAACGACTGACACAAGAACGGAACGGACATAATCAGCTGCCCACGATAAATGTGCGACACGATCTGCTACTTAGCAAAAACTGACAGAGTTTTTTCGGGAGGCGGTACGGTCGCAGGGAGCTGATCGTCTACTGGCTAGTTGCCTGCAGCACTTCGCCTACTTGGCGTACACACCGTGCGGAGCGGCTTGCACTCACAGCGCTTCAGACAGTGTAGAGATGCAGCAAGAAGCCTGTTGCGTTAACGCGACGATGCGAGCTTTTGGCAAGCGATGCTCTAGCGGAACTGGCAGTGCACAGAGGCGTGTTTGGGCTGTCGCTTCATCAGATCATGTGCTACGCTTCCTGTCTTGGTGCACGCGATCCAAAACACTGAACTCCACAACAACGGGCTCCTTTCGTTTCAGTAAAGCAATGCGCGCTGAACACGGTCCCGCACAATGATTGAGGAGGCAGCGATCGGCGCCTCAGCGCTCTCTGATAGTCGCCGGCTATTAAAAGCGTCCAGTATGCTTAAGGCGGCGCTGCGCCACACACGTATGCTTTTTGTCGGTGATAATTCATACTGATGTGCGTTTTGGTAGCTGCCACACCACCTTCGTTCTTTGTCAATGCTTATCAGAAAAGGCACAGATGAAATCCCGCGGAAGTATCACAATTATTAATCCGCCGATTTCATGCTTTGGCAGCAGTGCAACTATACGCAAATGCTGCACGGAACGTGTACAAGACAGCGACCATCACGTAACAACTGCTCATGAAACATGCTGTCAACTTCACTTGCGGTTCCAAAACCATGCTGTGGACAGCAATGATGCAAATTAGAAAGAAAAAACCCTTTTGGAGCAAAATGGCACAGTAATTTCTAATTGGCGCAGGTTTCCCCCCCCTGTAAACTCACCTACCTGTGCTGTGTATACATTCTCGATCGTGTTATGCTCCAATAAACACGAAAAAACAAATATAAAATATTACAGAACCAGTGCACGGTTATTTGAGAGACAGTGCGATCTATTCTAACTTAGGCAGCTTGACTGCTGAGAGACAAACTCTTCTTATGCACTGCGAAGCAATTCGACGTTACATACCCATTCTTCTAGCTGGTTCACACGTGCTGTTTTAACATCTGTGCAATAAAAGGGGTCTGAAACATCAGTCGGCAATTTAAACACTACACTCCATTTCGAATAAGTGCAACTCTGCAGAGGCTAGTGAAACTTATTGTAGTGTATACTATCCCAAAACAAATACTTCACTGCTTTTGCCGCCAAGAATGTAACTTTTTTTTCCCTTCTTACAGGCCCCGAGTTTCGTGCATTAGAAAAAAACGAACTCCATTACATAGCTGTCAATATGTCATTCCAGGTTTTGCTGTTTTCGGTTTCTGGCATTTTCTGGCGATTTCTGGCAAGAGGCGCAGCCAGTCGCAGCGCCTCTTGTGCAGCCTCGTGCTTATCTTGCATGAGTAATTGCATCCACGGAGGCCAACCACGAGACGCGTGGAGTCATACAATTCGTTGACCGAACTTGCCGCATATGCATTGCACGTGGCGCGTGAAACAGGAGTGCAATGCGATGAATCTACAGCCGCATCACCAAAGCTGCAAATGGCATTCAAAGGTTACGTCCCTAACATCACGTTTCCTGCAACTACAAAGTTCCGGACTTGTCTAAACGCAACATGGCCATCTTACCATGCCCTTGGGTCCCAATGTGCTTTTCATGAGGTCACCGATGGCAATCGCACCCACGAACGAAGACAGCCGTGCGGTCTCCGCCTTCTCCTCCTCCGCGTCCCCTTTGAGGATTCGCACGGCGCTCAAGCTGCCCATCTGTGACATAGATAGTCTGCCAAAGCAAAAAAGAAAGAAATCATGTCGACTTGTACCCAACTTTTACATTGAGCAGGCAAGCCTGCGGAGGGCACTCAACGATGCTTTCTACCATTTTTTTTTTACTCCTTTTCAACAAACGCCAGCACCCAAGAGACAGAAGCCCGAGTTTCTTGCAACAGAATAGAAACTTGAACAAGTTGGTAAGGATTCACACTTCACAGTGTTTAGACAATGAATAAAACAAGTAGAGGGGGACAGTAGCCTGCCCTGTCCACTTCATTAGTCTATCGCACAAACATCTTGAAGCGCACACATTCACAAGCTTCAGTTTAGAGTCAATCACAGGAGTCAAAACACCTCAGAAGGGTACGATCACAGAAGTTTTACTTTGGGTGTTTCTCAGTTATTCGTCGTTGTGTAATTTTCTATGGAATGACTGCCCAATATATCAAATTAGCAGTTTCGGACTCAAGTTCCATGTTATTAGTTCAACTTTTCACTGCTACGTGACACATTACACTTTGGTAACGAGCACCACCTAATTGTACCAGAAGCATAAAACTTCCCCTGTACGCTAATAAATATGTTCAGGTCTGCGACAGCCTTCACAATAATCTCACGCATACTCTGCAACGAGAGAGTACAGGCCTCAACTTAGAGCTGAATCAAACTAAACACCGCACACTCATGTCTATACATACTTGTCACACTGTTGCGAGCCAGCAAATGTGCGCAGTAAGGAATGAACATGAAGTCATCACACTTCCTGAAACTTGTAGAGTGCTCCAGCGACTCTATAACGAATAACCAACAGGGTTATGTGTGGAGGCAAGTTCACCGATTGATCGGTACTGCCGAAGTCTCTCCCCCCTCCCCCCCCCCAAGAGCAACACCTGCATTACCGCAGCATAGTGTAGTGAGATGTTGCATAATAACGTTATTCAAATAATATTTCCAACTCTGGACTCGAGTTTTCCAATAACAGAGCATTTAATGCGGCGCTTTGAACGGAACTGAACCCGCGGCCAAATGCAGCATCTACAATCAGCAGGAAAACTTAGCGGTATGGTGAAGATGCCAAAAGAAGGGTTATAAGGACTGATCGAAAAAAGCAGAGGCCAAGTTAGTAATAACAGCTTAGCGCAATAAAACGTTTTCCTACATGAAGTGCCACGCCTAGCCGCTACGCTGCGCTCCCAGCGAGCTTTTCTCCCTTTCCCAAAAGGGTGTCACTTGGGACGCTCACGTTACGAGATCTAGAGGCACAATCTGAAACTGTTCTCGTTACTTTTGCTTCACAAAAGCTTGCGATGCGGTTAAAACAACGCACAAGTCAAACACGAATGCCCGATAAACTTCCCAACACTGACAGAAGGGCCGTGAAAACCATGCCCATAAAAGGAATCGCTGCGACTACCTTCGGCAACAGGTCAACCGCCCACGACAATGTCATCAGTCCGCGAAGTTTGCGTCAAGATTTGACGCCTAGCACCAATGACACTTACTGGCGTGGAAATTATGAAAGTGCGAACGCAACACTAGCAACAGTTTAGCGTTGGCGAAAGTTCGAACTGACACTAGTATGAATCAAGTTGGCACATCGGCTTGCAAGTGCAATCGCAAGCACACAACTCGATCCCCATTTCAGTTAGAATGCGTGGGAATCGAAACGTCTAAACGTAAACTATTCGCCGCGGTCCCGTGAATCAGCGCTAAGTGTTACTTGAAACACTGGGCGTTTACGTCGGTTCAGACCTCAGAGGATCACACGTGTTGGCTCCCGGACAAAAGCTACCGTCGCCATCCATGCCGACACCGTGACAAGTTTTGAGACGAAGTGTTCGAAACAACGCGCAGTTTGCGCCAATTTCGCGGCTCGCTACTTCGTTTTCTTCGCTTATGGAAAAGAAGAAGAGAACTTACCGGCGATTAGGGATACAGAGCACGTTAATTCAACGAGGGAAGCACACCACAAAGCGCACGCTCATTTACCCAATACAGTAGCCTCAGTTTTGTATTTATATACAATAACACCACTTTAAGGCATCAAATTTATTATCATAAATTTAGAGTTTCAACTTTACTTACTTTGATTTCTGTGAGAAGCAATTGACACAAGATATCATTTGGTTTTATTACGAAAATGTGGTTGCTTGTTCATTTTACTGTCTTTCACAGATCTTGCCGATATAAACAAACATGGCGTCTGCTTCAGCGGATGCGAGGACAGCGGAACGGAGAAAACAGGTGATTTACCGTTTTTGTGTACCTGATAGCAGCTTTTAGCCCGCCGATATGGGTCTCTACTTCGCGACTACAGTTCAGATCGCGTCTCGACCACATTTCGAGCGTCTAACAGCGTCCCAGCAGTTTGGGTTTCAGCCGACGTAAGGTAGCCAGCTATGTGATGTCATCGGCCTCGCGATCACATGTCTTGTGCGAAGAAAAAAGGAAAGGTTTATTTGTGTCTCTTCGCCAAGGTGTTTCTTTTTGCGGGTCGTGAAAAAAATTCTCAGCTCGGCGCGTGAAACTTCGGTCAGTTTTTTTTTTTACGCGACCTCGTCGCATTTGCTTGGCGTTGTGCGTCACCGCTTCCGCTGAGGGCTTGTACCGCTTCAAATTTGTCGCATACACCTACGCTATTATAGAAACGTACGCGTCACCCCGCGACTGTCAGTGGTGGCTGCGTCGCAACTCTTTTGCGGACATGTTCTTCATCCCCTTCGTCATTCCATTTCCGATCGGCTGCTGCACGTCGGTTCGGCGGTTGTGGCCCTACGGCGAGCGGACCCGGATTACCCGATACGATGTGTACCACTTCCCACAAAACGCGGTACGTTCCGGCACGGCACGGGAATGCCGATCGTGTGTGTGCTGCGTGTTGATGCGTGTGGCAGGCGCAAGGTTCCGTTTGGCGTTGCGCGCCGAGAAACAGAGACAGCCGGTCTTGTCAGCTGTTTCGTTTCCGGCCCTAAAATACGTCGAGACAAGTTATTACGGTAGCCGTCTGGATTGTAACCATTGTTGCGAACGCTTTTTGTTCTTTTTCTCTTGTTTTGGACGACACCCGCAGTTTCCACGATATTTGCGTAACTCGCGTCTGGTCTTCTCGACGCCTGCTCTGAGCGTTTGTTCTAGAAAGCTCTTTCTTTTTCATTTTGTTTTCTACTGTATCGCCGCGCTGTTGTCAACGCGGCCTGAGAGAGTGCGTGCGTCGAAGGACACGAATTCCAGTCGCGCTGCGGTGGCGCGCAAATTCTTCGCGGCTATCGCGCAAGACAATCAGGGCGTCGCTGCATTGGCAATGACAAATCGCCCCGACGAAGGCCTCACTGCATGCTCGAACTGTCGCCGGGCCAATTAGTACGCGGTGGATCGAGTTGCTACTCGCGTCGCGTTCTTGCGGCTTCGACGAGTTATTGGTTTTGCGTAAACCGTTTAACCGCAGTAGCGCTCCCTATATATGCAAGTACGCAGCCTTGTTAATCGTTGCGCTATATCCGGAATTTCGAAGTATCCCGTTATGCGGAGCAAGCCGCGCGGTACGCCCCCCCCTCCCGTGGCGTGCGCAGAAGTCGAAACACGCCCCGTCTGCGCAGACCTGATTTAACTATAAAGTTAATGTCTCGTGATGGGCTGGGCGGTGTGTCATATGATACGAAAAATATGAAATATGACCGACTGAGCTTGCGTTAGTTCGCTGCCACTGCGCATGCGTCGAACGCTATTCTCTGACGCATACGCCAGCGTTTGCGTCGTACTTAAAGTATGCAAGATTGGGTCCCCTGTGCGCCGCCTTGTTATTAAAACCGTTCAAAAGTGCGTGTTTGAAGGCTTCGTCTTTGGTTTCCAGTTGTGCTTATTCGCGGGAATATGCGGTACGTGCCCTGGCAGCTGCGTGGGAAGTGAGATAACGGCGTGGTAAAGGAAGGAAAACAACCGAGCGAAAAAAAAAAAAAAACTGTCGGTTCGCGTGCTGTCATTCATCTAGGAGCCCTCTTCTGCACCTCCCGCGTGTGTTAACTCGCGCCTCGTCATTGGTCACGTGGCCGGAGAAAATCACACGCGTTAATCACGTGACAACCACGCGCGTGTCTTTTATTTCAGTTTCGCGGTCCCTTATCGACTTCGGCCACGGACACCGAAAACCTTGCACTCCGTTCAGATAGCGCATCCCGGAATACGCGGATGTTGGGTGTGCACGTGTTGCCGGTGAAGAGTCTGTTTGCGAAGTCGTGGGTTTGCTATGTATAATGCGAAGTGCGTGCGCGATATGCGACGAGGTCGCCAATTCACGTGCAAGAGAGAGCCTTATCGGTGGCAACCCGTGTCCAAGGGGGAGGTGTCAGTTTGCCTACGCTGCTGTAAATGCTTGAGAAAGGGTCTTCTGCCCAAAGCCATGACTTTCCTCTTTTTGTCCAGAGGCGTTGTTAGAAATATCGAAAAGTGTTTTAATGCTGGACTCCGAGGAACATTGCAATGGCCAGGAGTTGAAGGAATGTTTATATTTTCATTAAAGGAGCACTGACTGGAAAATTTTGCATCCTGGGTTTCCTGTTGTACTAATAGGTAGCTAGCAACCTACTTATCGCTGCTGGAAAGCTCCTTTACTCAAGCACGCAATGATGAATTATTTGGAGCTGGCTTTATACCGCTACGTTTTGGTTTCAGAGAGCACCAAGTGAAGACGGACCCAGAGTGGTTCTTGTGTAAACATAGTTGGCTAGGTGAGCACAAAACAAAACTGCATGCACACGGGTACCGCATTGACAGTTTTTTTCCTCCAAGACGTAATATATGCATGGCCTCTCCAAAAGTTCACTGCCGAAGGCAAGAACATCAGCCTTTGTAGTCCCGTGAAAGCCTACCCCCACTTTCTATTGAAAAGGTCCGCTAGGAGAGAGTGGTCGTAAGGATCATGGCAGCCAACACAGTCTCGTGGTGCCAGTGATGTTCGGGTTACACAAAAACCAAAGGCACGCTTCATGTTTGCTGCCTCGACACGCACCTTAACATTGATTCTAAATATGGTTCAGGCTATATTGTTCATTGGTATTTTGTAGATGCATGCATATTCGCACTAATCTATCTCACTGGTTATCACGCCTTTGAAATTTTGAGTCGCTACTCCTTTAATTTGTCGAAAGATGGTTGGATGTTTGCATTTTTAAGAACATTTTATGTGCTTTATGTCAGTCTGCCCAGATTCGGCTCGTTCATGGGAAATTTAGTTTAAAATTATAGTATCTAGAGTATTTTCAAACCTCGGAACTTGTCCTGTGCGATCTCTTTGTGTGTGTGGGGGGGGGGGGGGGGAGGGGGGAATAGGCATGCTGTGTAGACCCTGTGACTTAAAAACATACAGCAAAACTTTCATGTTGATGGAGACGAGTCTGTTTACGAACTCAGCATTTTCTAGCTATAATCTGAGTGCATATGTGGCACTTGATGAAGCCATAAATTCAGGTGCAAGGAAGCGTTATCATCGGCAAATTGTGTACAGAAGGTGGGCGGGGGGATTTCAGTTGGCTTACACAGCTTGTAACTATTTGAGCAAGGGTGCACTTTGCAAGCGATGGCTTTTGTTATTTTGCGGAGAAGGGTGATGGAGGTACGAAAAATGTTAACCCCGGACTCTAAAGGGCATCACCTAGATTGAAACATGCATTTTTTTCAAAAGTTTATTTGCCTTTTCAAAAATGTTTCCTCCATGCGACCACATTTCACATGTTCTATGGCGCGTACCGGTGTCATTTTTTTTTTTTGCAAGAGGCATGCGGTGGATTTTCAGCAACATGCAGCGACTTTTCGTTATGTCGAAATCTCTTCTGTTCGAAGTTTCCTCTGATTCACGTCTGCTGCACAGGCATTTGAGTGTTATCTGAGATACACTTACAGTACCTGCCATTGTTGTCTGGACAGTGCTTTCCGGCTGTGGTGACTGTGCACTATCATGTTCCTATTATCCGAAGTTTGACCGGTTGCATATATGCCACTTTAAAGGAACACTAAAGCGAAACAGTGCATTGGTTTAGATTAATACATTATACTCTTAGTGTGGTTGCTTTCACCACCATAAGTTTATTTATACAAGAGAAAGTTGCATATATGCCACTTTAAAGGAACACTAAAACGAAACAGTGCATTGGTTTAGATTAATACATTATACTCTTAGTGTGGTTGCTTTCACCACCATAAGTTTATTTATACAAGAGAAAATTAATATCTGAATCACATTTTTAACCTTCGTGCCCAATTCATAGCTGAGGGATGTTTATGTGAGGTTATTTAGACAAATGCGGAATTACAAAGGCCTTGAAAAAAGTTAAAATGCTCAAGAATTTAGTGTCTGCTTTCTTTCTCGTAATGGAAAAAATAACTGTTAGGAATTCAGATGGAGTCAGTTTCAAGTTATTTTATATTCGAAATCACATCCTGACAATCGATATTGATAATGGCATTGTTGCATAGCTGAGACAGGTGTTATAAGCAGTCTTTTAATGTAGAGTTATATTAACTATTGTTCTGATGTTTTTCTACATCTATAAAAACATTCTGACATTACAAATGAGAGATATGCCGCTTTTATGACGTACAGATGATTCTTACACAACCCCTACACCGAAAAATGAGCCCGGTTCTGAGCATTAGGGCTTGTAAAGTGTGCTTATAATAATGACCTGTGCTGCAGAAGAATTCAGCCCTGTTCTACGACTAGTAACTAGCCTGCCATCAAGATATTATTATGGACTGTTTCATTCAAACTTCAACTTGCTTGCTTGATGCAGATTGTGAATAATGATGAGCCTAGAAAAGAGAAAAGACCATTGTTTCAGATGCTGCTTGGCTGCACTCCAAGTCTACGTCAGTGGCAACGGGCGACGCAGTTGAAACGCACAAATTGAAAAATATGCGTGCACAGCTAGACAATGAAAAGCGTCGTCAGTTGTGGGAGCATATTCAAAGTACATCGGGTTGAGCCCGGCACGCTAGATAGACTTTCGATGTTTATTTTACTGTGGAAATTTACATAGCCAGTTGACTTAATGGAACCATTGCGGGATACGGTATGTGACATTTGCTAGGATATCGCTCTAATTTTGATGGTGGAAAGAAATAACTTTGCTCACTGCAAAGAGGAGTATGCTAACCATTTCACTTAACACAAGGTTAGTTTATGAATGTATTTGTGCAAGCGGACACTGGGCTGGATCAAGCTTTCTTTTAGACTAATTTGACCAAGCAAATGTTAGTTTGTACAGTTTATAGTAACTGAAACATGGGATATAGAGTGTGTGGCCGTAAGAGCTTCCTGCATTTCCATTGTGTCCTTGTGGTATTGATGCAATGCATTGTGGTGTACAGTGATTGCAAGAGCCTGTTTGACACAACATAATTCTGGTGATGCAACAAGGATCACGTTGCAAGCTTTCCCATCGCTGAGCAATGTGCTTACTTGTAGCACTGCGTCTCCCTTGCCTGTAATGCGGAATGAATGAGGAAAATTGGATTTGAGGGGCTGTTTCTCATTCGATATAACTGAACAAAGTCAGCGCATGAGGCCAAGGAAAGCATAGGGTGTGTAACCTGAAGTGTCCGAATGATGTTTAAGATTAAATGAAATAAGAAAGAGGGAAAGTAAACTAAAGATTTTGCTGGCTGGACAAAGTGAAAATTATTTTATCAAATGTTTTTTTTTTTTCAAGTTTCATGTAGCATCAGGAAATGCAGCTATGAGAAATACAGTCACCATGGGTTCTGTGTGGGGCAGTTTTTGTTAATTAGCACTTACATCATTTGTTTTTCCATTACAAAATCTCCTCACGACTACACTCGTCAATATGAGCGAAATAGTTAAAATGAACAAAAGTCTGCTCACTGTCAGTTGCAGACAGAACCCACAACCTTTGCATTATAGCCTGAGAGCATGCGGAATCAACCCTGTGAGTGATTAGTGTACATTTCTTGCATACTAAACTTGAACTTGCTTTTAGCTGGTACGGTGACTTCAGGGTGCCGTCACCACCAGCAGTTGAATGCAATAGCATTAAAAAGCTCGTTTCGCGAAAATTCCGGCGTCGGTGTCAATGGTTGTCAGGGAAAAATCATCTTATGCGTGACTGAAAAATTCGGAATGATGCAAATAAAATAAATAAATGATAAAATATCTTGGAGCAGAGTAGGGACCAAACCAGCGTAGTTTGGGTTCACACCCGGGTTGTTTGCGTGGCAAGTGGATGTTCTACTATATGGCCACTCCTCTGCTTGTGAAAACAGTGAAAAGAACTTCCTCTGCTTGGAAATGCAGTGAAAGTAGCTTTCATGCTTCACAAACACATGCATTCTGTATACGTGCTTCACAATGCAACATGAAATACTGCAGTAATAATGCATGGTACAAGCGTCCATTGCCAATGGGCGTCAGAATATGTCATTATCATAATGGCTCCATGGTTGAAATCGGGTACCCCACTACAAAAGGACAAGCTACTGCACCTATTACCTTAAGGCCACGTAGTGGGTGCATTGCATAGAACATTCGAAAAGTTTTCATGCACTAAGTGTTTGAAGTACGCACTAGGAACAGGATGTCGCTATCGCGTTCAACTCCTAAAGGCGAAGCTTTAGGGTCCCCTCATTTTTCGTTTTCCTGTTTTCTTTCTTACCAAGTGCCTTTCTTGTGAAAATGGTTGTGCTTCTGCCATTGTAGAAATATAGTCTACTAACGCAGTTGAACCCCTTTAAAGACAAGAGGTGCTTATGTAATGTACAGCTCTGTATGACAGACACGGTGTGCCATCATTGAAATAAGAGCTTGCCAGAAATAGGTGATGTGATGCCATGCTTGTGAAAGACAACTTATTAGATATGACCTCTAAAGGCATATTAACTTGATCTTGTTGGTACATAATCAATGTAGAAAACGGTGCAATTCAATGTAGACAAGAGAGCACTGGTCCTGTTTGATCTTTCTTGTCTACGTCGTATTGTGCAGTTTTCTGCCGTCATGGTACATGGTGTTTCAGCTGGCTTGTAAAATGAATGCTGTTTAAGCTCCCGTACTCTTTAGAGAAGGCGGGACAAAAAAATTAAATAGTGCAGGTATCTTTGCATAGATGAAATAATTTAATGCTTGCTCAGTAAACATTACAAAATTTATAGTCGATGTTTTTTGGTAGAGTTACTATCCTAAAGGCTGATTAAACAATCTTTGTCAATCACCCAGCTCAACAAATTGGAAGTTATTTTTGCATGGATGAAATACTGCAATGTTTCAGAACAAGTGCTATAACTTTTGTTTTGAAGATTCTTTGCGGGAGCTACTAATGTAAAAGCTCGTTAAGCAAGCTGTGTTAATTGCACAGCTTGGAGGATTGGAGTAAATATTCTGACATGCTGCGTACGGCTCAGAACTATATTGGGCTTATTTGACATCTGTAGTGCATATGCTTGTTTCTTTTAACACTAGGTGCAAGTTAGCTGAAACACCCTGTATAAGAGGCAAGGACTGCTGTGTGGCCGCATGTCTGTTACAAGGGAGTTCAATTGCACTAAAATATTGTTGTTGTCTTTTGTACTCCTTTATAGTTTAATTTTTGAATTTCGTGTTGTAGCTCCTGGTTGGCGAGCTTCCCGGTGATTTCCTACGCGTGGACACGACGCCCACCACTGGCTCGCAAAGCCAGATCTCGGTCGACGAGCAGACAGCCATAGCACTGCAGCAGCAGCTCTCTGGAGCGGCATTCACCACTGCCCAGGCGGTCGGACGACTCAGCATCTCCGTCATACAGGTGAGGCCATACTTGAGAGAGTAATAGAAGGCCTTCAGGGGTAGTTGCAGTGAGTAGGCTGCGTTTCTTGTGAAGGCTCTGCGGAAACTGTAGATGTCATGATGAGAAATTTCTGAAAATCGGAGTGTCGCTGGAGCCAACATTTTGACATGCAGTCTTGTTTTTTTTTCAAGGCTGGTCCCGCTGCGGTGATTTAGTGGCTAAAGGTACTCGGCTGCTGACCCGCAGGTCGCGGGATCGAATCCTGGCTGCGGCGGCTGCATTTTCGATGCAAACGAAAATGCTGTAGGCCCGTGTGCTCCGATGTGGGTGCGAATTGGGAGTTATGTTTCCATAGATTGAATATTGCAATGTTTCAAAGCAAGTGCTACAACTTTTGTATTGGAAGATTTTTTGCGAGAGCTGCAAATGTAAAAAAGCCTAATGTAAGAGCTACTAATGTAGACAGTATTGCAATACTTGTGTGCAGAATTTCGAGTTCTCATGTGCTTCGTGTTGTTGATGGATTTGTCCTTGCGCTGTCACTTGCTAGCTTCCTGGTTAGCTCAATCCACGACCGCCCCGAAAAGGCGGTCCCGGGTTCAAACCCCAGACCAGGACGAATTTTTCACCATCTAAGAGGCTTTTCTTCAGCAGAGTGACTTGTTGGGTGAGTTGATTCATTCTTAACGAGCTTATGACGCAAAAAAAGTCACTATCGTGTGGAAAGTGCTACGTCGGGCAGACGGGCCCGTGTGTAAACAATAGATTGTTAGACTATAAGGCGTCTTTGAGGGGGACACCTTGTTCAAATCTTTCGTTGCATTGAAGGGAATGCGGCTGGGCAGCCTTGTTGTCTGAGACTAGGGTGCTCGCAAGAATGAAAGGCAAGGTTGCACGAGAAATAGAGGAGGCATATTTTATTATTAGAATAGGTGACACATGCATGGCGAGGCCCTCAATTACGGAGATGGATTACCTGAGTTCGTGGCTTGCTGTAGACAACAGCATTGAGCAAACGTCAAGACCCAGTGATTCTGGTGAAAGAGATTACGATGACATTGCTGCAGAGCCAGTGTACAAAGCAGGACAGAGTCTGGCTTATCAGTCTGGACAAGCAGTAGAGACACCACCACAGCTAGTGTGTGAGCAGCATCAAGTCATAGATAAGTCTGTTCAAGTCGGACTGCTAACACACCACGAAGCATCACAAGCAAATGAAGAGAAAATTCTGTCAACAAGTGCCACACAAACAGAGCCCCAAGCTGTGTCTTCAGGTTTCTTGTCTCTTGCATATCTGGAACAGTCCTCTTCATCGGCGCCTGTGCGACGTCGACTGCATTCGTGCGAACACTGCTTCTATGTAACACATGATAAGTCAACTATGGCCAGACACCTTCGGAGACACGTAGGAAAACACCCCTTCCAGTGCCACATGTGCCCTAGTTCATTCGCTGAAGACTCCAAGCTAGAGGCTCACATGCGCACTCACACTGGAGAGTGTTCCCTTTCCTGTGTTCACGACAGTCAATCCTGCTCACGGAAATATGCCGTCGATGTCCTCGTGCGCATTGGCTCTGGGAAGCGCCAATTTTCATGCGTCCACTGCAATGCATCCTTCGTGCAGAAAAAGAGCCTCGTGAAACACATTCTCACCCACCACAAAGGAGAGCGTTCCTTTCCTTGTATCCAATGCAATGCATCGTTTGTGATGGAAACTGACTTCGTGGCACACAAGTGCATTCGCACAGAAGAACGTCAATTTTCCTGTGTCCACTGCGATGCATCCTTTAAGCGTAAAGGTACTTTATTGAGACACGTCCGCCTCCACACAGGGGAGCGTTGCTTTTCCTGTGCGCAATGTAGTGCGTCGCTTGTGACTAGATACGATCTCAATCAGCACATGCACTCTCACACGAGCGAGCGTCCCTTCTCCTGCATTCACTGCAATGCATCCTTTAAACAGAAAAAGAATCTTTCGAAACACGTTCGCAAGCACACAGGACAGGGTTGCTTTTCCTGTGTCCACTGCAGTGCACGCTTTGTGACTAAGTATTACCTCACTGAGCATACCCGGATCCACACAGGAGAGCGTCCCTACTCCTGTGTTCAATGCAATGCATCCTTTATACGGAAACCGGACTTATTGTCGCACATGCGCACTCACACAGGAGAGCGTCCCTTCTCCTGTGTTCACTGCAACGTGTCCTTTCCGTTCAAACAGAGCCTCGTGCTGCACATCCGCACTCACACAGGAGAGCGTCCCTACTCCTGTGTTTACTGCAAACGAACCTTTTCACGAAGGAACAACTTCATGGCCCACATTTCCCGCATGCATAAAATCCAAAAGCTACAATTGTGAAGAGCCTATAGGCTTCGAAGAGGAAGTGTGGCCGAGAGAGACGCGTTTATTGAATAAAAGTCAGAGTGAGAATTGGTTGTTTGAGCAGTGTTGTAGGTGTTGCCGAGTACTGTATAATTTCGTATAGTCTGGTCGTTGGGTCTTGTCAAGCTGATTGTGTAGCTTTTAACTCAACGAAACCATCGAGCATGTATTAACTGGAAAAATAGAAATTGAATTGAATTGAATTGAATTGAAAATAGATTTTTTTTTTCTGCTAATATAATTGGACTTTGTTGACCTGTGTGTATATATGTGTGTGCTTTTTCAAATAAATTTAGTTGATAGTTTGCGCTTGTCCTTTTTTCGTGTTTTTTTTCACGCCATAAGCTCGTTAAGGCTTTTCTTTCTGAGAAATTGCCCCGCCGCGGTGGTCTAGTGGCTAAGGTACTCGGCTGCTGACCCGCAGGTCGCGGGTTCGATTCCCGGCTGCGGCGGCTGCATTTCCGATGGAGGCGGAAATGTTGTAGGCCCGTGTACTCAGATTTGGGTGCACGTTAAAGAACCCCAGGTGGTCAAAATTTCCGGAGCCCTCCACTACGGCGTCTCTCATAATCAAATGGTGGTTTTGGGACGTTAAACCCCACAAATCAATCAATCAATCTGAGAAATTGTACGGATTTTTTTTCGGCTTCGTGATACAAACTGGTAGTTGTCTTCTTTCCCCTTCTTGACCATTTCGCCAACTTAAACTTACAGGTTTTTCAGTGAAAGTTTTTTACATTACTCATGCTGGTGCTGATGCCGACAGTCACTTAACATGTTTGAGCTCTTGCATTGTTCGTGCAGGCAAAGTTGGTGAAGAACTATGGCGTCACACGGATGGACCCCTACGTGCGGATCCGCATTGGACACAATGTGTACGAGACACATACGGACTACAACGGTGCCAAGACCCCTCACTGGAACAAGTTGTTTCACTGGTAAGGCCTGTTCAAACAACAGCTTGTGGAAAGAGGGTGGGGTGGTGGGCTCTAAACAGCCATTCGAAAAGTGTAGGTTTACTCACTAAAATATGTTCTTGTGAATGTAAGGATCTTGTGATTTAATGCCTTCCTATTGTTCACCTCAATTTGCTGTGAAAATCTTGGTTTATTTATTGGGTAAAGGACTGTGCTTCCTTCAGGGCAGGCATTGAAGCAGGACTGGTACACTATGAGGTATATATATTCTATCTGACAAGGATTATATAATTGTTTTGTGTATTCATAATTAGATATTAATAATGGAAGCACCGTAATGTGGTTCACTGCAATGCTATGCTACACAGTAGAGCTCCTTTATAAGAGACATCCATATAAGAAATAAATTGGTGTACGAGATACCAGTGTGCCGACAGTGAAATATCTATTGATAAAATATGCATGTGAGGTATCCTGCTTATAAGACATCTCGTATAAAAGACAATGCTGCTCAAAGCATGCCTCTTAAAAAGGGGTTAAATTACAGTATGCTTTGTGGCATTACATGACTGCGTTGAAGTTGAGAATATTAAAGCTACTCTGTCATTGTGCTGTTTACATAGGACCTCAGCTGCACAAGCCATCTTTCTTTTGAGTAGTGCATCTCGCTGATTTTCTCGTATTGCATGTGAATTTCTTTGGTTATTTTCACTGACCTTCCTGACAGAATCTTCTTAAAATGTGCCGATTTGTTGGTGGATTGCAGCACATTGCAATCATGATACCGTTAGTAAAACCACACACACACAGGGATGAAATGTATTTGTGTTTGATATTGCCACGAGGAATTGCTAAGGCGCAGTACAACGCAGACGTTGTTAAAAGAGGAACGCTGACGGCATCGCTACGACTCATGAAGCCCGCCGGAAGGCACGAGCCGGCCCAGCCTGTGCACGAGCTGCTACCGAGCAGCGGCAAAGAAAAGAGGAGAAGAAGAGGACGACGAGCGTTCGCTGCTTTCTCCCAGCTACTGTGTAGTTCTTTTGGCTTTGGGCACAAGTTCGCCCTTATTAAACCTTGTAAATAGGACGTCCCGGTTGTGAGGTTGTTATATCCGTTACATTTTCTGGTGGAGGAGCCTGGGTACATGATTCCGAGCCCCACGCAAGAGCGAAGTCCAAGCACTGACCAGCCGCAACCAGTGGAGCTTACACCGGTGCACCAACGAGTCAGCCGCCGTATCCGAGGAGAGTTGCCAGAATTTGGGCCACTCCCTTCTGTATCAAGGGCATCGGTGACGGAGACAAGCGCCGCCACCACCATGACGAGCCAAGTTACGCCGGCACAACTCATCGTAAGCCAACCGGTCATTCCAAAGGTGTTTCATGGTGACCCATACGAGGACGCCGAAGACTGGTTAGAGCATTTCGAGAGAGTGGGAAATCTAAATCAGTGGAACGAGGAAGGCAAGCTGCGTAACGTCTACATTGCGTTGGAAGACTCTGCACGAGTGTGGTACGAAAACCACGAGGCATCTCTGACGTCGTGGCAAGAGTTTCGGCGGCAGCTACTGAGTACGTTCGCCAACAGTGATCGCCGGGAAAGGGCGGAAGCAGCTCTCCGCACACGGATTCAACGAACGAACGAAACTGTCGCGATGTACATCGAAGACATGTCCCGCCTTTTCAAGCGAGCTGATCCTGGCATGACGGAAGACAAGAAGGTGCGCCACCTCATGCACGGGGTAAAGCAAGAATTGTTCGCGGGACTCATCCGCAATCCGCCCCGTACTGTTGCTGAGTTTCGGTCGGAAGCAACAACCATCGAAACGACGCTTCAGCAGAGAGCCCGACAGTACAACCGCGACGTAGCCGGTGCATCCGCAGGAGTCTACTCAGCAGGCGTCGTGGATAATCTTGACACATTGCGCGAGCTCGTCCGGTCTGTTGTCAGGGAAGAATTAAGGAAACTGCAGTCACCTGATGTCACCCCCGAGCTGTCTCTTGCTGAAGTTGTCCGAGATGAAATTCGACAGGCCATGCGGGAGCCGCGGAGTGATGTGCCAGCGACACGACGGGCGGTAACGTACTCCGAGGTGCTCAGGCGACCTACTCTGCACTGTTCGCCGATCGAGACACCAAGTACTTATGTGCAGACAATGCGCAGCCCGCCTGAAATCGTAGAGGCAACACGCACTCCACCTCGTGCGAGAGAGATGATGCCACGGAAGAGCGATGTGTGGCGAGATGCCACACGTAGGCCCTTGTGTTTCCACTGTGGAGAGGCTGGCCACCTGTACCGATTCTGCCGATATCGTCAAGCTGGTCTTAGGGGATTCGCCATCAATGCACCGTGTCCGCGAAACGGCGAAAGACCTTCCGAGATTGAAGAATACCTATGCTCACGTCGGGAATTTGACCCGCCTCGTCGTCATCAACCACGCTCACCATCCCCTATGCGCTACCGCTCGTCTAGCCCACGTCCCTTCCCAAGCACGTCTAGGCAGCGTTCGCCTAGCCCAAATCCGGGAAACTGAAGAGGGCGACCTGTGGAGGCGAGGCCGCTGGCGACTTGGGATATGAAGATCCTCCACTGCGGTACGAGCCTGATAACGACGACTGTTTCCAGGTAAAGGAGTGCAGTACAGAGAAAATTACTTCAGACTTGCCGTTGGTGATTGACGGACTAGAGCTCAATGCTTTGATCGATACTGGTGCGGATTATTCTGTGATAAGTTACGAATTAGCGAAGCGACTCAAGAAAGTTCTGACCGAATGGGGTGGACCTCAAGTACGTACTGCAGGTGGTCACCTCATAACCCCTTCCGGCCGATGTACCGCAAGGGTCATGATACGGGGCTTCACTTACGTCGGTGACTTTGTCGTCCTACCTGTGTGCTCGAGGGAAGTGATACTGGGAATGGATTTCCTACAAGCTAATGGTGCGATTATCAATTTACAGAGGTCGAGCGTGTCCTTTTCGACGGAGCAAGCTTTAAAGGTAGCACGATCAGATGAACGATGTACCACTCCACTGCGCGTCGTCGACGATGATGTGACTGTACCGCCACGGAGCAGTATAATGGTTCTCGTGCATAATGATGCATTCAGCGACTACGAGGGTGTGGCGGAGAGCAACGTGGATGTTTTCTTGAAAAGAGGCGTTTGTGTGGCACGAGGGATTATCCAGCTGCGAAACGGGTGCACAGACATCCTCTTGACGAATTTCGGTAACGAATTCCAGCACATCGCAAAAGGGACGGCAATAGCGTTTCTTCATGAGTTCTGTGAAGTGACAGAAATATGCAGTCTTGAAACGACGTCACCGAATGTGAAACTTCCATCTGATGCCTGCGACACAATATACGTAAATCCTAATCTTTCAGAGATTCAACGTCAACAGCTATACGACCTCGTGCGGGAATTTGGCAGCTGTTTCTCCAACAGTTCAAAGGTACGGCGCACGAGCATTACAAAACACAGGATCATAACGGACGAGACAACCAGGCCGGTATGCCGGCACCCGTATCGTGTTTCCCCTAAGGAAAGGGAAGTCATCAAGAAGCAGGTACGAGAAATGCTTGAAGATGATGTTATCCAGCCTTCTAACAGCCCGTGGTCATCTCCCGTGGTGCTTGTCAAGAAGAAGGATAACACGCTACGGTTTTGTGTCGACTACAGGAAACTGAATGCTGTGACTAAACGGGATGTATATCCCCTTCCACGCATCGACGACACGTTAGATCGACTTCGGTGTGCCAAGTTCTTCTCATCACTAGATCTGAAAAGTGGATACTGGCAAATCGAGGTTGATGAACGTGATCGCGAAAAGACTGCTTTTGTTACCCCGGACGGACTTTACGAATTTAAGGCTCTCCCGTTTGGTCTCTGTTGTGCGCCGGCAACGTTCCAACGCATGATGGACACTGTGCTTTCCGGATTGAAGTGGCAGTGTTGCCTAGTGTACCTAGACGACGTGGTCATCTTCGCGGCTACATTTGAGGAGCACATCAAGCGCCTTCGGTCAGTGTTAGAGGCAATCCGTTCGGCAGATTTGACAATCAAGCCAGAGAAGTGCCGATTAGGTTTCGAAGAGCTTCGTTTTCTTGGGCATGTCGTCAGCGCCCAAGGTGTTCGCCCTGATCCTGATAAGACGACCGCCGTCGCAAGGTTTCCGGTGCCAACAGACAAAAAGTCAGTACGGAGATTTCTAGGTCTATGTGCGTACTATAGACGATTTGTGAGAAATTTTTCAAAGATCGCAGAACCCTTAACGAGACTTACGAAAGAAGATGTGCCTTTCCAGTGGCAAAACGAGCAACAAAGCGCCTTCAACGAATTGAGAAAGAGGTTAGAAAACCCCCCGATTCTTTCTCACTTTGATGAGACAGCCGACACGGAAATACACACAGATGCCAGTAACATCGGCCTTGGATGCGTTCTAATACAGTGGCAGAAAGGTGAAGAAAAAGTGATAGCTTATGCCAGTCGGACTCTAACAAAAGCAGAGACAAACTATTCGGCCACGGAAAAAGAATGCCTTGCCGTCATCTGGGCCATCAGTAAATTTCGGCCGTACCTATATGGTAGACCATTCAAGGCAGTCAGCGATCACCATGCGCTTTGCTGGCTGGCGAACATAAAGGAACCATCCGGACGACTAGCAAGGTGGAGCCTCAGACTGCAAGAATACGATATAACCGTGGTATACCGATCTGGCAAAAAACATACCGATGCCGACTGTTTGTCACGGGCTCCTACAGACACACCACCATCAGAAGAAGACGACTTTCCGTTCGTAGGAATTGTCGAGACCACTCAAATAGCCGAACTCCAACGTACAGACAAAGAATTACTCCCGCTTATCGAACACCTGCAAGGAATTGACGTACAAGTACCCCGTATATTTTCTCGAAGCCTCGCATCGTTCTGCCTCCGAGGAAACGTTCTCTACAAGAGAAACTTCAAGCCCAACCGCGAAAAGTTCCTGCTTGTCGTTCCAGCAACTATGCGACAAGAAATACTTCGAGCGTGTCACGATGAGCCCACATCTGGACATTTGGGTGTGACGCGAACGCTTGCAAGGATCAGTCTCCATTATTATTGGCCCAAGCTACTAGCTTCAGTGCAACACTACGTCAAAACATGCCGCGAGTGCCAAAGACGAAAAACACCAAGTTCTAAACCAGCGGGCCTTCTACAACCTATAGATCCACCGAAAGCGCCTTTCCGCCAAGTTGGAATGGACCTCCTTGGACCCTTCCCGACATCTTTACTCGGCAAGAAATGGATCGTTGTGGCCACTGATTATTTAACTAGATACGCCGAAACAGACTCTTTGGAACGAGGAACGGCAGCAGAAGTGGCCCAATTCTTCGTACACAAAATAGTCCTGCGACATGGCGCTCCAACGGTTGTAATCACCGATCGCGGAACGGCTTTCACGGCGCAACTTTTGAAGTGCCTGCTCAACATGACTCACACTGTTCATAGGAAAACCACTGCATATCATCCTCAATGCAATGGCCTGACCGAACGCCTTAACAGAACTCTAGCGGACATGATATCCATGTATGTGGATGTCGAGCACAAAAAGTGGGACGAAATTTTACCATACGTCACTTTCGCCTACAATACGGCTGTGCAAGAGACCACCAAAATCACCCCATTTGAACTAGTTTACGGTCGTGCTGTTACCACAACACTGGATGCTATGTTACCAATAGACCAAGATGACTACCCCCCCGATCTTGACGACTTTCTACAAAGAGCGGAAGAAGCCCGCCAGTTAGCAAGATACCGAATACGCCACCAACACCGCATCGATGCCGACCGCTACAACCGAGGAAGACTTGACACGCGATATGACGTTGGCGACAAAGTGTGGATATGGACTCCAGTACGACGACGAGGCCTCTCCGAAAAACTCATTTCCCGGTATTTTGGCCCCTACGAGATCGTACAGCGACACAATGACCTCGTCTACGAAGTCAAGCCTGCAGGCCACCTGCATTCGAGGCGACGCAATCCCACGGAGCGTGTACACATTGTACGGATGAAACCGTACTACGACCGATTCCAAACCTAGCCACCCCAATCCCTTGACGTACTGCAACCTCATTTTTACAAACTTGTACACACAAAAAAAAAAAAAAAAAAAAAAAAGTACTGAACAGCCTCATCGCAAGCATCGGGGCGATGCCGCTTGAGAGGGGGGATAATGCCACGAGGAATTGCTAAGGCGCAGTACAACGCAGACGTTGTTAAAAGAGGAACGCTGACGGCATCGCTACGACTCATGAAGCCCGCCGGAAGGCACGAGCCGGCCCAGCCTGTGCACGAGCTGCTACCGAGCAGCGGCAAAGAAAAGAGGAGAAGAAGAGGACGACGAGCGTTCGCTGCTTTCTCCCAGCTACTGTGTAGTTCTTTTGGCTTTGGGCACAAGTTCGCCCTTATTAAACCTTGTAAATAGGACGTCCCGGTTGTGAGGTTGTTATATCCGTTACAATATAATGAAATTGGTGGACATTAATTTTATCTTCAACATAGCACAATTATACCTCTGCAAACACTTTTTAAGAAGATGTCGCAACTCTTCGATATAAACATTAATTTCATGTACCAAGATTTAGTATCATACAGGCTGAACTGTAAAATGGAAGCAGTAGTGTGGCAAGAATACAAACTGTCAAGTAATTAAGAGGCAGTGGTTTGGCAATTTTAGCTTTGTAGAAGTACAGGAGAAGGCCTGTATGCATATTCTCTTGATCTGAATAATATGAAACGTGCGGTATACAGAGCAGCAAGCTAGCTTCAGGCAACATTTGAAGAATGTAAGCAGAACGTCATTCCAATTCTCATCGACATTTGCAAAGGCCTTGCAATTTTTTTAGTCGTGAACGGGAAGGTCATGCAATCTCTGAAATCAGAATTGTATATCAAAGAACAGATAAGGATAAAGATTGCTTGAAATGATGCTTTGAGTGCACATGCATTTCAGTGAAATGCATGTACACTCAAACCTCAATATAACGAAGTTGCATGTTACACGAAAATAAGTTCCTTATATCGAAAAATTTGTTATATAGGCATATTTTTTACACTATATCTATTGCAAGAGTATTCTTCATTTAGTTTGTTATAGCCAATATTTCATTATATCTTGGTATGTTCTATTGAGGTTTGAGTGTACCTGTGTCACCGTTGGCTCGCACCAGGCTAACGAACGGGGAATGTTTTGCGATTCTTGTTAAACCTCTTGCTCATTTCAAAGAGCAACTGATGATAGCTTGTCTTGTGGTATGACGGGTGTTTCTGCAAAGTTGAAGAATGTTTTCGTCTTCTGCAGCTTCCTCTCACCGGGCGTCACGGCATTCCTCGTAGAAATTTATGATGAGGTAAGGGTACAGTTTCATTTCGAGTGCTTTCTTCTGCCAGTGCACATTACGCATGTTCACAGTTGCAGTTATTATGAGCTTCATCAAAGGAGTAAACTAAGGTCTTGCATTAATGTAGTCACATATTTTCTTTGTTGTAAAGCTAACAGCCTGTTAATTACTATATAAAATAATTGCAGCTTGTGAGTTGTCATCAGGTAACTGGGCACGCTTGCTTTTGATTTGTCTGATGTAGTCTGTGACGTGCTACATCATAGGCTGCCCGATGGGTTTCAAGCTTGAGGCCATAATTTCTTTTGACCCAAATTCTAAAGAAATTATCAAATTTTTCATTTCTTCCTTTCTTGGCAAAAAATGCCTGATATCATACCTACCTGTGCTGGCAGCTATCACTGCAAGCAATGAATGATGGTATTTTTGCACTAATAGTGGCTGTGAATGGAATAATGCACTCTCTGGTCGTGCTTTTGTTTGGGTTGTGCAGTGTTTAGTTCAATGCTTCCTTGGCAGTCTTTAAGTTGATTTGTCAGTGTAGGATGGTACCATGGTTGTTTAAGACATGTGGTTGCTGTAAGATTGCCGATGACGGCACATCAATACTCGTGATGGATATTACCTAAGAGTTGATTGGAACCATAGAAAAAGAATGCCTTCAAATGGTCGTTTCTGGAGCTATTGAACCATTTGCAGATTGCCCACTATCGTGTGCCACTTTTATCAGACATTTAGGGTGCCTTGTATATATCTATATCTACCACAGTGCACGAACACTTTTGTATTCTTGTGATCCACTCGCTTTTATTTTGGCAACCTTAATGAGGATGTCATGGTTGCCACTGCTTTGTTTGTGTTCAGACTCTGAATTGTAAATTTTTTTAAATCTGAATCACTCATTAAAGCATTTTGCAAAACGAATGCCAGGAAGATTTGCTAATAACGAAACCTTTAACTGCTCATCTCGCTGGGGAAATGAAATGCTTTATTGATGTGAAGCGTTTCTTCTTGTTGGTTGCTGAAATTCTTTAAAATCTAGAAAAATTAGAGGGCTGCTTATATGTGCATGAAATAGTGACACAAATAAATTTTGCATAATTTCAGTGAGAACAAAGCACTTGTTAAAGCAGTTAGTTCTTTTAATGTCATTTTATAGTACATGTTTCTGTCATTTGAGTCAGTGTTGAAATTACTCCAATAACCCCTTCAGGCCCGAATTATGTTCAAGTGTCTGCAAGGGCTTCAAATTAACATGGCATAATTCCAAGGCACTCAGTGTTATATTCCAGGAAAAAAATTGAAGATTGTGTTGTTTGGTGTGACTTTCTGTAATTAATATTGATTAGCACATACTGAAACATAATTATTTGGCAATCAGCTAGTTTCAGTTATTGCATAGAATGACCCGAACGTGAAGCCCAAAATGTATCCTCAGTTTGCTCTTGGGTTGCATTTATTTCGAGCAAGTAAAAAGATTAATCTTGACATTGGTCCTAGAATGCGGCATATTGAACGATCTTCGAACAGGGGTTGCCTCGAGCTAACTAATTTTTCACAGCAATACGTGAAAATACATGGGAAGATTGCGGCAAGTTACTGAAAGTTTTTCACCCGGGAAGTGTGCACGAGTGTGCGCGGTGCGCGACGTGCCTCCAAAGTGGATGTGTACACTTTTACACACCGCCACCGGAAGGGATAGATTTATTAATCTTAACATGTGCATGGCGGTTGTGCAGTGTGCATTCACGGTGAATGAGAAGATCGCTTGGGCACACGTGGTCATCCCCGAGGCAGTCTTCTCCGGCCAGACCGTTGACATCTGGCACCCACTTTCAGGTCGCCAGGGTGAATCCAAGGAAGGCAACATTAACCTCGTCCTCTCCTATCAGGTGCGTGTGACGATAAGAGCTCCCATGGGTCGTTTTGTTCTGTAATCTTCTAATAATACTTAGTGAATGAAACAAAGCGTTTTTCACACTGAAATGATTGAAACTGTTATGCATGGTCATGGAGGCATAAGCATTAAAGCCTATTTGTCATCCACCCCATGATGTGTAGGACTGCATTGTTGTGCAGTCACATTCGTTGTAAGATCATCACAGGCTCTTTCCCGCAGTGGTGTGCTCTGTGCGATACTCTTATGCAGGTTGCCACATATGCTATCACACTAATGTGCATTGTCACAGTTCTCGCAGGCAGTCACATGGTTATGTACATGGCCATACCGTGTCGTGCACCGCCACACATGCTTTCACACAGTCAAGCCCTCAGACACAATTGTGTACACAGTCACGCTCTGCACAATCACAGTACACAGTCATGCTGTGCATTGTTGCAGGCTTTCATACCACCGTGTACTGTCAGACTGTCAAGCACAATATTGCAGTGTTCACATACACCGTCATTTGGTTCTGTTGACTGTTTCACCATGTCCATTTTCTCGGGTGCTCTCTCACAGCCATGAAAAATTTTTTAACGGGGCCTGATATGTGTGCGTGTGTGCTTGTGTGTGTGTGTGTGCACATGCATGTTGGAGCTGATGTTCAACAAGTGGACTTGGCTTCTTCAAGGCAGGAGAAGCAGTTGCAGCTGTAAAGTAGAGGGACCTTAGTCAGGCAGGGGTAGTCTTCCTTTAGTCCCTTCAACCTAGGCAATCTTTGTTTTAGTGTGAATAAACAGTAAGTGAATGAATGAAAGAAGATGAGTTCGTTAGTTGAAACATCTGCTCCTGCACACACCCTTGTTATGAAATTCTCATTGCAAGCTTTCATTTCTTTGCCTGACTGGTGCCTTTTCTTTTGTATTCACACAGCCATCCACTATTGCACCGTCAAGCACATGGTAACACTTTAATCGTACAGGGTCACACAGTTATGTGCTCAGTTACATCATCTATACATTATCATTTGTGCTTCATGCAGCCATGCAACCTCGCACAATCAAGCACATTTGCTTAGGTCCTGTTGCAGCACATGCACGATCACAGTGTCTTTATGATATGCCATATTTTCTCACATATGACCCGCCCCAGCATACAAACTGCAGCCCCTCTAGAATCAGCAAAATATTAAAATATATATATATATATATATATATATATATATATATATATATATATATATATATATATATATATATATATATATATATATATATATATATATATATATATATATATATATATTCCTGTGTATTGCAGGGATGCTCCTTGAACACTGACGTCTGTTAATAACCTGCATCCTATCTTTACCTCCAGATTTTCTAATGCGAGTAAATGTGAGAGCTTAAGCAATGCTGTCACGCTTTTATGCACACCAACAAATGTGAATAGAGAAATGATTCCTGTATGTTGATTACCATTTTCCTTTCACCAGACTTAATATAACCAGCTTTGTGCTGAAAATTTCATTAATTCTCGAGTACTTGTGTAGAAAAATTTGATGTGAAAGCAAGTGTCGCAAGGTACATGTGTAAGGGCAGTTGAATTTATACTGCCCAGAAAACACAAAACTCTTTCAAAGCCTGTAAAGCTGTCTGGCTTTTTTAGCTTAAGTTCAGATGCCTTGCAAATGGCTCCTGGGTTCACATTCTCTGCATGTCTTGTGCATTGTGCTTTCAGCCCATAGTCTATTTTCTACTCTTCTTGCCTTTCAGCGTTATGGTGGATGTCCTCTTGTAAGTTTTTGAACTGCGATTTGGGATACTGCATTTGATTTGACTCATTAGAGTAACCGTGACATGGCATTACATGTCAAGGTCCTGACACTGCTATTTGGAGAACATCAACTGACGTGGCATAAATGTGACAGTAAAATTTTTTTGTGTGAAAACGTATAATGCAAACGTAGTTCAAATGGAAAAAAGTGCTAATAATAATAAAGTACATTGAACATAGCTATTCTTCAGAAAAAAATTATTCATAAGTTTATGGCTTAATTAAGTCCTTACTGTAAATTTAGTGTTTCTTTCGTGCCCATGCACGAACCAGACCTTATTTGAGTGCTTGGATAGCCCTGTAGCAGTTCACATCGTCAAAGTTCTTCACATACTTCCTCAGCACATTCAGTGCAGTGTACAGTTCGCAATGCGTAGGTGTCTGTAGATTATGTGCTGGGACCGAATGTGAGCAACATCATATGTGGGAAAATGTATAACTGTGGAATGTAGAAGCAGGGTTCTACTGTGTGTTCTGTTAAACCTTGTACGGAACAGTTCCAACATCCTTCTGGAAATACCATGCAATTGTATACCGTATGTTCCTGTGTGTAAGTTGCGCACTTGTGCAAGTTGCACCCCCCCCCCCTCCCCCCCGTCAAGAAATATCGCATAGATGCATGAGTTAGTCGCACAAGTGCATAAGTCACACAGATGCATAAGTTTCCCAGGTGCATAAGTCACAGCAGTGTAGAAGATAGAGCTGTACATCTGGCCATGACATTAAAGTATCGTATTTACTCGCGTAATCCTCGCACTCGCATAATTCTCGCACCCCCCACATCGCCCCCAAAAAAATACGAATTTTTTTTTCCTCGACTAATTATCGCACCCCCGAAAACTGCCACAATAATGTCGTCTGCTCGTTCCAGCCACTGATGATGATAGCGCACGCCATTTGGCGCCATCTCTTAGGCATCAAGCGTACTATTGCACGCAGATTTATCCAATTCAAGCCAAGCCGAAGTGGCCAGTGCGCGTTGCGGCATGTTTTGTATGCTGTGTCGGTAATCTTGGCACGTTATGGAGTGATACTGAAGCTACACGGCTGCTTCAAGTTGCAATAGATCATGCACTAAACGACGGCAACAGGGTCCGCCGCTAGGCCCTTCGGAGTCTGCAAGTTTTGTGTTCGCTACTGGATACGGCAGCTGAAAGCCACCAAGACGCGTTGGGCCTGCCGTGGGCCTAAAACTGGGGATTGATGGTAAACTTTATTTCTTCGAGAAGGAAACTGCGGACGATTCTGTTAAATAGCCATCAGCCCAATACTGACGTTCTACGCTTACCTTTTGAGGGCTTCTGTTGAGCGACGAACGCTACCGTTACACCCGCAACGCCCACAAGCTTTGCGTATGGTATTCTAATTCTCGACCATTTGCTTGCACTTTTTGTGTCTCAAATAAATCTTGCCTTGTGTTGAATCTCTGCTTTTATTATTGAGGTAAGTTCTAATTAGTACTTCTTAAAGCTTAGTGTAAGTTGCTAGTGTGAGAATCCCGATTTGCGGCCACTTCGTTTTTCTTTTCCCCGTGTAATTCTCGCACCCCCCAACTTTGCATCAGTTTTCCGGCAAAAAAAGTGCGAGGATTATGCGAGTAAATACAGTATCACGTGTGAATGCACTGCAAAAATGCTTTTTTTTTTTTAAGTGTGCGAAAATTCGCTGCTTTTGCACACTTCCAGCTGTTGGCATACACACGTACGGGCACCACTCAAGATACGTAAAAAGTAAAAACAATACGTTCAGAAGTATTTTTATTATTGCAACAACTTTATTATTGTGATACCTGTTTCATTACTTTGATAACCTTTTAATATTCGGATAACTCAATCAAAACAACCGAATCACAAACAGTGCTGCTACTTCTGGTTGTGGTACTGCTGACTCATCACTGCCGGTCCTCTTACTCACTCGAATCGAACTCATTGACATCGCTATTGGCTGCTCAAGGATTAACCTGGCTTTGCTGAGGCCCGCCACGATGGTCTTTTCAGGAATGAAATCCCAAGCATCACTGACCCATTTCGCCGCTTCGCTGAAATTATGCGCGTCTCAACCGTCCTGTTTTTGTAAAACTATGCTCTTCCTCCAATATTCATGTTTTCCGCAAACGTCACAGAACTGCCTGGAAGCTATGGTTGACGAAAATGTCTAGTGGCTGAAGCACCTTTCTCATGCCGCCGGGATATGATCACTGGTGTACATTTCCTTGAATTTATATTTTTCTTGGCAATGTCTGTGATAGGCGCCCACGTACTGTTCATCACTAGCATTCCTGGCCTAATGTTGAAGAGTCCATCAGGTTGACATGAAAAACAGCAGCCTATCATCACCTCCGCCGTGCTCTGATTGTTTTTTTTTTTTTTTTTGCAAAGGTACTTGAATCAAACTGGCCTGTGCGGCTAACTTGGGTCTTGTTTTCATAGTAGCACATGTCTTCCTGACAACATTGAATGCTACTTGAGTTTCAGTCTCTAATGACAGATTGGCTCTAGGGACTTGACTTCAGCATCAGCATGATGCGGTAAAACATGCCAACAGGGAAAAGCTTGACCACCATGCAGGGAAGTGTACTACCTGGAACATGTCTACTATATGGAATTACCAATACATCATACTGTATTGTTATCTCCTTCGGGTTTCATATGTCCAGATTTGACTAAGACAGTGCATCATGTGACAGCGCTGTTTGGCATGTCAGTACCAATCTGAGAATGAGGCTTGTCGGGGTAGTGACACCGTATTGGGGCATTTTTGTGTCTTATTATTTCAGGCGATTCCTCCGGGCTCCCTCGCCGCACCGCCTGTGGTTCTGGTCAACACACCCTACATGATGCCGGGTGTGGTGCAGTACCCTGCCGCTGCTGGTATGTGGTGCATAGCTGTGAACTTTGAAGCTTATGAAAAAAAGCAGCATTTGAAGACAGAGGTGCTTTGATAATCGCTTTGAAGACTCACTTTGCGATGGTGCATGTCAGGAATAGAAAAGCTGGCACATGTACATACATTGTGTGAGCTTCACATGCATATTTTTATTAATTGCCGGTATTTGGTAGAAACCTTTTAAACCTAGCTGGTATATTCCAGTTCACTAAATGCATATGTTTGTTGTATTGGAGTTTGAGATGTCAAGAGAGAGAAAATCAAAGGAGAGGCAGGGTGGTTAATAAGATTGTTCCTGATTTGCTACTATACGCATGGGAAGGGGAAAGGGGAGGGAAAGAATAGAGAAGGAAGGAAGGAATGAAAGATAGGCGAAGTTATATGACAGCACGAACAGCAGCGTGCGTACCATGCATGCCCAAAAATTCATAATGAAATGGAAATTAAAGGGACAATAAAAATGCATTCCCTGTTCAACAGGAGCTTAATTATGCTGAGTGATATGTATCAGGTTACAAAATTCAGATACTAAAGCAACTATATTGTGTTGTGCCATTTGAACAGTTTATACTAAGGAAAACTGTACTGTACATGTCACTGACGAGTTTAGCCCAAGTGGCATTTTGTTGCAGTCGACCCATACAAAAAGTTTTTCGAAGTGTGTGTACCAGCCGTATGTTTCTTATCAATGTTTTAGGCTATGTGTACCCTCCGTACGCTGTCCCCGTTGCACGACCTGGCGTGGTGGCTGCTGGTCCTGGCTACAATCCGGCTTTGCAGCCAGCAGCTCAGCAACAGCCGACACAAGTCCCAATCACTGAAGAAGATGTGAAGCAGGCGAGTAATAGCACCAACTTCTTAATTCGTTACCAGCCTAATTACAAGTCTAAATTGTCATACTTAGCAGAGTCATTTTGTTGTCCAGCTAACCCCTCATACTCTTAAAAAAAGTCTACATGTTTTGCAGTACTTTTAGACGTCATTGATACTCCTTGTATTTTCTTTCTGAAGAAACTCTGTGGCCGCTGCTTTTCTGTCAAATCTATTGTGCTGTGTGCGGATGATGCACTTGCCATTTAGGATACGGCATGTATGGTGTGATATGGTATCTTCTATACCTTATCATATATCATACCATGCCACATCATACATGTGATCTGCTATGGAAGTACAACGCATACAGGGTAACAAAGAAAAAGCACACAAAGCAGCGACATACATTAGGATCAAACTGTCATTTTCGGCATGGTAAAACAGCATAATTTTAAGCAATGCGACTGCATATTCAATGCAGGTTCAAGAAATGTTCCCAGAGATGGACGCCGAAGTGGTCAAGGGTGTTCTAGAGTCCCACCGAGGCAACAAGGATGCAACCGTCAATGCGCTGCTCGCCATGAATGACGCCAATGCTTAGGAGCTGTCCTGTACATAAGAAATTGGATAGGGAGGGACACTCAGCGTGCGAGAAAACCTTAACAGAGACAGGAATGTAGTCAAGTCTTAAGGGACCTTTCTTTTTTGTTTCTATTGTGAAAGGTTTTCGCGAAGAGCAAGCACTATGATGGGAGCGAGGCTGGTGGCGTGTTTTGTACCTGTGCCGTATTGGCGAGGTTACTGCCATTGAAAGTCTGGGACGTTAAGTTTCGTAATGCCTTTATGTCTAAGGTTGCTGCTGCGTTCACGTCTTTGGCGTCGCTGTGGCGATGGCTGCAGTGAATGCAGTAAGTTTTCTAATTGTAATAACATGAAGGAGTGTTTCTTGCTTGGCATAGGTTTGGGAGATGCCACACAAACGTTCTATATTTATGTATAGGCACATTTTATCCAGAGCTGTTGTTAAAAGTATATGAAAAATTGTCGGATATAATCAGGTAAAAATTTTTGTCTTGCAGTTATCGCGGTAACAAATATACGCTTGTAAGTAACATTGTATATACAGTCGCCAAATGATAATTTGAACTCGAAGGCAAAGGTCAGAAAATTTGGGGCATTATTTAGAGATCGACCAAATATAGAGTGCATCTTATTCTCGGATTGTCACTTTCAGGGATGTCGTCGGTTTTGCGCACCTAGAACACAGTGCACCATGAGGCACTCCTGGCACAGTACCAAGTGTGCAGCCTCATCGCACGTCCACGAATGCTGTGCTCTGTCGATGCGTTCACCTATGATCATTCGAAATAGCGCGATAAAGGTATGATCATTCGAAATGGCGTGAAAAAAAAAAAGAACGATCCTGGAAAGTGATCATCCAGAAATGTCATTTGCACTTGTCAGTTTCTTGCTGCACGCAAATGTGCTTAGCCGCTGACAGGTGACGTAAAGAGAGTGGTGTTACTACTCCCTGCGATAAGCATTCTTGCACCGTTTTTACGGTTTAAGATGGGTCGGACTGATGCCTTGTCCACATTCTTATTTAGATCAGTTCGCCATCAACGGCAAATTTGGTTATACAGTATAACGTCTTTACAACAGATCTCCTTACAACAAAATTTCTCATAAAAGATAACAATTGGCATCGTTATGCCAACCATCTTATTTATTCTGTTGATTGAGCTTCGTGTACCACACGTTTTGGTACAACGGACATTCAGATATAATTGACTAAAATCTGAAGCTACCAAGGTGGCCGGCACCCCTTTACAGCGGATTTTTCTACCGCAAACGTCCCACATCAATAACTTGCAACTTAAACATCGGCATAATTTGGGGACAGGAAAGGTGCGCCGCGAATATCAGTGTACCAATCTTAAAATAAAGGCGGCTGATCTGCAGTCTAATAATAGGCAGTTATGCCTAGCTAAGACGATAAAAAAAATTGGTGCGCAGCGTGCTTGGTCTTACGTTTTGGGGCGCTGATGTGCAAAATTGCTAGCTGCTGCTACAAGCAGTCGCTGCGCACCAAGCTCACTTGGCCGGGAGTTGCACTGCCGATGCACAAAATGTCCATCCGTTTTTCTCAGGAGCCAGCGGGTGATGTACTTCATATCTTTCAAGAAAGCACAATACAACTTATTCGCTTTCGCATGCCCGCTAATGCGATAAGCATGGCTGCAAAGTTTGGAGCGTAGTTAGGCCTAGCCACAATTTCGAACACAAATCTCGGTTGCGATGTTCGTGGCCACGGTGCCTGATGTTTCAAAGTGCGTCACGCTCGATTGTGAATATAAGTAGTTGTCCCTTGGTAGGCTTCGACCCAAGGTCTGAGTGCTGATAAGTAACGGGTTCAACGAGACAGTTTTGCAATGGGTCCGACATGTGCATCTGCGATGTTGGTGAAAAGTTCGGTGTGCTATTGTAATCTGATAACTGAACTTCCACTTGCCTTAAAGGGGCTCTGCAACAATTTTTGAGCATGGTCAGAAAATGGTGCCGATTGGTAGTAGAGGCCCTCGAGAACACGGGAGCCAAATATTATAGCGCAGCTTGGCTGCCTGGAATTCGCAATAAGTTATCAAAATCAGCTAGAATTGCTTTGTTTACTCTGAACAAATGACAGAAGGTGCTCAGAAATTACTCATAGAAGACTATCTATCAGCCTTTGGCTGATATGAACATGGCTTGCTCGGTCGTTATAGAAATCTCCGCAAGAGGTCTTTACTTGTCCACACGTGTGCGTATGATCACACTAAAGAAGCTGTGTGTTCGAAGAAAAAAAAAATGGCCAAGGCCACCAGGGCACACGTGACATATTTTCTTTGCCCCTGCCATCAGCCCCCTGCTTAGCTTCCCACGCTTTCGATGAAACGAGAGGAGAGAGAATGTGAAGGCAGCTTGCGACAAATCTTTGTAACTCCACTCATACTGTACGGATTCTTAACATTTTTGTGGCGTTGAATTCGTGAGGCAATAAGCTCTATCAGCTAATTCATTCCATGGTTACTTGAAAAAGGGTTTCACGGCCCCTTTAACTACATTGCGACCTGGGAATATAGAACGAGTACGAAAAAACGTTACAGAGTAGCGCGATTTTCGATGAATGTGCTGTTAGGAGCTGCAATATTTTGAATAACACCACTTTTTTTTTTACTTCTGCTATAATTTTTGTCACTTCAGCATGTGCAAACATTTTTTACTGCACTTCTGCGTAGTTTTTAGTGAAGGTATCTTGGAATCAGATTTTTTAAAAAGAGGACACAGAAACTAGGCTTGATTTTCAAAAAGGAATTTTTTTTATGTCACCGTTGAGAGTAAACCCGTCTATGACTTGCGATTTTCTCTGGCTTTAACATGCCTATTCAATGTTTTTGTAATGGTCTGTGGTAACGAGACGTAGACTTTGCATATTCTTTTTACAACAGACCAATATCTTCTTCACTATAGACGTCTGTTGAAATGAGGTTACATTGTAGTAATAACCAATTGAGCGGAAGGTATCACTAAACAAACGCTGCCCATACCTCGACCATTCCTATGCTGTTGCTGCAAGGGAAAAAGGGAGTACATCAACCGTTTCTTTTTCTCTGGAAACATAAGTGCCAAGTGTGCTGCCAACTGCGAAAATGATAGTATATTTTGCGACAGCTATTGTAAATCACTTTCTTAGCTGCCCTCGGGTGCAGACTCCAAATGACACAGTTGTCGATACTTGAAATAGTGTAAAGTACTTTAAAAGCATGTGTCCTTGAACTCGTTACATAGTCTTAGCAGAAAACAGTGCAATACAACAAACACAAAGGAGACCAAATGAGACCAGCACTTCTCCAGTTTGCTCTTTCTTGTCTTCATTGCATTGCACTGTTTTTTTGCTATGGTTTGAAGAAATTCAAGTCGCTGAATGCAAATTGAGTAATTCTAAATGTGCATAATGAAACACATGGCTAATAATAAATGTGCATAATGAAACACATGCCTAATCGCAGAAATACAAATTGTATGGCTTAGTAATATGGCTTGACTTGTTCTGAGCCAATCTGGATGATTGAAATATTTTAAAATTTGGAAAGGTGTGGCTTTCGGACATGGATACGTGTGGTTCACTGCATGGCTGAATTATCAAGTATTTGCAAAGTTTAATGTGAAATATCGTACAGTGCACATTATTCTTTTCAGAAATTTCGCTTGTGTCTCATTGTGCATTAAGTCTATACAGCCAATGGCATTGGCCCGAAGCAGCACAAATTATCAGTTGGCGACTGTTACAAAGCTGTTTTTATGAGAGAGCAGCGTTATTATTAAGACTTCATTGTATCTAGAAACCTGTTGGCAATCCGTATCTGCAAGTGCTAGGTAACTTTGAACTGAGAATACACATTCAATCTAAACGAGTTTTGGATTGCCATGTGGTGCAAGTGGCAGGTTTAATGCCTTTAACGCACCCATGGGGCAGGTTTTGTGCAACTGACGTTCAAAAAAAAGCGTTGAGCAGTTCAGTCTGTGTTACAGGCATAATAGCCGCGAGTGTTGTCCTCGAAAAATTGGTGGGACGTTTGTTGAGCAGTCGAGTGTGTGTATAAGATGTTTAATCGGTGTAACATATTTACAGCCCATGTTTATATATATATGTAGTATATATATAAGGCTTATATGTACAAGAATAACTTTGGTTGCCGCAAGGTTATAAGTATAAAAGTAGATGCGCTTTCACATAACTGTTTATTCAGCCGATGTTTGGATGGGAGCCCCGTTTTTTTTTTTTCAAGTTATATATACAAAAGTCTCAACCTGGAATGTTTCTTGAACTTCGGGTGCAGCGAGGCACCACTCAGTGTAATGAAACTTAAAATATTTAGTCCCTCTTGGCAGCTCTTTCAATAAAGAGCTGCTTGAGGAGCGTATGCTGATTTGAGTTCTCACAACTGTTGCTGAAGGGGCCACGTTATGTGAAGCTAGCCTGGTAATCGCCAAGAAGCATTATTTGGGTCAGGTTTAGGGGCATTCCTAGAGCGGACGGGAACTGCGTGGTAGTTCCTGTCGCGTAAATAGGAGATGGTTCGGTCGTGTTCAAAATATTGTGCAGAGGCAATATATTGTGGTGCATGCAGTTTAATACCGTGTATGGGAGGCATTGACTCTTTTGCCTAGAGTTGTTTTTTTGTTTGCAGTGTAAAGAGGGCAGTTCTAAAACTTGTGGGGCCAAAACAGTGGCAGGCTTTGTCCGAGAAACAACAAACAAAAGCGCGTACAACATTGTGCCGTTGTGATGAAAGGTAGTGCCATTTCTCATTCTTTTGAATGTTCCGTCTAATACAATCTAGAAACACACCTTGTTTAACTCTTCTGAAAGACAGGCAGGTCCTCTGTTGGCAGTCTTTTAAATGCTGTATCTGTCATCCGGCATAGCTCGATAAAATGTTGAGGCAGATGCTGTTTCTTGTTAATATACACTTATTATAGGGCTTCGGCAAAATCTCTCTTTGTCATGTGACATGGAGCTATTTGTTTGAACTCCTTCTAAAGAGGCAAACGATGCAACAGAATGCGGCGTTAGACTGCATTTACCACGAAATACACTTTTGTACGAAAGTTAGTCAGATTGAGCCAGCCTCGTTGCCGAAAGAAGCGTGTATAACCTTGTGATCCTACGAATGCGAGAATGAGTACTGGAACTTACATTTTTAGAATATTTGTCCTACTATTTTTTGCTGTTTTTTATGTTGTAATGCTATATATTTCTTAGTTTTGATACATGCTTTTGGAAAAAGTCTTGCTTTATTTCTCACTCACCTCGTGGGGTGTCGGAAGATTCACATGCTGTTCACTTTGGTTGCAGTTGTGCGAGTGAGACTCACTTTTCTATGAATGCTGTGCATTCCTTATTCTCTATTGAAGCAGCCTCTCTAAAGGTGTGTTGCAACCTCAATATAACGCAAGTGGATGAACGAAATAAATGGAAAAATGTATCACTGCTATTGCATTGTAACAGGTGTACATTGAAGGTGGACGCAGAATATAACGAAGCTACCTTCTTGTCGGTTTACACTATAAAGAGGTTGAGGTTGACACACTTGCTGTGAGCAAATCTTCAGCAATGTGCTATGATTTTTTCATCTACAATTTATTTTGAAATAATGAATTCCTCTTAATGTGCTTAGTTTGCTGGCCCAGTACATTTTATGAATGTTGCTGAAAAGGGTACATCATATTTCGGTCCTGTCATCTGTTTCATTTATATTGCTTTGCGAGTTCGCAGCGCAATATTTGGTGTTGTCTCAAAGAGCCGTATATTTGTGCTTTAGCATCAAGTTCTGAATGCATGGATAGAGCTTGAGGCTGCTAACTGTGATCATTATTGATCACACCTGGGAGTGTGTGGTGTCTTGTATGATTGTGCTGTAGACTACTGTACTTGCATAGTTATAATAGGTATTTCTTTCTGCTTTCTAATTTGCCATAAGCTTAGTTTTTAATAGATCCTAGTGCTGTGCCAGAAACCACCCTACCTTTGTACATAGTGTAAGGTTAGTCAAAAAAGACTGACAATATTTAAATGGCTTGCTCCCACCTGTGCGCACATCAACCTGTGTCCTGTATTAAAGCCTTTTGCTGTAAATACCACTTGCAGCGTGATATCGTGTTGCACTTCTAACAAGCTTTGTTTTGGTTTTTGCACATTGAATATGCTTGTGCAGGCATAGAAGAACTGACTTTACTGTAGGGAAGTTAACTTTAAGAAGTGTTTCCTCATGCCTTAATTTTTCAGTCTCTTCGGGAAATTAGCGATTAACACTTGGGCTTCGGCAATGGAGTTTCAGAAAACAAATACCATTAGTTATCCTTTTTCTTCTAAAACTGTTGCTATTCATGTACCAACGAAGACTAGCTAGTAAGGCACAGTGCATCTGCAGTGTTTGATGCCTTATGGTGCTCACCTTCGATCTGGCCCAAAACTAGTTTGTATGCAAGTTCACGAAACAGGAAAAATTTAACTAGCCGGAAAAATTGTAGTAACAAATTGTCCCTTTTATTCTCACCACTGCTGTTTGCAATGTCGTGAAAAAGAAAAACTTGTGTCAATATCCTCGTGCATGCCTGTTTCAGGAAAGAGTATGTGGAAAATGTAACATCGGGCCATCATAAATGTCTGGTACTATTTTGCAGGAGTGACGTGCCCTAACTTCTCCTCATGGTCTTGTTAAATTTGGTGTTTTTTTTTTACTTCAAATGTACAGTCTGTGATAAATATCGAAGCCACATTGATTCAAGGGTGTCCAAAATTTTGTAGCTTAGTATTTTAAGTAAATTTAGACTGAATATATTGCTTAATAATAAACGCTTCCAAGAAGTAACAAGGAAGTTCAGCCCAGGAAACGGTGCTGTGATAGATTAGCTTGTTAACTGCGGGGTTGGTTTCGAAAGTCTTTGCAAAGACTGCTCACGGAATGTGCAGTCTCATGAAATTTTGCAGTTATGTTACTAGCTTTTCACTCTGTAGTTTCTCGATAAATGTGTTATCTATAGCGGCATTGAGAAACAACCTGTCGTAATAGTGTTTTTTCTGTGTGATGCATTGAGGAGTGTGGCTGCTGTGAGTTGGATACCGTATCATGTCGGTTATCTATCTAGGTGACATTATTCAGGCCAGAGGTGGTTGGCATAACATAAGCTTGAGGGGTGTTATGTTTGCAGCTGTTTCAAAGATTGGCAGGTAGTTGCACAGTTCATGCAGATGACGAGCTGTAGCACTATTTCGTTGTCATGGAAGGACGAAGGATTGCATCAGTGAGGTTGTCTGCTTAGATATGCATGACACCCTTTATAATTTGCCAACTTCTCAGTTAAGTACAGGGTACTCAATTCATTTTACTACCACATTTGATATATTTTGAGAATCGTGAACATTTGCTTTGCCTGTACTCAAGGAGAGCGTGTGCATAGCAGTGTGATTGTATTTGTATGTGAGAACGTAGCAGCTAAATCCAAATGTTCTCTATGATGCTTTGATTGAAACATGACACAGAAGAAATGAAAACATACCCAGTGACTGCTTCACTAAGCACCACTGCTGAGATCCGAGGTCACCGGTTAATCGCTGCGACACAGCAGCGCCATGTTACGCGAACGAATTAACAACCAACTTTTGTTTTACCTAAGCTTAATTTCTCAATGCAGCTTACATTTAATGGTTGCCAGCATGCTTTGAGCAGGTACTAGTCACTGGATTTACACAAGAACCCTGTTCGAAGTCTGTAACGACCATTTGTTCATATGATCCTGTAACCGTGCGATTTTGCAGTTGGCCAAGTTAAATGGATTGCATTGTGTGGGCTTTTCACGACAACTGGGAGTGCGCCTTATGCCATCTCTCAGATAAACTTAACACTTAGCTGAGAAATTGTAATAAATGTTTTATTTTTCTAAAAGGTCTATTGTTGGGTTTTCTTTAGCGGGTTTCTTCCGCCTACTAGTGTTAATATGATTACATTGCATAATCTGCTGAATTTGTGATGCGACCTTGCGATATTTTAGAAAACTAATACATCAGTCGTAGTGTATTCTGTAAAACCTTTTTACTTTACATTGAGAGTGTTGGCGATCAGTTTTTCAAAAATTTGAGCACTAAAGAGAAGTCAGACACATTCTGGTTTGCCTGATTAAATAGTGCTAATACAGCTAATTTTCTGAGCAGTAAGGTGGCAACATTGTTTTGCCTAAATTTATCAGACAGCGTTCAGTAAAATGAGTCAAGTTAAAAAAGGAGGCCAACAGCCATTTTTCCATGGCAGCCTTCAGGGCAGAAACGCCCAATTGCTGTGCCATACACATCTCTTAGTCGTATGCTGGGTGTGTGGTTTATTGATGTTGTCTGGTTAAGCTGTTCATTGTTGTCATGTCGACCTCATCAGGTGCAAGGGGGGGCTGTTGTGTGACTGCCAGCTTTTCAAGTTTTGTCTATAGACAAGCGGCATATCTGAAACAGGCGCAGTGAAGTAAAAAACGGTGGCCAATCTCTACACTCTCGAATAACCGAATAAACTGCTCTCAGTCCCTGTTCACTTCTGCTAAGCTGATCGCAGCAGGTCACGCGTTGAATGCCTGCGAGACCAGTGCTCTGCTAACACGGCAGCCTCTGAGATTTACAGTAGATGTGGGCACAACTAGAGGATTCCAGAGGACATTTCATGTAATTTTTTCTATCGCCAATCTCGGATGCTGCGCAACTCGTGTTCTGCCTTAGTGGGCATGGCAAGGAAACGGAGGGGGGGGGGGGGGGTGGTTTACAAATGCATTGCGAAAGTGCCAAGTGGCAGTAACGTAAATGTGTTGGTGCAAATGCATTTCAACATCTTGTGTGTGATGTGAATGCACTGTTCGTGAACATTATCGCAAGCTTCTGAGGTAGATTGACTGAGCCTGTTTTCTTTTGGTTCTCATGAGAATTGGTATTGGAATGAGAAGTTGGTAGTAGTGCCGTGCGACCTGTGCACTGGCTGCACATGGTGATGATAGCTCGTTTCTTATGGCAGATGGCTGTGTATAATTGTTACTTGTGTCTGTTCTTTCTTTTTTTCCCTGTACAACTACAGTTTGGTGGCAATGTGATAATAAAGATGTTTCTTTCATAACATAACACTTTCTTGTATATGGATTTTTAGTGAAATGTTATAAATTAGGCATTTTTAGTTTGAGACATGCCAATGTAGCTTTTTGATTACTAGTCTCTGGTCTATCGATGGTGATCCTGTTTTACAGCGAAAGCTGTCATGAAAGGGGTCGATTGTGGCGCCGTAGTTGTCCGCCACCGCCCGTGTCCGCAGCCACTATCACTCGAAAGAAGAAAAACGCCTAAATAAAAAAAAATCCTGAGGACAGAGTGGCAATCGAAACTCAGTTCTCTGCGTAGCAGCCCAGCAATCTACCGCAGAGCTGCGCCGCTGCTTGAAACTTCGTCGCAAACTGACCCTCCCTGTGCTGGCTTCATGTAGGGTAAGGAATCGCGCTAACATGTGTAATACTTCATTTTAAAACAGTAATGTAACAATCAGGTGTGAGACGATTCGATTTGCATAACAAGCGGGGCGCTGAATGCTCCAACCCATTATGAAAGCTTGCGCGGCAAATTGTTACAGGACAACCAAATTTGAGATTATTTCGGCACGTATCTTGGAAAACAGCGCTATGTCTCAGGAAAATGTGCCTTGAAGCGCGCGGTAGTATTTAGTAGCTTCTTATGTTAGACTCGAGTAGGTGTGCAGTGGCTGGGTAGAACTGTGGTACTGTATGTCCAAGCGGGTATATAGAACAAAGGTCGTGAAACGTCACACAAAAAAATTGTGGTTGCCGCCAAATACGCCTTTTTCTTCACAACCATCCCGTTGAGTGAAAAGTGTAATTTAAAATGTTCAATTGGTTTTGTCCGAAGCATCTGTCTACAGGAAGCATGCAACATCCACAATGTTTGGCATGACCGTAGGATCTATTGATTTCCCCAATAAGCTTATCACATGTCAATAGTCCTTCTCAATGTTGTGGCAGGTAAACACTAAAGATAACCACAAAACTACCACTTAAAGGTCCATAGTCGAACAGGATTAAATGTTTCTTTACCGCAGCGCACAAATTCAGTCGTCATGCCTCAGCAGACATATCTTGTTGCGGCGGAACATATTTGCTTATATCACAGTGCACTATTCAACCACATTTCGTTTCAACGCGTGCATTGGTAAATCAAGCAATGATTTACAGAAGAGGAAATGATTCTGCAGATTCAGCTATTCCATAACTATTTTTCACACGCATTTATGTAGCAACAAGTGGTATCCCGTCTGGTGGTAGTTGGCCACTTCCACCAGGTCATGTTGCCTGATTGCAGTAATGCTGAAGAACTGCAATTATTGGACACCAACTTTTTCTGCTGTTGATTCCGATATTTGTCTGTGCATTTCTGTAGACAGCAACTATAGATTCCTGCTAGTGGAAGTTGCCAACTGGCCCTTGGAAGATTCCACCAAAAGTTGCCTTTATGCTTGCCATGGGGCTGCTGCGGCCAGGAATCAAGCTCACTACATTGTTCTCCGGAAAATAACCGACTGTGAGTTACACCAGCTGCGGCTTTCCGCCCGAGCGCCATGATTTATCAGGGAAAGCTCTATTCAATATGCCCTGATGCCTATCGTGAGCTGAACCATATGGCCGTAAATAACACGTGCAACAGCTGTGGCTAAACAATAACGCTCTGTTGTTCAATAAACGCAGCGCATGAGAAGATTCACGCCGTGGAATTGTTTTGAAAATAAATTTCACATTTATCAGGCAGGTTTTAAAGTGCGAGAACAGATGAACAAACAGTTCGCCGGGATATATGTCCAGTGAACCTTGGCTACCCTTTGGAGATCGACAATGGCCACTCGTTATAGAAGAAACGTCGCAAAAAGTATCCGGCAAACCTGAGAAGGTGTTGCGAATGATTTATCTGAGGTCCACAGCCAGTGGCTACGAGTATACGAAACTTACCTGATGCAGGGAGTGCCGACGATCACGAAGGTCGGCTCCCAGGACTGAGGTCTCCCTTGCACTTTTCGGGGGCTGACGTCCGCCTCTCTCTCCAAAGTGGAGATTGAAGGGGCATCAAATTTTTGGTAGTGGGGAGACTTGGCGTGCGCGCCTCTCCCCTCACAGTAACGTTCTCCAAAGAAAGTTGGAAGTATACCAGACACGTTTATAGGCCAAGGAAAACGTAGCGTCACAAATAATGCTGTCTTTAAGTAAACGTAAGGTACTACTAATGCTGTCTTTAACTCTAAACTGCAGTAACTATTACGTTGTTGTCCACCATGCTCTTCCTTGACATGTTTTATTAATTTCATTGTGTCTGACAAAAGAAAGGAGCCCTTCAAACAATTCCCCTAAAGCAAGTTGTCTGTCTCTGTTCATTATAAAGCAACAGGCAGCTCAGCATGTGAAACCTGATCAACGTACGTTTCGCAAAGCTTCAATTAGGGCCAGTTGGTACGGCGTTGTAATGTAGTTGCGTTGGGCGATATGCTCGAGCGACAAGGGGACATTACAAGTGGAGTGCGACATTTCTGCGCAGTTCCTGCTCCACTTGTCTCGTCCTGTTCCGTCAGTCGTTTGTGCGTTCCGCTCAGCGCAACAACAATCGCAAAGCTGATTGCTAAATTATGCAGCTTTATACGTGAAGCGGTTCCCAAGTCACCGCGATTTGACGCTTTGGAATGCTACTATGCAAATCAGAGCACAAATACAACGCTCAAGCTAGTACTGCTTCGGAGAACTGGCAGTACTGATTTGAGAGGTGAAAGCAATAAAATCGGGCACCTATACAACCACAGCTCTGAGTGCGAATGTGAACGAATGCTGAAGGACGCGAACAAGTTGAGGGGCTGCCGCGATCATAGAGCAAGGGAAGTTCGCTAACCATACAACTTAAGGGAGGAGTGTCAGGACATTCCAACCCCTCCTCACCTCGAGAGTCGCGGCCGCCTCTTCCCTCCTCAGGATCCACGCGTGATATATGTTAAGTATCGGTGATTCTAAGTACGGATCCTTAACACCACATCGTTACAAGAATTCTTCGGAGCCATCTGTGGCAGCTGCTCGCAGCGAAACCTGTACGAAGCCTTATTATCGCCCAAACACGACTTGTGCATACAGCGTCTGACCTCAGACCCGAGATAACAGAGACGGAGGTGAGGGGCAGAAAATGGGAGAAGAAAATGCGGGCAGGGGGCGTAACGGCGAAAACAGCGGGTGACCTCGGCCTTGCGGTGGTCGCGAGTCGTGGACACGCGCGCGCAGTGGTGCATGGAGCACGCAAGGTCGCCGGCACGTGGCCTCTATAAACAAATAAGGCGATAAAAGGGGTTTATAGCTTCATTTATTACGTGCGAACAGCTTAAGGCTGATGGACTCTAGTTGTAACATTATACAAGACTTCTCTTTAACCATTATTTCGAAAGCCTTGGATCTACGCCTCATGAAACGCGAAAGTTTACCGTCGGTGGCGTCAATACGAGTGATGGGATGAAAACGATGACGTCACGTAACGCTACATAATGACGTCATCATCGCTTGGTCAAAAGGGAGCTGATCACGGAGGCCAAGCAGAAGCCACGTTAGGTGCAGAGAGCTTCAGATGAGGGCGGGAGAGGATCGATACACTGACGGAGAAGAAAAAGAGGATGACTTCAGTCTTCAAGTCGTGCTTGGAAAATGCATAGTGAATCCTGCAAGTTTCTCATTTGTGATGCATTCTTAGGAATGCCTACACAGGGTTTCAAGAAACTTCACCGATACATACTAATATCCAGGCGCCTCAGTGTTAGCTCACTAGTACTTGATTAACCTCCCTTTGACTACTGCTCTCGTTGGCTGGAATAAACTTATTGGTAATTGATAGTCAATGGGCGGGAACATTTGAAATGTAAACACTTAACTCCTATAATGTGTACTCGTTGCCCGCTACAAGCATTAGTGTGTCCTGTACCGCCTCACGTGTATAATAAAATGTTTTACCCTTTTATTAACAATGCTATTTTTGCATTGCTGTCATGCGTTTCTGGCTTTACCAAGAAATTCAGCCTTACCTGCTGTTTTCTCTGTGTAATGCGCCGGAGCTGTTGCTGCTTTTACGGCATATAAAAAATATAAAGAACATTGATAGGTTACCATCGACACACAAGTGATCCACCGTGTTTTCCTAAAGAGTGCTTGCAGCAGCTACTGTGCTACTTGTCCCTTCGGGACGAAGTGACCACGCTGAACTCACAGACACGAAGGGTGCAGAGCAAAAGAAGGAAGAACGGAAATAAAAAAGGGACTAGACACGATCTTGAATGGAGGACAACCGAAGCCGTCTTGTTTGTGTTTGCCAGGGTGCACGTGTCGTGGCTTTTCTAATATATACGCGGTTCCGCATGGTGCTCACCCGCCGGAACCACGTGGTTTACCGTTGTCCGCCCGTTTGAGCAGGTCAGCTGCTGTCCGGCTGACTGGCAATGAAGCCTCCTTGTGGTCCATGGAACCACGTCTGTGTGTTCTGGTATGTGCGAGTTCGTGTGCGACTCAGCGTGATACGGCTGTCTTCATTCAGATAAGTGCGTATAAATTACTTCACTTGAAAAAGCCCAATCGAAGCTTCCGCTTCTATGTATACGAACAAGAACAAGATGTATTGTCTTTGTACTTGTCAGCAGGGCCGTAGTCAGATATATTTTGGAAGGGGGAAGGGGAGGGAATACAAGAAGGATTAGTCTATGTTGGTGCGTGTTTGTTTGTGTTCGTGTGTACGTGCAGATGCCTAATTCATAACTGTATAGCGCAAGGAATCACACAGATGGCGACAGATCAAGACGGGACATCTCCTTCCGTTTGAATGATTCATCGTGCTACCGTTATGAATTATGCACCACCAACTAGCCCATCGATTTGTGCTTGTGATATACATGAAGAAATGAAAAAAACAAATCATGGAGAGGTCTGAGCTCCTCACCCTCCGTTCCACCTTAGCTATTCTATAGTATCGGGGTGATGTCTATGCTACGTCACATAGCATCTTCAGTCGACAGGAAATCATACGTGAAGGTTAGGTCCATCAGGATATTTTACTGTCTTGGCGTACAACAATGTGCTGAGTGAATGAAACATGAGTGACGGAACTGAGGAATACAATTATGTATCACTGGGAAATATGGTACGTAGGTTTGCTTACCCGCACGGATATTATTTCTCGCCAATCATTCACGAACTCTCGCTCACTTCAGGCTAGTTATGCTTCTGGTTTCTTCCTTTGCCGATAGTTATACACCAGAACTATACCTTCTCTATCCCAGATCACCTACCGTCACAAAATAATCTGCCCTAGCAGGCAGAAGCATTTACCATATTACTTATATTAATTTGATAAAGAAGTAGGTTGTAATACAAGCCTTGAGGGAAATCAATAATAAAACAAAATGGTATAGTGAAAAGGTTTTTTACTTGTAAAGGAAATAAAGAAAGTAAAAGAACACGGTTTTGATCGTGTGCGCCAAACGACAGGTTTTGGACATGTTCGCGGACTACGGCGTGAGAAAGGCACTCGTTATGACTGCAAGTAGAAGGTAGTAGTTGAATAACAGGTCTGTTTATTGTGCGCATACGTTCAGAAGTAAACAAATTCATTTAAGCGGTGTTAATACCTAGGTAGGTCGCCGGTGCTTGAAGAAAAGTGTTGAAAACTACGAGGTATACCAAAAACAGTGCAAGAGGATGTGTCCTCATTAGAACGCCTATAGGAGGCAACATATAAAACGAACTACTTTATAGCGAGTTTGTCAAGTTGTCGAGAGTTATGCCAAGGAAAGCTAAGAGCGCATCGCACGCGTCAGATCTCAGGACCTGAAATGAAAATACTTTGAGGATATAAGACTTTAAAAACCCAAATGCAGGCCAGACCTGATTTCAAACATGTTTCTAGCGAAAGCGTGACCAATAAATAGTTGAATCATGCAAGGTTAAGCTGCATGAATTCAGCCGCATAGATCTAACACCATCCACAAACTGTCATTTAGAAGACAACATGGCCCCAGACGGTACGTCCAGACACAGAAACGCATACAAGACCTACAAAATAAGGTAAAAAGAAAATGCCAAAGCCTTCCATATTTATGGTGGAGATTTAGTTTCGAGTGCTTCGAGTGTCTCACACAAAATAAGTAGTAACTTACACTTCAATTGCACTTTGACTTGGACGAATTGGTACCTACTCGTTTAGGTTTAGCGCGATTTTAACGCAGACAAGGAGACAAACGGACCGCAGACGAGAACACAGTTGAACGAAGAACAGAGTTGGAAGTCAGCGCTCATCTGTGTTCGTTGTGCCTCCTGTCTTCCTCGAAATCGCGCTAAACCTGCCTGATTACACTTCAACCTTTGCACATGAATCACTGCATAGTCGACGCTTAAAATGAATCGATGTCTGACACACCTCCAGTGTTTTGGAATGCGGGAGAGTGACATCAGCGTTTTCACGACACTTCAAGGAAGTTTCTGAAGAGGGAAAAAATATCAAATGGCGCGTGGTTATTCATTCCGGAACGCCTCGAAGAAAGTCGTACATCTTAATTCGCATGGATGTGGAATCAGCGAGATCACGACCTTCGCATGCATCGAGAACAGTTCTAGCTACGTTTTTCATTCACTACCCACGATTCGTCGCGACAACAATGACGTCACGGTTGGCCGCACATTTTTTTCCTCTCTCACTTCGAAAAGCCCCTCTGGCTTGGCACGATGTTATTCGACCTTGTCTACATTTCTATATCGCTATACACAGAGACCAGATTTTCTATTCCTCGTGCCGTCTCCGAGACGCGACAACGTATACCTTTTAGCTGCAGCTAGCGGGCCAGCCCTCCCTTCCCCTCATACGCTACTAACGTTGAGCCGTCAAGTGACGATTTGCTTTTCTCTCGACCTTTAACCTGTTTGCGTTACTTATCTACCGGCGAGTGTTTTTCTCTTTCAGTGCGACATGCCGGTCGTGTCATGTCGCATTGAATAGTCAAGTCGACGTAAACGCCACCGCCAACTGGTTGTCTACTTCTGTGTCTTGCTTTTGTTCGGCGCGGCATGTTAGTCGTGTGAAGTTGTATCGAGTAGTCAACTCGTCGTAGAAACTGGTGTTTGTTGTGCATCTACTTGTGCGTGTGTGTGTTTTTTTTTCGGTGCGACATGCCAGTCTCGATAAGTCGTATCGAATAGTGAAACCGTCATAGACACTCGGTGCCCACAGCGTCGACGACAATGGTGTCACCGGCCGAGGCTGTATCTCGTCTCATCCCGAGCCTCCTGCTGGGAACTGTAAGAACGGCACTGGACTTCCCCTCCGAGTTGGCAAACTTCTACACCGGAAACGATCCGGACCAATGCACCGGAATCGTAAGTACCGAAGTACATCGTGGTATCGACCTTTGTTGGACTACTAGAGGTCAACTATCATGGGCCTCAGGGTGGCTCTAGGCAGGTAACGGTCTCTTTAACGCGCTAAAGGTCACTGTTTTTACTAGGTTGTTTGTGGTTAACCCGATAGGTAAATGACTTCGGAGGCTCTGAATTGATCTGGAACTGAGCTCAGCATAATCTCGCCGTCGCCCCAAGTTGGAGACACGCAAGTGCAGGCCGAGTCTCAAGGGCTCACTTGGCCTAGCTCTTAAGCAACCCGCACGTCCCGCGTTAGAGATCACGCGACTTGCTGCACACTCTGACCACATATCCACGTGGTCAGAGTGTGCTAATCATGGTGCTACTGCCTTGATGCGAGCTGTCTTACTGCACATCAAAGATGGCGACCACATCTAATGATCACGTGGTCCGCTTGGCCTCGGAGGCATGTCACAGTATAGAACTTTGAAGGTTGTGGGGGCAAGGAGCCTTCACTTTAGGACAAGTAGGAGCACACAACCCGGGGCAGTCGTTCCTCGTCATGACAACGTTGCTACTGGCAGTGGTCACAGTCATTTAGCGCAGTTTTCACCAGACATTCTAAGTGCGAGACACAACAAATAATAATAATTTGGGAGGGTTTATGCCCTGAAACCAGTGGTTATGGTTGTCGGGCGCTTTCCCGAAGGTTGTGGATTTGATCTTAGCCGCAGCTGTCGTATCTCAATTGAAGCGAAATGCTGGAAGCCCAAGTACTGTCCAATGTTATAACACGTTAAAAAACACCCTATGATCAAAATTTCTGGAGACCATCATCACGCGTGCTCTCCAATCATATAGCGGTTTTGGCACGTCATTCTTGAACTCTGCCTCTTAATAAGAAAAACACTGTTCCGTTAACAGCGGCGATTGTGTGATTGATATGTGGGGTTTAACGTCCCAAAACCACCATATGATTATGAGAGACGCCGTAGTGGAGGGCTCCGGGAATTTCGACCACCTGGGGTTCTTTAACATGCACCCAAATCTGAACACACGGGCCTACAACATTTCCGCCTCCATCGGAAATGCAGCCGCCGCAGCCGGGATTTGATTCCGCAACCTGCGGGTCAGCATCCGAGTATCTAGCCACTAGACCACCGCGGTGGGGCAAGAGCGGCGATTTCACTGGAGTTTGGTTCAGGGTGTTCTATTGAAACAAGCTCTGGAAAAACGGGAGCGCTGTTTACGTTCATTTTCCTATCTCACAGAACCTGATATTGCTGAAGTAAGATAATACAATTGGAGAAAATCGGATAAATGATCGCATGTCACGGGAATATATGGAATGAAAGTACGCACGAGGGCACGTCCCGGAACTTCAGTCTGCAACTTTCGAGCACACGTTCCCCTGAGCCGAAGAAGACTCAGTATCTTTCAAGCACACGTACGCGTGTGCTGAAGACTAAGTAGCGTTCGAGCTAACGTTTCTCGTTGCACACGAACGGACGTAAACGATCCGTTTTTGTTGCGAGCCTGGGCCACCTGATCGGCAATCTTGATGCATTCTTCGCCGTGGCGCAACCGTATGTTTCAACGTCTTTCCGGTAGCGACACCGGCGAAAACGTGCGGTCACTTACGCAAGCCGGCTACCCGAACGGAATCGCTGAAGCCTTCTTCGTGTCGCAGCATCGAGTTCGCCACGCGTACGACGCCGTGTTCCGTTCTGTTTGCCCCGGAAGGGACTCCCGTTGGTGAACGACGCGGAGTCGAGAAAGTGTGTCGCTTGCTGTCCCTGAAGTCATCGCGCGCGCAATGGTGGATGTGTTACGGAAACAGAAACGCCTTTTTTTATATATATCTGAGACACGTGAATGCGCCTTGATTGCGTGTGTGCATGAAGGGACACGTCTCGCTTCGTGTGAGTGTAGGTTAGCTTCTGAGCGTATGTTGGAGCATTTCTTCGAGTTCAGCTGGTGAGAGAAGCAGATAGATAGATAGATAGATAGATAGATAGATAGATAGATAGATAGATAGATAGATAGATAGATAGATAGATAGATAGATAGATAGATAGATAGATAGATAGATAGACTAGACAGACAGACAGACAGACAGACAGACAGACAGACAGACAGACAGACAGACAGACAGACAGACAGACAGACAGACATAGATAGATAGATAGATAGATAGATAGATAGATAGATAGACAGATAGATAGATAGATAGATAGATAGATAGATAGATAGATAGATAGATAGATAGATAGACAGACAGACAGACAGACAGACAGACAGACAGATAGATAGATAGATAGATAGATAGATAGATAGATAGATAGATAGATAGATAGATAGATAGATAGATAGATAGATAGATAGATAGATAGATAGATAGATAGATAGAAACACGAAAGCCCGGGAGGTCAAGCAGACGGTTCACAATGTTAAAGCGGAAATTCGCTTCACGCAACACAATGCAAGCTCTTGTAATGCGCTGCTTGTGTTCTTTGTCCAGTACCAAATTTGCGCTCAGCTGTTCAGCGTTATCAACCAACTAAACCAGCAACAAACTCTTTAAGGTCTACAAGACATGCTTACGGATGTAAACCAGCTCGAGGGAAACATGTATATCTCAAGTCGTTATGTGACTTTGGCTCCAAGGAGCCAAAAGTTAAAGCTGTGTTATTTAATGGTGGTTTTACAATAAAAGCTTCAGAAAAAAGCAACAGTGCTCTTATCTAATCGTTAGGTACAGTTCTGGTGTGATTCAATGCCAATGATACTGACTGCTTCTTGTAGCAAGGGCATCAATATGCTGGTTTTAACAGGATGCATGCGGGATTCTCAAGTGGATAGCGATAGATAGTCACGGGAATATAAGATACGATCAAAATATATCTATCAGGTGAATAATACGAAGATTTTCCGGTAATCTCTTTCAGCGATTCGGTATAACGATGTTGCGGGTGGGAGTGGAACCAAACCAACACTGGCTCATTGAACAACCACATTTACAGAGTTAGCCATCTGCCCTGCTGAAGGGGCTACACGCACCAGTACGCATTTCAAATATTTTTTCTAGCAAATTATATATGCCGATATAACGTCGCTATGATTTTGTGCGTAGAGAGAATGGGTATGTATACGTTTTAGAAAACGTACAAGACGACCCTGATTTCGAGATCTCAAGAAGTTGGCCATAAATTTACGCGTGATATGAAATTAATTGGACGGGAGCTGATGTGATCTAGACCAACGCATCTGCAGCTCCGTAGAGCCATCGTCTGCATTCGTTTTTTGAGCGACGCAGAGGGTGAAACCGGAAATAATGGGGCCTTTAGCTGCCCTTATGTTGTTCTATGCAGAACACTTAGTACCTCGTAGCTGATACAATCGCTCTAGAAATAATGAAGAGATTAGAAGCACGTGTCTGTTCTAGTGCGTAGTTGCTGAAAATATCGTCCGTATATGGCACGAAGCCAAAAGTTCTGGACAACAGCGGATCATTGAGCGTGTTGTGGGGCTCGGAGTGAGTGAGTGGGGAAAACATTTATTGAAACAAAAGATGTGTGCGTTTTTATGCTTTTTCTCGATGTCCGAATAAAGAAAAAGGCAGGATTAATTATCATGCATAAACAAACACAGCTCCACGCCGGAAGTTTGCCAAGGCAGCGTTTTTATGGCGGAACATAGTAACACATCAAAGAAAACACCCTGAGGCAGAGACTGGCGAGAACAATCACTCCATGCTATATTTTTGCTCGGTCTATGGTTTCGAAAACTGCAATAATGGCCTATTACGTCATTGAGAAACAGTCAGAAAGATGTAAACGAAATATAGATGGTTGGGCCCAATTGTGGCCTGCAGCATAAATAAATAAATAAATAAATAAATAAATAAATAAATAAATAAATAGCACCTTGTCGCCAGTAGGTTTCCTTCGCATTGTAATTGAAATTAGGATAATTAAAATACGATCGGGTAATAAAAAAATGTACGTATGAAATATACGCACGTACTTTCGCGTTTGGCGTTTATATTCTAAAGAATGCAAAGAATTCATTTGGTTACGGCTCGATCGCGGTGGCTACATAGCGCAGCTATGCTGAGGACAGTGGCGTATAGCCAAGAGAACGTACGCGGGGCCCATCGTGCCCCGCCCCTCCTGAACACTTTTTTTTTGCGATGGAATACGGAGCGAAAACGGCTCAAGTTGATGCCCCCACCCGGAAACTGAAAAGGTGCCTCCCATGCCCCTGGCTGGAACGATGCATGCTCTGGGTTTGTATCCGGAAAAAAAGTCAGCTGTATTGTGATGGTGGTGGCATGCAACAAACATTTGTGTACCACGTATTAGGTGCCCTATCCTTATGTATGGTCAAAGAGAATATAATTATTTACACCTATTTAAAGTAATAAGACGTTAGTGGACATTTTATAGCAGCCTGAAGAGCCGAGAAAGCCAGGACAATACAATACCATATTTTGAACGCAATCAAACCATTGATTGATTGATTGATTGATTGATTGATTGATTGATTTGTGGGGTTTAACGTCCCAAAACCACCATATGATTATGAGAGACGCCGTAGTGTAGGGCTCCGGAAATTTCCACCCTCGGGGGTCTTTAACGTGCACCCAAATCTGAGTACACGGGCCTACATTTCCGCCTCCATCGGAAATGCAGCCGCCACAGCCGGGATTTGATCCCGCGACCTGCGGGTCGCAAGCAAATCATGTGATTGACTTGTGACACATATGCAAAACAATTTATTAAACTATTAAAACGTACTCACTACTGCTTTCGTTAATGCGAGAGAGAGAGAGAGAGAGATAGGTATATTTACAGAAAGGCAGAGAGGTCGGCCTGAGCGATAGCTAAAGTAGCACATACGCCAATGGCGATATAACGCCACGTTCTCGATGCGGAAAAGAAGGCAATGAATTCCCCGTGACACGCAGTTGAGTTTACGGAGACCTAGCAGCGCTAAAATATGCAAAAATAAAGCATTCCTGTTTCATTTACCGGTAGGCGTCGCAAAGAAGCCCAACAAGTTAACACGTCGGCTCACCATATATAAGGAAAACACTGTACGTTCCTGGTACGACCAATTTCTCAAAGTGACTTCCCAAGACCTTGACTTGGAAAGGAGACTGACAGCATGCACCACACCTCGCGGAGCTCTTTTTTTTTCTTCGGAATGACTCATACGTTATACGGTGGACTGATATTTCCTCAATAAAAATACGACGCTCTTCATAACGCAGTCGATGTTTGTGGAATAACATCGTGGTATTTTCCGCCTTCATCCCTGAGTTCGTGTCGGTAGGATGCTCTGGCACTCTATGCATGAAGCAAGAACTAAACAAAGCTTTGTAAACAGGAAATTGGTACAGTTGTATAACAGCGTTTTCAGGGCTTTAGTGCGCAAACCAGTGCATCTTACTAATTACTTGTACATGAAAGCAGTGCTCAATCTACAAACAAAGATGAAGTCAACAAATGCAGTTAAGAGGGAGACTTATATTCAGAGCAAATAGCTACAATAAAATTGCAAGTTGACGTAAACGAACATGGTGCCACCTGTCCTATGAATAAAAAGAGTGCAATATGTCAGGAGATAAAAGGTAAAATGTCAAAGGCGAGTATGGGCTGGTTGCTCTTTTATATGCTCACTATACAAACAGGAATCCTTGAAATTTACATTGCAGTATATTTATATGTTTTAGACAGCGAGAAGGCTCACCAGTACTATATTTCCACGTGTAGCTGTAGCCATGACTAGTGTAAGCAGGTGGACAAATTATTATGGCGACAGATAGAGTCAAGACACCTGAAAAGATAACATTCCGCGAAGACTGATAACTGAGGTGCTTGCTGAGATAAAAAAAACAGACATAAAAATGTGACCACACACACAAAAAAAGTCGTAACGGCCAAATATTGAAAGTTAAGAACTTGACAGCATTGCAATATGTGATCGCAATTTCTTGAAGTTTATGTCCCTCTCTTTTCACTCCAAGGTGGCTTTTGTCACAAGGTGGCTTTCTTACAACTGGTTATCAGCGCTATTCGTTTCCTTATCAAAATAAAACTAGCTAAACAACTCATGTACGTTACTGAAACATTTAACATAGCCCGAAACATTTTGTTATTGTCAAATAAAAGAGGGGGAGGTTTGAAGACAAACACACCGCTTATTTGGGCGATCAATTAGAGTGCACTCAGAAACGGCTTAGATAGACGTCACGCAATAAAATTAGAAAAAAAGTCAAGTGTAAGATGAGTTCAGTTGGCGTGGGCCCTCATCGCGCAGTAAACAGGTGGACATTGAGCGCAATGGTGGTGATGATGACGACTGCGCGCCGTAAATATGAAATGGTGAACTCAACATGCATCGGATGATGATGGTAATGCCGACCTCTCGGTATTTCTAAAATGCAGGAACAACTGATTCGAAGCAAGGGATACCCTTTCGAGCGCCACAATGCGATCACGAGTGACGGTTACATCATCGAGATGCACCGGATACCCCACGGCAGGGAAGATTGCAAAGAACCGTGCCACAGACAACCCATCTTTCTCATGAGCGGCCTGCTCGGAGACTCGTCAAATTTCGTGCTGGACTTCCCGAAGCAATCAATCGGTAAGATGAACGATCACGTTTGTTAATGAGTGAATGAATGAGTCAGTGACATCTGGATGACTTACCTTAAGTAGCTTCTTAAATAGCTTCGAGGTTCAAGCGATATTTACGGGTTCATGTAGCTGACAGGAAATGCTTCGGGCCCTGTAGCACACAAGTTTGTTACTGAAACCCAGTGCCACCTGTCCGATGTTTACGTATAACTCACATAATAAGGAAGCACACCCACGCGAACACACTGACAAAACAATGCGGGATGTCACACACGTTTTGTGTTTGGTTACCGATTAAAAATGCTACATTCATTCAGCCATATTGTTGAGGCTATGTCTTGCGAACCCTAGACGTAGCTATTTGTAGGTAGTAAAAAACACGACTATATGCTACGCTCATAGCTTGCTTTCGGCCATTTCGCTAGCTCCACATATACCAAATTTGGTATCACGTGGCATGAATGGACGACGAAGGTAATGTACGGCGTAATTTTTACGGCATAACTTACTTCTGCGTCGTAACGTTGTGCTGATCTTAAAGTGACATATCAACCTTCCTCATTCGTGCTTCACATACGATCGATTCCCACTGTATGTGGAATCTGCCATTGTTTTTTAACATCCTGAAGACACTTCACCCCGTTTTTATATGGGTAAGACTGCGGGCTGTTCCAAAGCCCGAAGAAAAAAAAAATGATGCCCAGCTTACACTTTTATAGGAGACCCAATCTCAAATTGGGGCGGCCAAGCTACGCGTTACTGGGAATAGACGCTGCCAGTGAAGGCGGTTGGTATGGTATGGTATGGAGTCCAGGACTGATGCTAGCTGCTGGCGGCCGAGAGGCCAAGCCCTTCTGCCGCCACAAGGCGGTTGGTGTGTAGCCGGATTTTTCAGCGGTGACGGCAAGGACATCTTTGTGCATGCGCTCCTCATATGGCCCGAAGCACTGCTAGTCAGCAATGTTACACTGTGACGCAACACAGTAGCAATGCGAGAGCCCTGCGCATGCGCGGAAGCGGGGGCAGCAGTGTCGTAGTGAAAGAACGCTCCCTGGATATTCCAGTTACGATAAGTGCAGTGGCGCCACTCGACATTGCTTGGGAAGCTTGTACTTATTGCATGTTAAATTTGCAGGTTACGTGTTGGCTGACAACAAGTACGACGTATGGATGGGAAACGTACGCGGTAACACGTACGGCAAGCGTCACAGGAAGTACAACAAGCGCTCGAAAAGATTCTGGAATTTTTCGTACGTCATTTTGCTTTTCTTTTCGTTCATCCATTATGCTTTTTTTTATTTTGGCTTCTCATTCTTCCAACTGAGAATTACTCTTTACACAAACATTCCGGGTTATTAGAAATGCTATATTTTCAAATAATGGTGCGGCTTTTTTCCTTCCCGCACTTTTATCTTTCGCGCACTACTTCAGGCACATTCGAATGGCAATAAACGTCCCTTCTCGCTGCGGTTCGTTAGCGATTGTTAGTTTCGAATTTCGTTATATTCGTACAGTCGGGAGTGCAGGTGCGCTATTATTTTTGAATTACTGGTGTCATTCACATACTGCTAGGTTACTATCAACTTTATACACTACTCACTAAAATAATTTCTTAACGTTATTAACTCCTGGCTTCATTTTTATTTTCTGCAAATAAATGAGAGCTCTGCCTAATGAATGGCCTGCTGTGTGGGTATTGTACTCAGAAGAAGAAAATTTAACAATAGAATAATAGACGTAAATACATAGAAAAAACAATGACCTAATTCGGCTTAAAAAGAAGATTATTATAGCTTCAAAAACATAGGACAAATTGTACAAACATAGGTCACTCTAAGGGGTAGCAATTACATGCCTTGTGGAAAGTTCTACAACATTTTGGTCTTCATTCACACCAAAGTATCCTAAAAAAGCCACTTTTCTGTAAAATTTTTCATATTCAGACCGCATGGTACGGTCATGACAATAAATGTCAAGTGACATGCCATTGTGCCAATACCATTGTCATATCAAAACATCCTTTTCAGGACACAACAAAAGGAACTAAATGTTTATAAAGTACTCATTTTAAAACCTTTCCCGCGGCTTCACGCTCCAAGTCGGTACGTGCGAAATAAGGAAAACTGAGAGGTAAAAAAAATCACAGCTTTGCCACAAAGCAAGCAATGATAGCGATAACAACCATTTAAAAGGTCACGCGCAGAATGAAAAGCAGGTCGAAACGTGCCCCACGTTTCTCAAGCACAAATGATGCACGAAACGTACTCACAGGTACAGATGCACACGAATAAGAACCTCAGTTGTTACTTCGCTGTGTCCGAAAAGCGTGCGCTTTTCGCAAACGGAGACTGCCATGATTGCAGTGACCTTTGTGCGCCCGGTAACAACAACAGAATTGTTCTAGGTAAAGCCTGAGGCCAGCCAAGACGTACGATTCTCCCCTCCTCGCCACCGCGAGATAAGGGCGCGCGAGGGAGCGTTGTTCCCCTTCTCTAAGTGGAGTAATGCACGCGAGGGAGATTAGAGCAGGCACCACCGCGTGATGTTGCGACGCGCGCTCATTGCGCCATCTTGCTGGTAATGCTGAAAGCACAATTCCTCCTGGGATGCCCGTCGGCAGCTGTAGGTGGTAGATATAAATAGCTTGCCGTTTTGAACGCTGTAGGACGTGCTCCTCGGTGGCGCAGTGGTTAACGCCTCACATTCACGATTCAGAGGACCCAAGTACGATTTCGCACGCCGTAGTCTTCTTCTGAGTTTTTTCTTGCATTATCATATATACATACTTACGTATACGTATACGGTGAGTGACGGTGACGCCGACACTGACGACAAAATTCAGCCGAGAGTGTCCATAAATTGCTATTGGAATAAAATATACTGTCAAAGTGAACTACATGGAAGAGTCTCTTATATATGGCCTCATCAGTCATGGTTTGTAGACTTGTACACGTCAAGATCGATGGCTCGTCACGCACTAGGTGTTTCTTCAAATATGGCTCTAAACTTAATGTGCACCCGGACAGCTAGTGACTATTCAACTTCATTATGCTGCATATTGCTTCAGAGAACCACTTTGCGGGACACACTACCATGCTCGACGATTGTTCGACGTGCCGCGCTCCACGACCGACGTCAAGACTTCTTTTTCCTCGAAACGAGTAGAACAACGAAAAAAATATTTCTTAACTGAGTGCGCTAAAAAAATGAAAGTACATAGGGCAGACACCTGGACACAGCGTAGAGTAACAACTGAAACTTCATTCGAGAAAACAGACATATATATGTGACTACGAGAACATGTGCGATGAAAGAACATGATTAGATGAGCAGACGGATCGTATTAATGATGTGCTTCCAGAAAAGCTACCTCAGCAGGAAGTAACATGACTGAGGGCTTTTTTTTCATTTGCGGTTACTTTCGCTGAAGTAGCTTTTCTGGAAACGCATCATTATTACAATCTGTGTGCTCATCTAATCATTTTCTTTCACCGCACATGTTCTCGCAACCACATATATGTTTTCTCGAATGAAATTCAAGTTGATAGTGTGCGCTGTGACCAGGTGTCTTCCTTTTGTACTTCAATTTTTTTTTGCACATTCCGTTAGGATGAATTACCGACCCGCCCAGCAGTCCGTGCTTGTAAAAAAAACTGTGCATGAATTTCGAGCCTAATACTTTATTTTTTTATGCAAAATATAGAAGCTGACTGATTGCATGATAGTTAGATATGATTCACAAGTTAACTAACTTTAATTACTGAATCTTGCTCAAAACATGGTATTATGTCTCTTTCTTGTAATGAAACACTGAGTGCTTTGCAATCACGTCATGCGAGTTTGACGCCTCTCCAGACAATGCATCAGAGTTCGAGGCTTAAAGGGCAGAAAACAGGCACTTTGTATTACGTGCAAGTCAACTTTACATATTTTCATACTATTTTTAAATTGTACTTTAACTGCCTCAACAAAACTTTATGAATTTATTTGCTGCTTGAAATTATACGATAACTGGCACAGGTTCCACGAACATGCAAAATACGACCTCCCAGCCCAGATTGAATACATCCTAGAGAAGACTGGCCGAAAGGATCTGCTGTATTTGGGAATTTCTCAGGGCACGCTACTGTTCTTCACCATGATGTCCGAGAGGCCGCAGTACAACGAAAAAGTGAGGGCACACGAAACTTTGTCGTTTCTTTTGAAAGTTTTTCTGCCTTCTTCATCTACTGAGGAGTTCTGAAAACTTCTAACGCGTTTAGTGTGGCCTATTGAATGTGAACTATTGCACTATTTAGTGTGCCCTATTGTGCACTATTGAGTGCGGAAGCCAGAACAACCTTTAAAACTTGTCGAGTTCGAATAAAAAAAAAAGCTTTCAGCTCCATGACAACCACAGGCGTAATAATTACTAGTGTACTAATTATTACGAGTTTCTGTCGAGATTTCACAAAATGCGGAATGCAAGCTCCTAATTACGTCCAAGAACAGATTCCAAGTCCAGGATTCTTTTGTGCTCTGGAGGAAGCTATAATGAAGTGAATACACTTCTGAACGTGCATGGAAACAGTTTCATAGGTTTCTCGGAGGTTGCTACAATTCAGGCTTGATGAAGTCACCACTTTGCGTAATAAAGAGAAACTTGACGGAGGTTTAAACAGCGAACCACACAGAAAAAAAGAATGGAAACGTACAAAAGAACACAGTGTCATTCAAAAGCGTTTGATGAGTATGAAAAAAATATTGCCACTTGTAGGCCTGGCATATTGCGTCTGTGCATATTTTGCATATTTTTGGTCTTATTTGTGAGCAATTTATGTATGTCTTAGCAGTTTTAGGCTCAACAGACGCCATGAGAGATATACGCTTCATTATCAATGCAATCAGTAGTTGTTATATTCACGTAATATAACGATTTACCGGTGGTTACGACGCAGGTAAAGGTGTTCGCAGGGCTGGCTCCCTTCAACAAGGTGTCCCACATGAACATCGACTCCCTAGCAATGCTGATGCCTTTCGCTGAGAAAACGTTGGTGAGTATGCACTTCATTTAGAGTTCGCATTTCATTGTCAACATGCCTCATTGTAATATCTCTAACTTTTAAGTACTTTTCTTATGACACAGTAAAAAATAAGAAGTTCCAAATTGCGCCCGTCAATATAATTAGAAACGAATGTCGGAGGCCACGTTTTCCTTTGCTTGCAGGCACCGGTAGTGCACAGTCACCATAATCTTCAAACAATACTTGTTTAAAATGGCGTAACTGAAGTTAATTTGGATAATTTTTTCTGGCAAACCAAACTATAACATTCGTAAATGTTACACTGAAGAACCCAGTAGAACTAGGCAACGTTGCAATGAAATCAAAGCGATAACATTCGCAGGACTCGCACTAAATCCTTAAAAAAAAGAAAACTGGTTTCTGATGTTTGAACATAAGCTTTTGTAGAGATATGCGACACAATAACTTTATGTATATTTAACACTACACTGTTGAAACCTCTGTAAAGGATCCCTCGGCACGGGTATTTCCCTAGTGCAGTGGTTATCACGTGCGCCTCACACGCGCAAGGTCCCCGCTTTGATCCCGGGGGCGGAGACAGCTTTTAGATGTGAAGCAGCTCTCTGACAACTTTCTGTGGCAATGAAGGGAAGGCTATGGAGGCACAGTGGGCATGTGCCACCGCTGTAAAACATGGCGCCACGAATGCGTCCGAGTTTTCCGCGTGATGATAATAAAAAAGAACAATATTTTCTACTGGATGCTATTTATAAAGAGATGCTGCACGCACCGTGGTGATAATAATATTTGTTGTTGCTTTCTGAAGAAACGTTTATGTTTTTTCGCACTTCTGAAAGTTTCGCAGGTTTTACGCGCACCTAAGAGTCAAAATGGCGTCTTCGTCTTTAGATGAGCGCGCGTCGCCCTACAGCTATTCCGTCGACTCGCCGAAAGAGCTTGCGTCTAATTTTACTCACAAATGGTTGTGGTTGTGTAAGCAGACGCATAAAATTGTGTTCACTGAGATTACTTGAACACGGCCGTCATTTGTAACGTGAGCCAGACCGGACTATACTTCGCGGAGGAGTCAGGAGCAGTAGCTCCGCCCCCGTATCTTCCCTTTCATTGCCACAGAAACTTGTCCCCGAGTATAGCTGGTGCAATGGTGTCCCTCCGTCCGCACTGCGCTCCCCTGGCCGCAGGTGTTGGGATGGTGCTAAGTAGGTCACGCCTTCCCTCGCAGTGCGTGCGCGTTGACGTCACTCTCTCCCTAGCCTGTCACCGCTCGCCGCGTGTGACACCCGCAAGACTGTCTCTCCCCTCTCCTTCTCTCACCTCGCAAAGGCCGTCTGCTAGTAAAAACTGACTGCTCGTGCTCTGCACAAACGTTCATTGGTCACCCCGTATATGTAGGCACTGGATGGCGCGTTCGGAATTCAGACAAGGGCGTCTTTACTTAGCTTTCGCTTCATGAGCACCAGCATCAACGTCGCCACCAGTGTAAGCATTAGTGCCCGCTGCTTCGCATCTACACACGGTTTCTTTTAGCGGGAGATGGTACAACTTTTTTATTTTCGCTAAGTTTATTTTTTAGTTATTGCAAAGACAGCGTACCCTTGCAGAAAAAGAGCAAAAAAGGAAGCAAAAACAATAATTACAAGATCGCAAATGCATGGGAGAAGCACACGATAAAAAACTATAACTGTTGTTGGGAATAAAGACGCGCAGCTACATTAACTACACATACTTTTGAGATATACCAACCACCGGAGGTTCATCGATTGCTCTACACTGGAGGGTCGAGACAACCGGAACGTGAGCAAATAATGCAGAGAGGTGTACTTTAGCATACTTGAATTGACGATATCGAGGTTGGAGTGCAGACTAGACGCCACTTCGATAAAATACAAGGCATGTTTGTGTGAATGCTTGCTGTCTCACATTTTAGGTTTCACAAAACACTTATTTAAAAAAGAAATTGGTCGCTGTGCGCAGTTGAGGAAGCGCATAAAATGGTCTTACTGACATTTTGTTTCTCGTATTAGGACAAAATCTTAAATAAGTGCTTTACCAGGTGCTTTAACTCTAAATTTAAGGTGCTTCATCCAGCATTGTAAGAGACTGCCTTCGTTAGCACGAATGCTGCGAAAAATCGTCATCCCGGGTTGACGGCACACCATGACATCACTAAGGCGTCACAGATTGCTAGAATCAGTGACGTAATCATGATGCCACTATGACGTTAGACTGATCTCGAAGGCACTGCGAAAGCACGTGAGGTGAAAGAAGATTACATTGTATTCAATTGCGGAGGAAGGGCGAAACCACGTTGGCTCAAGGAAGCTTTTGCAGTGCCAGTACAATTGAGTGACAGAAAAGAAATAATTGAATTTGGTCTACGAGTTGCGTTACGGAAGCGTATAAGCAACCGTGTGCATTTACTTTGTGGAACTATAAAATATTATAGTAGTCATAGCTTCTGTTGCAGCAGGACTTATTAAGAATACCGCCATTTAATAATAAAGACCGTATCATAGGCATAGATGAATCGACTACGCAAAAGCCAAACTTACTTTGTAATTTGGTGCATGCTCCATAGGTTACTTTCCTTTTACTCTATATGGCATCACTGCTCACAGTGAACGAGAACTTCTTACCGTGTTATCGACCGTATTACCACTTTGTACAGCCGTCAGCAACGCGTGGCTTTAGCTCGCTTAGACTGAGGCCAGCGTCACCAAGCGTAGAAAATGATATGCTTGCTGCAGTTACCGATAGATGAAGCGCGGGTCAGTTTCACTGGTTAATTTTTGTTTTCAGTATGCCTGACCGGCGGGTCAAATGCATTTATCCGGCATTCCGTTTTCGCCACGTTTCGCTCGTGACTACGTTATCTCGCGCGCCCATGGCGTTCATTGTCGTAGTTATCTCGACAATGAACCATTGCGTGCGACATCTTACGCACATTTCGAGTTCAAATTCGCGGCAGCTGCTCAAAAGAAGAGAGAGAGAATAAAATGAGGGAAAGGCAGGGAGGTTAACCGGAAAATAGAGCATCCGGTTTGCTACCCTGCACTAGGGGAAGGGGGAATGGGGAAGAAAGATTGGAAAGAAAGCGAAGAGGGAAATAGACGCGCGCGAAGAAAAAAAAAAGGGGGGGGGGAGCTGGGGTGCTACGGTCTATACAATAGGCCGCTGCCACGCAAAAAGTTCAGTAGGGCCTTCACTGATTTTCTGTGAGCACACAAATCATGTCGTCTTTCCAGCACTGATTGTTCACACAAATGTCTGTCGTCAAGGCGAGCTAACGCAGCAGCTAGTTGCCGTCAAAAGAAAACACATGTATAAGAAGCAGAGCAATCACACTTTTTTTTTTTTTGCGTTTGTAAAAGTTTCACAATAAAAAAATCTGAAATAAGGGGGCGTTGTTCATGTTCTGATTTATTAATTTTCAGGCTGCGTGAATTGAACTGTTCTCGCGATTGAGAATGTGCCTTCCTGTTCGGTTGATGGTATGCAGAAAAGGTGGTCTTGCAACACAATGTTTGTGCGTGCTTCGAGCAAGAAAGACGCGTGGATACAACGCAAACAAAGCAGTTTTCATGCGGAGGTATTGCATAAAAGATTTAATTGCCATCTTATCAAATTTGATACTGACTTCTTACGAAAAAGGAAAAAAAAATACTGACCATAAGTAGAATACACCAGACAGGAGATGTGTGAATACGCACATAAAATAACTCGTTGCTCGTCGAAAGTTCCGTTGACCTGAACTACGGCGACCCTCATAATGAAATCGTGGTTCTTGGACACTAAACTCCAGATATTATTACACACACGAATCTTGCAGTCCAAGACCACATCTTTCGTGCAGCGTGAACCGAGCAGGAAGGCAAGCTCTGAGTTGCAAGAACAATTCAATGCCCGCTGTCTGGAATTTAATGAATCACAACATGAACGACGCTGCCGCATTTCGGATTTATTTATGGTGCAACCTTTACAAACTCTTAAATAACCCCAGGTGTTTGAAATTTCCGGAGCCCTCCACAACGGCGTCTTTCATAATCATATGTTGGTTTTAGGACATTAAACCCCACGAATCAATCAACCTTTACAAATGCCATGAACGTGTGTTCGCTCTGTCTTTTGTACACGTGATTTCTTTTGAGCAGCAGCCGCGAATTGAAATTCGAAATGGGCGCAAGCTGCCGCACGCAATGGTTCATTGTCGAGATAAGTATACGACAACATACGCTGTGGGGGAGCGCGATAACGTAGCCACGAGCAAAACGCGGTGAAAACGGGATGCCTAGTGAGTGCATTCAACCCGCCGGTCAGGCAGACCAGAAACAGAAATTTCCTAGTAAAATCGACGCTCGCTCCATCTATTGTTAACAGCAGCAAGCATATTGTCACGTGCGTCCCGCGAAAGTGATAGCCTATGCCAGCAGAGCTCTCTCTCGCACGGAAGAGAACTACTCGACTACCGAGAAAGAGTGCCTCGCCGTGGTTTGGGCGGTTCTCAAATTTCGACCGTATCTGTACGGCCGCTCATTCAAGGTCGTCAGTGATCACCACTCGCTTTGCTGGCTCACTAACTTGAAAGACCCATCCGGCCGTTTAGCACGCTGGAGCCTTCGGCTTCAGGAGTTTGATATGACCATTATTTATAAATCAGGGAAGAAGCACACCGACGCAGACTGTCTCTCGCGGTCACCCGTTGAGCCTGCCGCTATTAATGACGAGTATATGGACGCCGCATTCTTGGGAGTCATCAACGCGGCCACTATCTCACAAGAGCAGCGCCGTGACCCTGACCTGCTTTCGCTTATCGATTTCTTAGAAGGACGACGGGAAGACGTGCCGCGAATTTTTGCGAGAGGAGTGCCATCTTTTTGTTTAAGGAACAACGTCCTATACAAGAAAAACTTCTCCCACCGGCAGCCCATACTTGCTCGTCGTCCCTGCATCACTGCGAAAAGAAATCCTGGAAGCCTGCCATGATGAAGTCACCTCTGGTCATCTCGGTTACACTCGAACATTGTCCCGTCTGCAAAACAGTTACTACTGGCCTAACCTACCTGCTGCTGTGAAACATCACGTCCAAACATGTGCCGACTGTGAAAGACGCAAAGCACCACCCGGTAGGCCGGCAGGCTTATTACATTCCGTTCAAGTACCATTAAAGCCATTCGCCCAAATCGGAATGGATTTCCTGGGCCCATTCCCAACTTATACCACAGGGAACAGATGGATCATTGTCGCTACTGATTACTTGTCTCGCTACGCAGAAACTAAAGCCATGCCGAGGGCCACAGCAGCAGAAGCGGCTCATTTCTTCATAGAAAACGTCGTCCTTCGGCATGGTGCTCCAACAGTTCTCATCACGGATAGAGGAACTGCGTTCGTGGCAGAACTTTTGGAGTCGGTTCTCAGGCTCAGTGGTACAGCTCACCGGAGAACAACGGCGTACCACCCACAAACAAACGGACTAACAGAGCGGCTTAATAAGACCCTCGCAGACATGCTCTGCATGTATGTCGACACAGAACACAAGAACTGGGACGAAATCTTGCCTTATGTGACCTTCGCCTATAATACTGCCCGACAGGAAACTACCGGAATGACGCCGTTTAGTTTAATACACGGGCGCGAAGTCACTACAACGTTGGACGCTATGCTGCCGCACGAGTGTGACGACACTCACGCTGACGCCGAAGAATTTGGTCAGCGTGCCGAAGCCCGACAGCTAGCCCGCGTGCGTATTTGTCACCAGCAACACAAAGATGCGAAACGGTACGACCTACGACATAAATTGGTAACCTACAAACCGGGCGACAAGGTATGGGTCTGGATCCCAATACGTAGACGCGGACTTTCAGAAAAGCTATTACGACGATACTTTGGCCCATATCGAGTCACCCGACGATTGAACGACATCAACTACGAAGTTATTCCCGACGGCAATTGCAGTTCCAGTCGCCGAAACTGCTCACCCGAAATCGTGCATGTCATCCGGATGAAACCCTACTTGTCCAGCTAACTCTCGTTTGTCCTGTGCGTGCCGGTGCATATGTGCGTTTTTATAAGTAGAGTGCCTTGGCGGCGCATCGGGACGATGCCATTTGTGGTGGGAGGCAAATGTCACGTGCGTCCCGCGAAAAAGACGAAGGCGACAGCGCATACGCGCATCTGCACGCTTTTATGCAGAACGCAACAACGAGAAAGATGAGGAACTCTCTCTCACGCGGTTAACAAAAAGACCGACCCGCTGCTGTTTTCTCAGCGTCTTCGAGTACGACCTCTCTCTTGACGTCGCGACAATATCATTTTCAACGCTTGGCGTCGCTGACCTCAGTCCAAGCGAAGGGGTAGACACAGTATGCAGTGCGTGTGGAGAGGAAGAAGAAACTGCCGAACACTTGATAATGTTCTGTAAAGGGCTTCACCCTATAGTTCAGGATGATGGCGCAGAGTTTTTCAAAGCACTGGGGTTTAGGGACCGGGAGGGCAAAATAGACTTTAAGCGGGTAGACTTAACTAGAATGAGGTTATCTGATTGGTGGCTAAAGTCAAGGCACGAGTGAAAATTAAACTCTTCACTGCAAAGTACGAATCCTCAAACTCACTTTTTAAGGAAAAATAAATAAATTTAGTCTTTGGTTCATTAGGTATTACGGCTTGGTGGCGCTAGCCACCGCCCGATCTAAAGGGTTCAGCCATATCCATCCATCCATCCAGCGAGCCGAGGCCACGCGTCGGCGCGTTCGAGTTTAGAGGTGCTGGCGGCTGTACAAAAAAAAAAAAAAACGTGAATGGCTTGACTCCCAAGTTTATTCTGTCCTCTGCTTTCTTGTTTACACACAGCGCATGGCGTACACCCTTGGAACGTACGAAATCATGCCCCAGGGTTCCCCTTGCTGCCACTGGCTCGAAGGTTCTGCGCCTTGCCAACGAGAGCCATATGTTCCTTACTCGGAGATGAGTTTGGCAACCTCGGCAGCAAGTACATGAACATGGTACGCGAATACGTTATGCTTTGTTTGTTACTCTTCCTAACGAGACAATATCACAGGAAAGGAGCTTGCGTTAATGTATGGTGCATCTTCCTGTCTGACACCATTTCTGCAATATTCTGTAGGGCGATATTATTTGAATCTTAATTTTACAGAACTATTTGCATTGCGTGATTATTGTTGCAGTTCACATAAGCATTCTATTTTCTTACACCGAGTTAATGTTGCTTGCTAGAATGGTTACTTATCAAGCTACGTTTTGTTTTGCTTTGTTATCCAAATTTCTCGTTCACTCATTTTTGCTAATCTCGTGCCCATGTGTACAATTCTCAACTGCTTTTTGTATGAGCCCGAGGAAAGGCCTATAGTATAATTAAATAAAACATTAATAATAAAGGATGTGTTCCTTCAAGAACAATCTCTGTTGAAGTAGATGTCTGCGTATATTAACACATCGATCATATTCCTGTGTGATAGCTTATATTTTATTTGATCAATTCATACTTCTTTGCAGCAACTACAGGACAAGTAGTTTGGTTTTATATTATCGCTGCTTTCATACATGGTCTACAGAAGCAGGCTTGCGCGATTTGCTTTACTGTCGAAACATTTTAGCGTACATTCAGGCTGTTATTTTGACTGTGGATAACTTGTGGTAAGCGTAGAAGAGGGCCAGCTGTTGCGGACATTTTGACTTTCACCCCAATAAACGACTCGCTCAGTGATTAGATGATTCCGTAGTACGAGCATATACATAGGTGATCTGAACGCAGACGTGTTGTACATCGCACTCAGATGTCTTCTTTGCATAATGGGCCAAAAATAGGCTGCCCCTGATAATCAGTATAACGCTGAAAACAAAACTCAACGTTTTACAGGTACTGGTCAACAGCTGTAACTCTAATAATTAATGCTAATCTTCCTTTAAAATATATATAAAAGAATTTTGCGATCAGCAGTTTGTGATGTTTCATGACAGCTGTGTTTAAAGTGTGGGTGCAGTGGCTTGTCTGTAACATCCTTCAGTAAAGTACTGTAAGTTGAACTATTCTGTACAGCGCGAGCGTTTCTCTAGTGTTAACATTGCTGTGGACGCGTGGACATCGTTAATCACGTGTGAACGTTGCTCTTGTGAATTGACATTCTTTTCCAGCGTGAATTTTGCATAACTTTTTTTGTGATTGGTAACTTCATGACGCAATGATGTCTCTCATAATCATAAGGTGGTTTTGGGACGTCAAACCCGACATATCAATCAACTTCATGACGCAAACTATCAACGTGAGAGAAAAGGAGTAGCTGGAGCTTTACCCATAGGCACCAACCTCTCCTTAGACAAAGTTATTAAGAAAGAAATGAAACCCACATTGTCGAGGCAGCCCTATGTGCAGGTGGGGTACTTCAGCATTATAGACGAGCACTATAGTGTTCTATATGGTTCTGTGCCCAAAGCGAAGCTGCTGAATCCATTTCAGTCACGTGTTCCTGTTTACCTATGCCATGTGCCCGCGGGGAGTTCACTAAAGAACATCGTGCACTATTCCCAGGTATGTTTAAGAAGTATACAGAAGTATTACATTCAGTTGCTTTCCCTAGCAAAGCTTTTTTAGAACTTGCTTAGTCTACTGTATGCCATGTCGTAGCCAACCTGATAGGGCGATTGTGAATAGCAAGATGTGCTAGCAATCGCGAATCTCATTCAGTTAATGTTTAGGTGGCCTAAAAACACGAAAAAAATACTAGCGAGAGTGAGAGTGTTATGAACAATTATCTAGGTGGGCACAATCTGATTTATGTTAGCAGGAGATGGAGGTGAAATGGCGTATGACGCATTCGTTGGATTTCTTTTTGCGACCGATCACTACGGATGGCGCAAGCGAGCACAAACACTAGGCGCGCGGGCCGTTTTCTGTCTTTTTCGTGAGCAACTTCATTACATCTAGCATTAGTAGAACCAGAGTAATTCAATTCAAGGTATGGAATGACTTTGGTACTGCGTGAAAGAAGTTTTTTTTTCGGGAAGTATATCGAAAATGCGCCAGTAATTTTTAACGGCTCTCGACAAAAAACTAAGGCAGTAGATGACGCTGCTAAAGTGATATGAATATTAGCACACAATGATAAAGAAGAACAACATTATTTGAAACTTTATCAAGCAGTCATCAATGGAATCTTTTATTAAATTATAAAAAAATGCGTAGAACACAGCAAACCTTGAATTCACAAATATATTAAGTTTAAGTGCTCTACGTTTCTGACCGGATGATCGCCTTAGGTAAAGAAGATGCGCAACACCAATTTAAAAGGTGGCATTGTTTGTAGAGATTTAATTCTTTGTCATTGTGGTGGCTCAAAATTCTGAAAAAATTGAAGCTAGAAATCAGTCGACAGGCAGAAGAAAATGGTGCAGAGTGGACAAGTAAAAGCTAAGGGAAGTAAAATACCACCCTGGTATCTTGTTTAATGATAAGAGATGCCAAGACTTCAATTTAGACTGGCTTTCTCACTCGTATAACAAAGCTGCCATCAGAAGCTTATTTCAGGTTGGCATTATTGGTGTCGCGTCTCTAAGAAAAGGTTGCTCTAGATTAACTGTAGTAAAAACCGGTATGAACACGAGTTGCACCATCTCGTTTCTGGGACAGCCCTACAGCAAGAAACACACATGAAATAAAACACCTACACTTTTTTTCTAAAATAAACCTTCAGTTGTAGACAAGTGGTCTCTTTGTGTTTTCTCTCATATATTCTTTAGTACAGTACCCCAGAAAAAATGGCAGTAAACTGAAATACGTTCTTATTCAACTAATTCACTACAGCATCATGTTTTGTAAACTGAGTAATATATCAACACTTGTTCTCTTTTGTGGGGTGGTGAATGTATGTCAAAAAGGTCACAAATTCAAGTGCCTTGAAATTTGTTGAACATGGACCGTGAATGGAGCCTAAGTTCCTCACAGTGATTCCTTGGAGATGTTGTCCTCAGTGACTGCCCATGTTCTACAATTTCTCATCACTTCGGATGTCCGACCTTCTCTCTTGCTTGTCAAGTTTGCACATTACATGTGTAATTCATGTTCAAATGCACTTTTGTTTCAAGAATTCTTCTCTATTTGTCATTGCTTAAAACATGCAGCTTGTGAAGTCAAAGAAACCGACCAAGTTTGACTACGGTCCGGTTGATAACAAGATCTATTATGGCCAGGTAAGCATTAAAGAAGAGTGCTTCAACATATTTGTATTGTGAGAGTCATGTGTCCGAGCTAACAAGAACAATGTTTTGCAAGAAAGCTGCATACGAGACATGTAGTTAGGCCATATATATTTTTTTTTTTCATATGGAGGTCGTCCACACGCTTGTACACGAACTGGAGGGCAAGATGTCATAATCCTGCGCGTTATGTGGCGTTTGTGGTTGTAAGTTTGCTCCCAATGACGTCGTCTGCAAATATCTGAGGGCGAAACGCAAGGATATCCAACGTATTAAGGAGCCTTCCCTTGTGAGGGGGCTCACTATCAGAATACAGTTTTGGTTCATGAAAACCCACTGGCTTTCTTTTCGGCATGTTGTGTTGTGTATTCAGCTATATGTGTTTAACTGAATTGCTAGAAAAGTGCAATCGATAGATGAATAAAACTTGCATGACAGCACAAGTGAGAAAACGTACATTTCGTAAGTATTAGTGGGCTGATTTGATGTTGATTATTCAGATGGAACTGGGGCCCTCAGGCTATGTTTGACGGTGATCTTTGAGATCACACTAAGACGCGTAGTTCGGCATCTAGGCTTGAACTTAGCAGCACCGTTTTCCAGGCTTTACGTTAAGAAGGAAAATGGGATTAGATGACATGTCCCCCTTTAAGTATCACATTACATTATGCCAGCTCCTTAGGGAGCATACGGAATAAGTTTACTACGCCGGGGATATATGTATGCACAAATGGGCAGGTTTGAGCAGGAGATGGTTTGTAGTCGCCTCCACGTAGCCTTTTACATCCAGAACGACAAGCTCTTCTTTCTGTTCTGAAACTTAACGCCCAGCAGTGTACACAGGACTTCTCTTATCTTTCTGTAAGCTGACGTAATAAAACGTCCTGCAGAAGTATGAATGACTGATTGGCTTTCATTGCAATGTCATCAAAAAAAAAGAAATGGGCATGGCCAGGGCGGGCTGAGGGACGGCGAGATAACTAAGAGTAACAGAATGAAATTTAAAAGAAGTCAGCTGTACGAGGGGGAGGCAGGAAATTCATGTGGGTGGAGGAGATAAGTAAAATAACAAAGATAACGCAGAGGCAGCAAGCACAGGACTGGGTTATTTGGCCTGCAGTTCATTGCCCTGCAGAGGTTGCAGTCAGGATGATGATGACGACGACGATGATGATGATGATGACAATGTCATGTAGTGCGCTTATGCAGGAGGAACCTCCAGAATACAAGATAAGCAACGTGATGACCGACGTGGGACTCTTCTGGAGTCGCGGTGATCAGATCATAACACCTGCCAATGTCCGCGAGCTCATTAAGGACCTGGCACCACGGGTCAAGAAGAACTATTTCATCGATGACCCCTACTACACACACGTACACTTTGTCATGGCGCTGAACAACCCGGCAAAACTGTACAAAGATTTGCTCCAGTTTCTGGATGAATACGCTACGTCGTCGTAGGACGGCGGCTGATTATAGGTTCTATGCACAATGCCATACGCCATAAGCCGTCTGTACAGTGCCCATACGGCAAGAACAGAATTCTGCCGCTATTACCACAAGATTGGAGCATTGAAAATTCGGACGCAGTGTTCTTCGAGCGTTCTGATTACCATTTGGGGCTCAAGGTACTTCCCTCCAATGAAAAAAAAATTGTAGCATCTAATGCCAAGGGTGGATGCATTGCACATAGAAAAATGACAGACCCATGTGATAGCGTCATAAGGTTTGAAGCAATGCACATTCATAGGCAGTGATCCTGGCGAGCTCCAGTGCTCGTCTGTCCCTTGCAGGCAAAGGAAAGCGACAAAGTCAGTTTTATTAGGAGTAAAGACCCGACAATCTTGTGCCTTCTATTGAACGTGCTTCATGTGCACCTGTTACTTTTATACACGCAAGTTAATTATATTTTGTATATTTTCCTCTGTTATTCATGTCAAAGTGTTTTTTTAGGGGCGAAGCTCCTTGTGGCGTGGCTTGTGCGTCCTCGTTGTGGGTGACTGCCCCTCGTTCATTCTTGAACTGGCCAAAGAGGGCGGTGCTTGTACTATACGCTGAAAAATGTCAATAGTGCGACACTAGAGGGCATTATTTGTAGGAAAGGATTGACGTCACACGTACGCAAAGAAAAAGAGATGATCGCGCGACTGCGATCGCGTGTTCTTCGGCGGTGCCGTAGACCAGGGGGCACTCTATAGTACAATAAAAGTGCCGTTTTCGCGCGCGCGTGCATTCAGAGGCTTGGCGATGGAAGATGGATAAGGCTGCTGAGCGGCGTGCGCGCAGGGCAGCGGCGGCTCGCGCTCGAAGAAGGGACCCCGACGTGCGATCGCGCGAGGCAGAAACGCGCCGCGAAGCTGCGCGGCGGCACCTCGAGGACTTTGCAGTACGACAGCAGGAGGCCGAAGTGGCGTGGCAGGGGCGTGCGGACCCGGCTTCGCCCCACTCTTTATATTCGCCCCGTGGATATGCTGTATTTGATTATTTTCACTCTTGTTTGCATACTGTGTAATGAGTAGCCTAATTATTTTTTATAGTTTACATGATTTCACTGGTTTCGCTCCTGCTGTCAGATATATGTCTGGTATAAAGGCCTTGTCAGGAGACATACGAGTTTATTTTTGCTTTATCTAGTGAATATACTGCACATTGTGAATAATGTATATATGTCCGAAATAAGCGGAATTAAATTGAATTGAATCGAATGTACGTCGGGTGTGTACACTTCCAGCAGGGTGCCCCAGACACGTCGTGCGGTCACGGCACACACCTCAGTCGGCCAGGCAGCTGCTTTGTACAGCTGAGCCATAACTATTTTTTTTTTTGCGCACAATGAGGACAAATGAAAACAGTCGGTAGACATGCGCGAATAATATTGAGCATATATCTTCTGTTCTCCGCCGTCCAGCTTGGATGAAAGGACGTCTTAACTTATAAAGCACAATGAACTCCTCCAAATCAGTGCCTGATTTTGCAAAACTGATACTGTGATGGTCCACGAACGAGTCCATACCCGTGATAACCGCTAAAAGGAGGCAAGGCCATAAAACATATGCTGGTCAACGCTGTGTGTAAATGCAATGAAATGTCATACGATCTTGAACTAACTTGAAACTTACGACGCAGGAATGAGGTACGTAACACGAATGCGGAATCACTCACAGGAAACAATATGTCACGAATTCTCCACTCTGTTTCCTTCCAGCACAACTAGGTAGAGGGACTCAGATTGCTGTCCGTGTATAAGCGACGCAAAGTTATCTTCGCTGTCTTTTATGCACATTTCGTTAGAATGCCGTGGAACACAATGCAGCAAAAACTTCATTATTGCACATGAATATGCGCAACTTTCCAAATATCATGACCTCTCGGGAAGGTGCTTGGTCCTATGTCCTGTTCTTCTGAGCAAAGCTGCGTTTAAATTTCTTTTTAGTGTCCCCGAAGGCATCAGATCGATATGTGCGGTTTAACGTCCTAAAACCACCATATGATAATGAGAGACGCCCCGAAGGCATTAGATTAATTAACTCTAAACAGGTCCGTATTACAACCACTACATATAATATCTGACCTGTTCATATTACTGTCATTTACTTTCTTTTTCGCTTTGTTTCCGGCATTTATGCTTCTTAGGGCCTTTATGTGTACAGTCCCCTTGGCCTTCTAGTGGAGTTTGTAGGCGTCATATACTGTGCATAGCCGGAATTCCCTTAATTCCAATAGAACGTTTTCTTTTTCTCTTTGTGTGGTCGAGTTGTCGATGCACATCATGACATGAAATTTTAGGGTTCGAAGATGTCCATTCAGCATGTACCTGATTTTACACTTCCATCAGGGATGGCATAGGATGAAAGTCAGAGAAGGATAGAAATCAGGGATAGAATATGAAGTACAAAACATACCGGAAAAATCGCTGCTGCACATAATTGATGATTTGTGGAGTTTAACGTCCCGAAACTACCATATGATTATGAGAGACGCCGCAGTGGAGGGCTTCGGAAATTTCGACCACATGGGGTTCTTTAACGTGCACCTAAATCTGAGTACATGGGCCTAAAAGATTTCCGCCTCCATCGGAAATGCAGCCGCCATAGTCGGCATTTGATCCCGCGACCTGCGGGTCAGCAGTCGAGTACCGTTAGTCACTAGACCACTGTGGCGGGGCGCTGCTGCACATAAAACTCACACTGCAGCTATGTCGTTGAACTGTGAATTACTGAAGATGATCGGGACTTTTATGAAAACCGATAAGCAAAATTGAAACATGGCCCAGTTGCTATCAGCAAAAAGGAGCGTTTTTTAAGACTGTGAAATGTAGGAATGTAGGATGCATTGCAATCGGCTATCTCATGATCATGAAAATAGTATAGAATCAACAAAGAAATATACCAAAAAGAAAAGAAAGAAAAAGTTGTCCGTAGTGCTTTGTTAGGGTCTCTATGAGTGTGTGTGCGCGTGTGAAGCTGGGTTTGTTATAAGCAGGTACATGCAGTCATTGTATGTACCATAATCTCTTTATCAATTCATCAGTCTTTCCTCCCGTCCGTCCCTTCGTCCATCTGTAAAAAAGGAGCCATTATGCTTTTCTTTTTTCGCAAGAGGAAGAAGCTGATTTCAAAGCATCCAAAGAGTAGTTCAAGTAGTAAAAGCAAGCGATATTGCTTACGTGTTCTTTCCACTTGCTCAGTGAAAAGGAAATGGATAAAAGGCAACCCTGAATTAAGCTGCAGCGAAAACAGGAGATGAACGGTAGCCTTTTGTAACTGTGGCTCCGGCACGTATTCACAGTCGCGGACGAGCTGCGAGTGAACGTGCGCTGTAGTTAAGCTGAATCCACAGAGGCGTACACTGCATGCGAGGCAAAAAGAGGGAAGGGTCAGGAGCCGTTGCGTATGTACGGGCGGTGGACAGCTTTTTGAGGTCGTTGCGAGTTGTTTGTCCGAACGTACGCGAGTTGTGGTTTTCTATACGCGCGGTTCCGACCGGTGCACACACACAGCGAAAGCCACGCGTTTCACCGTCGTTGCTTCGCTTTAGCTCGCAAGTTCTTTCGTTTACTTCACACCAGAATGCCCAAAGCTTCCTTATTGTCAATATAAGAGCTAGCGTTGGTGGTATGAGTGAATTCATCGCAATCAGTGGTGTTACTGCCGTGTACTTTCAGGTAGGTGGATTGATAATTTATTGAAAAGCGATAGGCATGTGTGCGTTGATTAAGTATTTACAGCTATACAGCTATAGATACACCATGAAAGGGACGTCTGCGTGCAGGAAACTTTCGAATTTCACTCGCATGGGAAAGATAGCGGCTTAGATTTCAATGAGACCACTGGTAGTTGAGAGTTAAGGCTAACTTTGACAGGCTATTGCCTTGCACGAGGAAGGCTGCCACATACGCCTTCTGTAAGATTGCCAGCAATACGGAAGGTGCTCGTTCGAATGGTCCCTTCAACAGTAGATCGTTCTTCATTTGTGATATATGTTACTGGACCTGTCAGGGAGGTGCCAAGTGAAAAAAAAAAAAAAAACGTACTGGTTGCAACTCTGAAAACGAAGCGAACATCTACAGGTAAAAGTAACTTGGTAGGAGGGCCGCTTGGAAAATGGGTCAAGAATGGTATCAACGTCTACAAAGTCCACAAATACTAGCCGGTACTATTCTATCTTTTCAGAGAAGGCACGGGGTAATCCGGGTTATTACGCACGCTAATAAGCAGAACTGCTTTCGGCTGAATCTATATGAGGTGCATAAAAAACATCTTAAAAGGAGTACCTCCGAAAAGACTTTTAGGCATCAAAAAAAAAAAAGAAAAAGCTTTGTAGAATTTTAAGGACCACATCCGAGATGCTCACGCAGACGTGTAGCCTTTCACTGAAAATTAAGAAATCAAAACAGGTGAAGTTCCCAAGTGAACATTTCCGGACGATTTCCAAACAGTCCAGTAGGAGAGCACAATGTCTGGGACAGTGCTTTACGAAAACAAAAGATTGCATTACTTCATAAAAAAAAAGACGAAGAAATTGTGACATTTGGCGCCATTTAAATTTATGGTCTATACACAGCGAAACGTGTTCCGAGTGTCTCAGGGAAAAAAACAAGTCGTAACTTACATTTTGAGCTCACACTAAACCGTTAGTCGACGCGTGCAATTTATGTTTCCTTTTTTGGAGCAAGACTGACTTCCTCTCAAGGTTTCGGAATGCGGCAGAGTATTTTTTTATGTTTCAAAACTTGCGAAAAACCGTGACCACCTCTAAAAGGCCTTTAAACTTTCCTTCCGAAATGTGTCGGCCAGGCAGCTCGTCATGATACGGGGTGGTCATTGTTGTACTATTGCGAAAAACGCGTGGTCTACCGTCCCACAGTTACTGCTACACATCGGCGAGCAGCTTTTTCCCTCTAACCCATCATTACTCCACGATGACGTCACGGTTGGCTGGTCATCACTTTTCCTCTCTCACAAAACTCTCTCATTCGCATAAGGCTGGACGCTAATTGACCTTGGCTGTATTCCTTTATCTTTTTACCCAAGGCGCTTTCTTGTGCGGTGGCACGTACGTCATTGAGACGCCGGTTAACCCACACTCCTTGAAGCCACTGCCGTGGAACTCTGGGATCCTCCTCACCCGTGCACCAGCGTCGGGAAGGCGAGAAAGTGACGCTTTAGTAGCTGTTTTTATCTTTCAATCTTTGGCACCGTTCTCGTTGAGTCGCCGACGCCCTCGCCGTGTTTTTTATTCCTCGGCACGCTGACAGCCGTATCGAACATATAACCCGGCGGAGTTGTATCACCAGCGACTTGCGGTGGTGCACAGTGCGGACGAAAGATGGTGTCACCTAGCGCAGCCATATCTCGGCTCATCCCGAGCCTCCTGCTCGGGTCTGTGAGGACAGCTTTGGACTTCCCTTCGGAGATCGCAAATTTTTACACCGGAGGGGACCCGGACCAGTGCAGCGGAATT